ATATTCAGGACGCAGTCTTTCAAAAAAAAATAAAAATTTTTATTTGTGCCAACGTTTCAACCTGAACATGTGGGTCATCTTCAGGGTGTGGTTCGAGTACTTAAGGCTTTCAAGTACTTCTAAGTTTCTGAGTTGAGTACTCGAAAGCCTTCAGTGCTCGAACCATGTCCTGAAGATGACCCACATGTTGGGGTTGAAACGTTGGCACAAATAAAAAAATATTTTTTTTTTTAAAATACTGCGTCCTGAATATTTATCATCCAACAATAATTTATCTTTTATTGGTTCTTATACTTGCTTCATTGGTTTTTTATCCATGATTTGAGCCAAAAATTTAAAAAATCACAATATACACTATTTTTAAATTACAACGCATGTACTTTACATAATAAAGGTATGCTCGTCTCAAGCAAAATATTTTTTAAAAAATTATGAAAAAATAAATAAGTAATTTAGTCACCCCCAAAATTAAATCCTGAATACACTGTACTAATGATTATTGGTTAATATTTTGCACCATCTCTAGGTTTAGGTGGTTAATGATGACTTTAAGGAAATTATTTAAATCCTAACACGTTGCTGTGGGTCAATCTGGTTGAATAAGAAAAAAAAAAGAAAACAGATGTTTCTAAATAGATATGTTTCTAGTTAATTCTAACTACAGATATGTTTGTAATATGTTTAATTTCACTATACATGTGGATATACAATATATTTTTTGTTGTTCCATTCTTTGTATAGATACAGAGATAGTATGGTTTTCCAACTCTAGAACACGCAACATATAATTTTCCATGTGAGAAGCTATTTGTCTATAAATGTCCAAAGAAAAATTACTAAATTTTTAAAACATTATATCCAAATCATGCAATTTTAGTGATTTTTTTTTTAATTTGTAGGAAATTAAGGAAGCTTACAAATAATCATGGGTACAATCCAACAAAAATTGTGTGCTTTATGAGTTATTCGCAAATATAATTCTGAATCCATCTTAACTTTTTTTTCATACTCTTTTCGGGGAAGTATATTATATTCATAATTTAGAAACTCCTCAAGGAGAAGAAGTATGTAAAAAAACGCTGCAAATTATTTCACAAAGGTTCATTATTTCCAAACAATTATACATGTAAAGTAACATTACCTTCCTAGTGACAAAGAAAAAGAAATAAAAGATGATTCCAATTATTGGCCAAAACATTTTTTTTTTCATCATTATTAATATGCTAAAAAAATAGCACTACTTCAGTAACAGATTCAAAAATCAAAATCCAAAACAAAGGATATAGCCTTTGCATCAGAACATCAATAAAAACATCCAGGGACCATATCTTTGCCCCAAATTGTCCGATTTTAACCAATTTTTTTAGAAAATTTTATAAAATTTTAAATAATCATATACCCTACCGACAAAAAAGTGTATACTGTTTAATTTACTCGGAATCTAATTTTACCACCCCACGTAACTTTTTTTCCAGCCTCTTTCCGTTGAAGTATGTTATAGAAATAAATTTAAAGGCCATCGAGAGAAAGACTTTAGCCAAGTTTAATTAAAATTGTTACAGCCGTTTAGGCGCTACAGTCAATAGCGGCACAGGTTTTTCAGGAAACAAAAGACCGGAGGGTAATTAAGTGTAAATAAAAACACTCTTAAATCCAATAGACGCGTTATGTCTATATTTTAAAGCAATCGGTGAAGACGTTTCGGAGATTAGCGGTTTTGAACAAACGAAAATTTACGTTTTTATTAATATAGATCAATAACATTTTATTTCCGATGCAAGCAGGAGATCAGAGTGTAGATATAAAATTTTATCATCGCTAATTCCTAATAAAATTTTTCCTTTTCACGAAACTTATTTTGGGTATTTTTATTTTAGCCGGGCTAAATAAAGCAGAATGAGTGAGGTACTTTGCGCATGAGTAGAAAAATACCTCAAAGGGGCTCGACAAAATATATTTACTTGGCTCTGTAACAAAAGTTGTTTTAAATTTAAAAACGAACACCAGGTGTAGGTAAATTTAGCCGTTTTAAAATGCAGCATTGTTGAGGTAATAACCGGCTTTTTTTTTCTTTCTTTTATTTTTTCAAACCTCTTTACTGTCCTATTATCTTTCGTTTTATGGTTTATCAGTTGTTCAGCGGTTGAGGGAACCCGTTTCGTTAATTGTCTCTTTCGAGGCAAAATTATTTAAAGAAAAGTTCTTATATTTCCATTATATTTCTGATTTAAAGAGATAGTTTCCTTCATAAAAAAATTTGTCTTCAATAAATTTTTAATATGTTTTCAATAAAACACAAAATATGATGACATTTTAGATATTGTTCAATCAGTTAATCAAAATTCTGAGGCAAAATGAACCTTAAAACAAACTACAAGTTATTCTTTACAATATGTTTCAAAAATTAATTTTTAAAATACTTCATCGGATTCATATAGTAAGATTGCAATATACATATTTACAACTTCATTATTACACATATTTTAATACTATAGCAAAATTACTCACGCGATTTCGTCGAATTAATTTCAGTAGTAAAAATTATTATGCAATAAAAACTAAAACATTACCCAACTTTACAATATTTTTATCCGATTAGAGACGTTTGAGTATTTGACCTATAAATTTAGGAAATTATATAACACCTCAACTTAAAAATATTAGTATTTGTTTTTATTAGGCTTTGGTAAGGAGTTGAATATTATAAATGTCTATATAAATAAGAAAAAATATATAAAAGTTAAGATTAGTTTTAATTTTTTTTACGTATATATACAATTAATTTTACCACGAAGCCGAAAATTAAATAAAGTAACGGATGCTATTTTAGAATTCCAACAATTTTATCAACCATGACAGAACATTGGATGTACTTATCAAAAAAGGTCAAGAAATTTATTTTTCAACCAATTTACATTCTTCAAAAATTAAATTTCTGAAAATGAAATTGATGTTTTCGGGCTAAGTTCACAGATTAAAAATCCTTTTGGTATTAATCCTTTCATGTTGTTTGTTATAGAAACAAAAATATGATAAACAATTTTTTTAAATTAAATTTCCATTTATCTTCACTTCAAAGTACAATTAATTGCACGAAAGGTTCTTTTCAATTTCAAGAGATTTGTTTGCATGTGTTTGATATTATCTTATTTCGTCAATACGATTCTATAGCGTTATTTTTATTTTATTTCTTTATATTATTTAAGTAAAATGAAATGGATAATATTTCTTCTCGACTTTATATTATAGTTGAAGTTTTGTGGCATTAATTTCTAGGTATTAAATATAATCTTCACCTGGATTTTTTGTTTATCTAAAATATTTATTTAATGTACCTATATAAATAAGTATTTATACACTCATTTATATGTGTACCCATATTCATTTTAGAATTCTCTTGCCATTTTAATGTTAATCATGTTTTTAATTGAATTTTAATTATGAAAAGAATTACAGAATGTATAACATATCCTCGTATATTAAGTGTACAGTTCTGAAGATGATAATTAATATCCCAAAATGTTAGTATAATAATAAGTCGATTTTGACAAATGAAAAAAAAAAAATTGAGTAGTTATTTTAGAAACGACACAAGCGGGATTTTCACGGTCTTGAAATGCACACAAAACAACCACTAACAATTTTCAAAGGTAAAAATCTTACAAATGTATATACGTTTTCTAGCATCAAATTGTGGATCTATGAACAATATATACACAGAACAAGTCTCAACACAAAAACAGTTAAATTTACTCATGAACTGTTTCTGAAATAACCGACTCAATTATGGAATTTGGATTGCCATTAATTTTAAAGTTTATTTATATTTGATGACCAGTTCCTAGTTTTAAAGTAAGTACAACCGTTTCGGAAAATGGGTACAAAACTTTCTCAGCAATTAATGAATCAAACATGTTAAACTAATGAATGAAAAATACAAAGAAGAGAACAGATTTGACTGTATAATGATTTGGGAAACGGGCAGCTAATCAAAAATACAGTATAATACATTTTAAAAAACGAATTAAACATACTGTAATGTATGGAGAATAAATAACAAAAGTAAAAAAACAAAAAAGCAGTACAATAAATCAAACGTTAAAATTCAAAAAAGAAAACAGATTCGACATTCGTATAGGAGGTATATATATTTGACATGACCTATGACGTGACCTATCAAAATTACATTATAATTTATTTAAAAAATAAAACTAATTAAATACATAGTAGTATACAGGGCGAAAATAATAAAAGTATAAAAACAAACAGAATAATGAATCATCCGTTAAAATACAAATTGAGCAATGCAAATTAGAAAACTGGGCTGACTGTATAATACTTTTGAAAATGGACGAGTAATCAAAAATGCAGTATATTTTTTTTTAAAAACAAATTCAACATAGGAATGTTTCGGGCGAAAATAATAAAAGTAAAAACCAATATCATGAATCAAACGTTAAAATACAAAATTAACAATGCAAAGAAGAAAACAGGTTTGATAGCATTAGGCTTTTGAAAATGGGTGACTAACCCGAAATGTCTTCCAAATAAAAGTTGAGAATTCTTAAGTTGTATGACTTATAGTAGTCTTAAGTAATATTTAAGACTAAATAGCTTAATTATTGCAAGCGAAAATTAAATATTACATAAACTATGAAAATAGTATGATAGTTTCTGCAAAATATTATTTTTATATTCGGTACCTGGTTCTAGAATAACCAACCACCTGTTATCAGTGAGCAGCTCTGTCTAGTTGACATACTAAAATTTCTCAATGACATTCCCACACTCCCAACCGCAACCATTTCCTATCCCTTCTTCGGAACTTGCCCAAGGAAGTTGAGGATTAATATATTTTAGCAGTGTGTCAGAGATCTTCTGTGAATGGAATTAGTTTTTTTAATAGTAAAATAGGGAGGGAAAACACAGGAAATTGAATCAGCGGGGAGAATGCGGCGTTCGGGAGGGGAAAGGGGGAAGGTGGGGGCAATGCATCCCTGCGGCCGGTTATCTATAAGCCGGCACCGAGCCTTCAGGATACAGTCCGTGCGTCTTGTGTCGTAGCGTTCAGATCTCTCTAGCAACCACCTCTCTCAGACATGGGTCTCAGCGACTTCTTCGGAATCAAGTACAAGCTCGACAAGAGCGAGAAGTTCGACGAGTTCATGGAGGCCCTGGGTGTCAGCTTGGTAACCAGGAAGATGGGCAACGCCGTATCTCCAGTCATCGAGATGACCGAGTCTAACGGAGAGTACACCCTCACCTCGAGCTCCACCTTCAAGAACACCGTCATCAAGTTCAAGCTCGGAGAGGAGTTTGACGAAGAGACTGCCGATGGAAGGAAGGTGAAGTCCACCATAACCCAGGAGGGTGACAACAAGCTCATCCATGTCTCCAAGGGGGACAAGGAGTCCAAGATCGTCCGGGAGTTCAGCAAGGAGGAAGTCGTCATGACCCTCACCGTGGACAACATCGTCTGCACCAGGATCTACAAAGCTGTATCATAGTGGTCTATTTTATTGCCATTATTTATCATTATTATTCAATTACTATTGTAATTTAATTCATTTAATAATTATATATAATATATAAATTTAGAACACGAAGGTTTTATCTTAAAGCAAAGAATCCCAATTGCTATTTGGAAAAAATCCAAAACTCTCATTTCTTTTATGATTGCAATACAATTTCAGCTCAAATTATTCCTATTTATTTGCATGATACTTCATTTTGTTTGAATATCTCTTTTATAATCATTAATCAATTGCGTTTAATTTATTAATATAAACTGGAATAAAGTTATGAGATTTTTTTTATGAGAAACACTAACCAATAAAGATAATTCTAAACTTTATTTTATTTTACTATAATTACTAAACATAGAACAATGGAAATCAGAAGCCAATAAACCCTCCAATATGGACATTATTCAGATTTCAAGGTAAGCGTTAAAATCTTTCTAAATATAGGCTTAAACTCTTCCCCTCCACCCTGCATTTGCCATATTTTTATATAAATACGTAAGTGTTTTTCTTTTTTTTTTTTTCATATTGCAGAATTCCTGTAATGTTTAAATATTTTTTCCTTTATCATTATTATTGACACATTATTTTTTCTAAGCTACAATATTATTATTTTTATCTTCTCAGATTAAAATTAATTTTATTTCTAATCCATAACAAAAATAGTAAATATTTCAATAATGCTAAAAGAATTTAATGAGATGAGGATTAGGGAGAAGGGAGGGGAGAGGAGAGTTTATTTCTTAAATTTCTTTCCAGGAATTATATTTCTTATCTTATATGAAAATACACACTGAATATTTTATTAGACTTAGAATTAATTTGAAGTGTGTTATTTCATAAACTTTTTCTAATAAAATGATATATTGTTTTACATTCTCAGCTATCGTAAGTAAATTTAGCAACTAAAAAAAAAATTTTATTTTATTTGATTTAGATTTTTATGCCTTCCAAGCGAAAAAAACTATATTAAAAAAAATAGTTTTTCACTGAAGTCATCTTGAAACATTTAAAGCGTAGAAATTTCGAGAATTATTATTTTAGGTTTATTTCTTTGTTTAATTGAAACAAATATAATTTAGCTTCTTTTTTACTCTACTTGATCATGGCGGTATTTATTTTACAAAATAATATTTTATTTATTTTAATTTTTTTTTCGTTTATATATTTTTTATTTGTTTTGCAAGTACAAAACCTCTATGAACTTGCCTTCTACCTACTGTTAAAGTTTGGTCAAGTATTATGTCTGTTAATTTTTGTAGTACACTCCTTATTCAAATCGAAAACATTTGTAGGAAATGTACCCCAACAGAATAAATTTATATATTTAGTATGCAATGGTATCTCACCAAGATATATAAACTGGTGGGAAATTTCAATGATAACAGATACGTAATATTTTTTTTTAATTATTATTTAAACAATGTTATACTGGTTAATTTTAATATACCAATTCTAAGACCTTTGGTTTCAATTCGTGACGAGTCCAAATGACAATTGCTCCATCCAATTTGCCAATTAACCTTAATTCTATAGATATGCTCAATTTGTCCTTTATAACTGTCGACCACCCAATTGCAAGCTTAGTATAGAGAATTTAAATTTAATTTGATTACATTTGAATTTCTCAAACTTTATTTCAAATGGCTATCGAAATTTTTAAAAAATGTTTGGTATTATGAAGGATAACAGATAACACACATTTTTTAAAGTTTTCTTTGATAAAAAGTATCTTTATATATATATATATATATATATAAACCTGTACCACTACAATCTATGGAGGGTCTTGGGATCAGTACTTTGTAAGAAAGTACTATTTCACGGCCAACGGTTGTGCAGGGAGGAGATCGATCTTGGATCACGCTTATATATATAATGTATAATATATATTAATTTCAATATTAAAAGAGTTTTTAGAAATAAATTTGAAAGGATCTGAAAAGGTAAGAAATTTAAGTAACTTTTCTATTAGGGTCACCTTGCAAAAAATATACTGTAAGGGTATATTATATTTTTTAATAAATTATAAATATTTAACTATAAATGAAACAATTAAATTTTAAAATTACTATTTTTTTAATTTCTCAACTATTTCTGTTTTGAGTTAAAAAAATAATTAATAAACTTCATTTCATTTAAATGCTTTCTAGCCTTATGATTTAAAAAATAAAAAAAAATAATATTTTCTGTGAGTTATCTTCTTTCTTATTTTTAATATACCTCTGTTTTTATTTTAAACAATTTTTTATTTCATTCAACGAAAATTTGGAAGTAATCAGCACAATTAGTTCGGTCACGAGGAACGCAAATATTTTTAACAAAAATACAATAGTGCAATTGAAATTAAAAACCTGATACATTATAAATCAAAAACTAATATTAAACAATGTTTGTAGTATTTTTTGTTTGAGTAGATAAATTGTTTAATTTCTATTGGTTTTTTATTGACACATTATCAAGGTGTATTTTTATTTTTTTCGAACAGTGTCATAACACCGCATTCAACTCCAGATCATTTTCAAGGTCAGGTTTTTCCGTGAAATTACAATATGGAACCATTTATGTTTGAGATAGATTTTTTTTTTTCAATAAATTTAATAATATTTAAAGATTTTTTTCTCGCAAATGTGAAGAATTGAATGAGATGAATAAGAGTATTGTAATTTTTAATATTATCAATATTAAAGATATGGTATATCGAAAGTATTTGATATTCAATAAATATAATCCAGATAACACAATTTTTCAGATTTTGTGTTAATTTACAATATGTTTGAACCATATATGTTTAATAATTGGTAATTGGTTGACTGTCGTGGATAATGAAGAGAAGAATAGTTGGGGTGGTCAGTCAAAAAGGAAGGCAAAAATATGTTTAAGGTATTTTTTTTTTATTAGACGAATAAGTGTATTTTTATTTTTAATATTACAAATATTAAAGATACGAATATCGAAAGTATTTTATATTCCGAAAATATAATCCAAATAAAAATTTTAATATAAAAATAATAATAAATATAATGAATGTATAAAAAAAATATTTAAAAAATAATTCGAAAATTTTTTGAACAATGTAATATATGATAAAATAGTATTACAATATATTGGTTTTTTATTGACACATTATCAAGGTGTATTTTTATTTATTTTTTCGTACGGTGTCATAGCATCGCCTTCTATTCCCGATCATTTTTCAGAGTTTGTGTTAATTTAAAATATGGAACCATTTATGTTCAAGCTATTTTTTTTTTATTAGATGAATAAGTGTAATGTTATTTTTAATATTATCAATATTAAAAATATGGTATATCGAAAGTATTTCATATTTCGAAAATATAATCCAAATAAAAAAATTAATATAAAAATAAGAATAATAAATTTAATGAAAGTATCAAAAAATATAATGAAATTAGTTCAAACATTTTTAAAAAAATGTATTACATAATAAAAAAATATTAAAATTCGTAAATGTATGTTTGCTATTTGCTATAAGTATAGATGGCACTTATTTGAATATGTATGCAGAACTAATAAACATTTTTGAGAATAGATGCACATTTTTGAAATCTAAAAAAGAATTTTAAAAATTTTATCAACATAATTCATTTTTTGAGTCAATATTATATATACATAATATCGATTGAAAAAAATATATATATGTATACGTAATTCTTCATGAATATTTTATAAACATTTAACTAAGATAAGTTTAACCTAGGCTATACAAATAAGTATGAAAAAGGTATTAATTGGTTTTGAGATTGGAAAATTGCCCCTAATTTTTAAGAGACACCTTGAAGCTGACGGGCCAGCTGTTGCACTGACGTTTAGGACTAAAATAAAACTTCTAGCTCTAAGCGAGTTGAACGATTTACGGCTGAGAGTTATCCTATATCAGTGCTGTTTTCATATTCTATTTAAAAGTACATATTATCTTTTAATATTCATTAAGTTTTCTTTTTTGAGTAATTTTTAAGAAAATTCCTACCTCACGTATAATTTTTAGAAATATGTTCTAAGGATTATTTTAATACTCGATCTTTAAACCCGTACACACAACGTAAATCAGAACTAACCCATTCATCTGTAACAACACAATCTTTATAGAGTATCTTAACGTAAACAAATCTAAAATAGCACAATCATTATACACATTGAAATGAAATATATCCAATAAGGTGCCTCTAACCTGTGAAATTTCAAACGGCACCCAGAATATAACCAAATCAATAAATAAACCAAAACTGGATAATGATATGAAATGATCGCTCAGATAAAGACTTTATGCTACAAAATAAGAAAAGAGAAATAGTAAAAATTATATAAATGTTAATTTTTGATTTATACCTTTTCTTAGGTTATTCATTTTAATTTTTTTTTCGGTGTATAGCTTTATTTTTATATGTATTTATTTCGAAGATAGTGAACCAAAGTTATGGAATTGTGTGTAATGAAGAACGAGGCATTATTGAGACAGTAATATTGTTGGATGAATAGATTTTATATGTTTTTTTCTTCACTATTACACTAAAAGTGAGGTAATGTACCATTACTTATAATAAAGTATGATAAATAATATATTCGAATCCGTCAGAAAACATACATCTCGAAAAACCAAAAAATTATTATTCTCGGAAAATGATCGAAATATCCTTTTATCATGTTGTGCAAAATGAGATGAAGCTTAATTTTCAAGATAATTCTTTCTTCTTTTTTTTTTTTTTTTCTTGCCTCAAATCTTCATCCGTACCTGTCATGGTAGTGACAATTAACAGATATTTCTTAAAATTAGATATAATGGCGAACAAAGGTAAGTTCAACACAAGCTAACTCTGAGGACTTGGGTATGTATATGGCTAGTTAGAATATTATTAAGATAAATTTGTGAAAAAAGTATTTTATTTGGCATGATGCATCTAAATTAAATATTTCTGTAACCAGTTTTTACCACTTCACATTGGTTTAAAGTTTCAAAAATCCTCAAAAAAAAAATATAAAAGATTCCAAAAATACTTACATTAAAAATTATACTAGTTAATGAGGATAAGAGGAAAGATACTTATATAAATATAGCTAGTAATTTAGGCCTTAGTAGTTTCAATAATTAAGATATCTTATTATAAAATTGTCCAAATGTTCGCCACTTTAGTTATCTTCAAGGATACGATCTTATTTTTTAAACATTTAGTCAATTTTCATTTGCGTATTGCGGTCTTGCATACCTAGCCCATTGGAAAATTATAATTTAATTAAATATTTATTTTACATTTAAAGCAAAACTAGAAAAAGTAAATATGACAATAAATTAATGGCTCTTGAAAAAAAGGAATGTGATAAGAGAATTTTGATGTCCATACTGGCCAGTGGAATTTACTTCAACGGAAGTATGATAATCTTTTCTATGAATATTCACAAGAGGACATTACAGAATCATGTTAACAACGTAAGGGATCGAAAATTGGAACGGAGACAATGATCAACAATAATGAACAAGTATTCAAGTGAAGAGTAGCTGTCAATAATTTTTATGTTATTTATTAATACATTTTTTTACAGTTTTTTATTTCCTTTTCTTGTTTCTTTTCCTATTCTTATATCCTTATATATACAGAGTGTTTTATGGTTAAGTGGTCAAAATGAAAATATGAATTAAGGACCTCAAAACAAGAAACAAAATGTCTATGAATGTATGTTCGCAAACGCATTGTTTAGGAGATGTTCACACCTAAAGCTTTTCATTGTCATGAATTATTAATGTTATATTAAGCAAATAAAACTTATTTATTTGTTCCAACTAATTCACTAATTAAACTTAAACATAAAATTCATATTATATGTTGTTCAAAGTGATTCCCTTGAGCATTAAGACAGGCTCGGCATCTTTCTTCAACAGCAGCAGTGGCAGAATGGCACTGGATATGTTATTGTTTCACAAGATTAAATTATCCTTCTTCGTAAGGAACTATGGTCATTGGCCGGACTTGCATAGACATTTTGTTTAATGTCACCCCAAACGAAAAAATACAGTGGTGTCAGGTCTGGAGAGCGTGCAGGCCTAGCCACTGGTCCTGCACGGCCAACCCATTGGTTGGGGTAATTAACGTTTAGCCATTGTCGTGGACCTCATCTGTAATGTTCAGGACAACCATCTACTTGAAGCCACATGTATCTTTTCATTTGTATTGGAATATTCCAGGTTTTATTTGTTTCATATAACGTAAATAATTCATAATAATGAAAATCTTTAGGTATAAATGTCTCCTAAACAAAGCGTTTGTGGACATACCTTCATAGGAATTTGTTTTATTGTTTTGGCAAAGGGAAAAAAAGCACGTTAGTTTTCAATTACCACCAGATGAGTTCGCTCATTATTGGATTTGGACAAATATTTTATAACATATCGTCAGCCATGGTGCTTAAATTAATTTAAAAAATATCTTAAATTATTATTGTTTGTGTAATTACATTTAAAAGGATTTTAGGAATCACTTAAACACCATTTCATATAGGTGGTTAGTTTCTTTCTTTTTTTTTCAAAGTAATTTTTATTATACTTTTTTTATGAAAAAAAAGCTTTCGGGCTGAAGCTCCTTCCAAAATTAAATCCTGGATCCACTAGTGGCACCATGTTAAAGTAACGATGTAAACCATGTAATGTGCAACTTTAAACAGGCTCACATTTCTTACTTTAACATGGTGCCGACAATATAACAGAATGTAAAAATTATTACAATTTCTTTTTGCTTTGGAAATTATTAATTAATAGCAATATTTTTTATTTTATTTCCAACATACACATATTTACAAAAGGTCACTGCCGGTTTGACCTTCGGAAAGGATCGTGGAGGTGGGGGCAGCTAGATTGATACTGTGCTAGAGGATTTGAATGATGAGTGAGGTTCTGGTAAAATTTGGAAATTGTGTCTGAGATCAGGTCAAGAACACATGGAATATTAAGTTGATTTTGCAGGATTTTGTTTGTTATATGGAAGCAAGAGCTTACGAAGCTTACATTTTAATGGGAGGAGGTAGAAGACTGACAAATATTTCTATGAAATTCAATACATACATAGAACAATAATTTCGGGACCGGGGTGGCCGAGCGGGCACACGCGTGTTAAAAACCCCGCGTTGCTCGGTAACCTGATTAACTAACCGAAGTTAATATGATAAAATAATTACGAGTTCGAGTGCTCGAGTGCCAGGGAGAAGGGGTGCGTTTGTCTTTTTACTCTGGTCCGATAAAAAAAAAACCTATAGCGTAAAAGGCGAGGAACGGGAGAACAAAAAAAAATTAATAACTTTTTCGAATTTTCGGCAAACCTTTGGATTGCATTGTTTTATTTTCTTTGAAATTATTTAGTAGGGGAAGGGGGAGGCAAAGGCCTCTGTTTTCAATTGCCCTCCATAGTTCATGCCTGTAGGTCCAGATAGCTTTCAGGATAGTATTGTAGATCAGTAATTTGTCATCAACTGAAAGTTAAGATTTTCTATTCAATAATCTATATAGATGGCCATATCGTCTGCTACTCTTGCCTTTTAAGTCTGATCGTGTTCCATATTGACAGTTATATTGCAGGTGGATATACGGGAGGGGGAAGGAGCTTTCGAAGCCCCCTATAAAATGGAAAAATATAATCATGTTTTATAGAAAAAAATATTAAAAACTATCTCTTAAAGTATTATTGTTCATGTAATTACATTTAATGGAACTTCATGAATCACTTAAACACTATTTCATATAGGTAGTTAATTTCGTTCATTAAAAAAAAATTAATTAAACAGCATATTATATCTATGAATAACAGGTTATATCTATGAATAAAGAGCTTTCTCCCCTCCAAAAAAAATTAAATCCTGGATCCGCTAATGAGTTATTAACTAAGAAATCAAAGAAAATCTTTAATAGGAAATACTGGTTGCGTTTTAGAACGATATAACAATTGTATGTTGTAAGTGATTTAAATAAATTAAAGATGAGAAAAAAGAATCGATATTATAAGATTTTTTTAGTTTATTAATGTGTTATTTATAGAATTTAGATGGGATCAAACTTGTACATGAGATAATATAAAAGATATCATGGGCTAATCTAGGTTTAGGCAGATATAGTCTAAGCTTATATTTGTAACAAGTTTGATTTAAATGTTTTTTTTAGACTAATATTTATAAATAAATTGAATAATATTAGAATCCTAATTCCAAATCCCATTATCAATATATGTTTAGTCTCTTTTACTTGATTGTTCTGTTTGAGATTTTTTTTAAATCTTGGAAAAAAAAGTTTATGTATTTTCTTCACCTTACCTGTCGACTCTCGTGATTAATCTCATTATTTAAGCTACATTGTCTATTCAAATTAACTAAAGAAGCCTACTAAAAAAAGTATGAAAGGTCCTTTTTGACAATGTTATTAATATATTTTTCAGATTTTGTTTTCGGAAGATAAGGTTTTCTGATGATTTTTTCAATAAAAAAAAAAGAAAATTGTGATAAAAAACATACATTTCCTGAAATTTGTAACGATTACCTCAAACAGATGACAGAATGACTAACTGCAATTTCAACATTTTTGTGTAAAATCATTTCAGTGATAGTTCTAGTTGGAAAATTTATAATAATTGTACAGATAGTGACTAAGCCGATTCCAGAATAGTTGAATGCATTGTTGAAATAAGGAACTGTGAATAAAGGTATACATCTTCCCACTAGAAATATCGCTAAAATTATTAATAGAAAATATTGAAAGTGGAGTTAGTCATTCTGCCAACTGATAGGCTATGAAAGGATCATATGAATGACGCTTCGTTGTATTAAATTTTATTTACGTTGAATCTGAATTTTAATATATTTACTGTTATTTTTATCTGAACTGACTGTCCTATAAAAAATCTATGGAAATCTTGTCATCTCCTCGAATCTTCACATTTTTCATACAGCTTCATAAAAGATTAATTAGTAATTTGAGGTGAAGAAATGTCTTATGAAATATGAAATGGGGAAAGCAAAGTTAAATAAATGATCTGATATAATTGAGAAATAAAGACACATTGATTTGTAATAGAGAGTAAGAAGTTCATTTTTATTATTTATTTGAGGAGTTGCTGGTTTAAAATACCAGTGAAGTGGCTGAGGGAGAAGCGTAGGGATCTCCTAGGCCTCCCTTTTCCCTCCACATGTGGAGGGGACAGGATTGGTTCGGAGATCACCTGGCAAATTGTAAATAATGTATGTTTTATATAAGGTGTTTGTTTTACTTTTATTTCTATTTTTATTTACTTATGTGTATATATATTATTTTTTTTCTTTACTCTTTTGTTCTTTCTTCTTATTCTTTTGTTATTACTTTATTTATTTATATTTTTGTATATACGGTATGAATGCAATCTCTGAACTCTATTATAAGTGTCCTTAACTGTGACAAATTGTAATATTTCTGAATAAAGTGTTTTAATAATAATTTGAGGAGTTGGTCGGGGGGGAGGGGGGATCAAATAAATACTTAATTTTGAAAAAATAGTATTTTTAATTATTACGCGGACGTTTCGACCCACCTTACAGATCTTCATTAGGGCGTGGCAGGAGGCAGTTGATAAACTGGCAGTTGAAACAGGTATAGTTTTTTTTAAAATTTAGTATTTATTTGACCGCACCCCCAGACTCCTTCACATATTATATCACGGTCATCCATCTCTACAACTTTATTATTTATTAACTGTGAAATTCGATTGACTTATTTTTCATGTTTATTAACAAAATAGAAAAATAACTTTATTCCCTTTAGAATAATAATGTTTCAAAAAAAAAAAAAATTCTGGCCGAAAGGCTTGATATATTAAATGAAAAAAATATTAAAAATTAAGCAGAAAACATTAAATAAAATAGTGATACACAAAACAAATAAAACTTCCTGCCATAATAAAAACAATCTCTACTAAGGGTTATTACAGGAAAATAATGCTTTTAGGGATAATATCTTCATATTTTGCCTTGACACGTACTTCCAATTCATTGTTTCAAATGCTTGCTTTGTAATTTTAAAGGAGAACAAATCGTAATTATTTAAATATTTGTTTCAGAAATGAATCAATGAAAAAAATAGTAATTTTCCATTTAGGAGAGCTTCAGCTAGAAAGCTCTTTCTTTTGAACCAGCTAGTGCTTAAACGTAAACTAGTTTACATTTAATCGAAATATAACAATATTTGTAACAAAAAAAAAGCCTTAATATTTAAACAATATCAGTTTTAGAAATGCTTTAATAATTTATTTCGGTATTTAAATCACTGAGCGAACTTTGAACAGATTAGTAATCAACTCCAGTCATAATAAGAAATTAATCCTTGGCGCAGAGACACGACCTTTGTCTGTTTATTTCTGAATCACTGAGATAAATTTGTAAAACTAATTTATACAACAAATTTCATATTCTTTCGGATTTGCAAATAAAAAAAATGAACCCTATTAGATTCATTTATTAAGATAATCCACAATAAATTATAAATGAATAAACAGTGAATCGTAAATGGTAGACTCAACAAGTTCCTCGTTTGAGCAAAGAATACATAAACAATTTTTAGCTAATAATTAATTAGTTAATTGAATGTAATCTATATTTTTGCCTGACATCAGAGCTACAACTAGAAGTTTATAGTAGATGAAACGCTGGATTGTAAAAAAACAATTTCATAACAGGAGGAGTGTACACAGCGTTCATGACCTACCGCAAAATCCAGCGTGAGATCGCAGAAGTGCAACAAGCCACACCTCTATCGATCAAATATGAAGTTCATTTAGCAAAATATTAATTATTTAAATTAAATAATTAATAAAATAATACTTAACACTCAATTAATAAAGGAATAATTAATAAAGCATACTTACTTTGCTTTTAAAGAAAAAAATTAATAAGCATAATATTTGTGTCGTTCAAAATTAATTATTTGAATCGATTTTTAGAAATCTGAATAATTTAATTAAAATATCCGCAGCTTAAAAAATATCTTAAGATTTAAAAATATTATAAATTACTTTGTCGATAATGGAAATTTAAAACTAGATAATTGAAGAATCCATATTTTTTTTACATTTCCAAATTTTATGAGATCAATTGATAATTTACAACACACATAAGATATATATAATTAGCTAAATCATCTGATTTAGCTTTTTGATCCTTCAGTTGGACTAACTCCAACGTATTCTATGCCCTTTTGAACTTGAAATCTATTACCATTAAATATTTTATCTTTATTTAGATAAAAAGGTTATTAACCTGATATACAAAAATATAAATTATAGTCCCATTTTAAAACATCTGATTTCCTTCCTGGAAAACAATAATCCTCGTGAAGGTATTAGAAATATATATTAATTTGTATCATGAAAACAAATATACAGCTAATACAAGCTTTTTGTTAAAATAGAAAGTGGAAGAATGTGAAAATATAATTAAAAAGAAATTGATATTATTTTTTTAAAGAAATTTATTTATTTTATAATCTAAATTAAACCTTTAGAGTTAATATATGGCCACAAACACACACACATAAGATGACTTGATAAAAAATCATCATTTAATGACCATTAACCAATGAATCAAAGATATATTAATACTTGCACTTAATAATAAATTATTCAAATTAAATAGAAGTTAAATGGTTAAATTTAATATATTATAAAAAGGAAGAGGGTTTTATTAGTAAATAAAAATCAAACTTTAACACAATACGTATATTAAAAATATTAAATTACAATGTAAATTGTAAGAGAACAAATAGTAATAGGAAGGAATTAAACGACTAAGATAAAGCCTTATAGGTCCTAGTGCAGACGATATCGTCCACAGATAGAGTCATGACGACCTGGTCTTTGGTGAACTCCCGGATGATCTTGGAATCCTTGTCACCTTTCTGGAGATGGATGAGTTTGTTATCACCCTCCTGGGTGATGATGGACTTTACCTTCCTACCGTCGGGCGTGTCCTCGTCGAACTCCTGGCCAAGCTTGAACTTGATGACGGAGTTCTTGAAGGTGGAACTGGAACTGAGGGTGTATTCTCCTTCGTTTTCGGTCAGCTCTACTACCGGAGAAACGGCGTTGCCCATCTTCCTGGTCAGCATGCTCACCCCAAGGGCTTTCATGAACTCGTCGAACTTCTCGCTCTTGTCGAGCTTGTACTTGATGCCGAAGAAATCACTGAGACCCATGTTGTGAGGAAGTGTTTGGAACTTTGAAAACAACTGATACACAAGAACCTCACCTACAGCTCGATACGCGCGGACTGTCGTCGATGGCGGGGGAACCGGCTTTTAGATAGCCCCCCTTCAGGGTTGCGTTCGATAAAAGTCCCCACCACCGCAATATTTCCCCTACCAGATTCCCCCATACCGTTTTTCAGCCCGCCAATCTTCAAATTAAATATTCGATAGAATAAAAAATATATCTTTTTTCATTTAATGATAGCCTCAAAATTATTTTCGTTTTGATTAAGTTTCACTGTTTAATAAATGTTTACTATTATTTGAGGAAGGGAAGAGGAATGAATTGATTTAAATCGTTAACTTTTGAGTTACATAATTTCCTGCTATTAATTTCAGTTATTTAAATTAAATATACAACCACTACATTTACAATACTAAAATGAGTTGTAGTTGTCACTAGTTTAAGAAATAAGTTGGATTAAAAACTGTTAAGTATTCAATAGTGATAAAAATGTTTCAGGGCCGTTAGCGTTGTGACAAAAACCTTGTTCCATTTCATACTCCATTAGGTTGAGTTGTAAAACGGTTTGAAAAAAAATGCTCACATTTTTTCCTTTGGCCGTTAAATTTTTGTAATTATCTTCTCTAAGAAATATATTTTAAAATCACAAACGTCAAACGATTTTGAATTAAATTAGAATTGATATTTGTTTACAATCATTTATATATTTAACACATGCAGACATTAACCCCTACTATCATTAAAGTTTAAGCCGACTGGGTCTTATCGTTATCAATAAAAATTTCAATTCACGGTTGATAAGCCTAACATAACAAAGATGGCGGGTGTAGGGGTGGGCTTTTCGTTATTGTTGCAGTTTTTATTATTTTTATGTACTTATGTGCGATCAGAATCCACTGATATTCAGCTAGATGTCAAAGCTCAAACTCTCCATCGAATTGACAGTTTTAATTTATTAGTATACACTTTTCTACTAACTTTGACAGTTTTAACAATATGGCTTTTTAAGCATAGAAGATTGAGATTTATCCATGAAACAGGATTAGCAGTCATATACGGTGAGTAATTTGATCTTGAATGATGATGACCTTTCTTATCATGCAGTAATTTCAACTATTGTTGTAGATAATAGAAGCTAGGCTTGGTATTGTCACTGATTACTTGATGTGTCAATCATAATTAGTCTGTAATGACAGTGATACATTGGAAACACCATATTATTAATTATTTTAGTATTTTGGAGCTTTATTGTTTATCCTGTACCTAATGTGTTTTAGGGCTGCTTGCTGGCTGCTTTATCCGTTATGCCACACATATTACTCCTTTGTCGCATTTATCTGTAGTAGCAGCTAAATCAGAAGAGTATAATGACTCGCTACCCCCTGATACTCTTCGATTTTTTTTCAGTTCCAAAGACTTACATAACAGAACTTATGCTTATTCGTTTAGAGGAGGATTAGAGAAGATAACAGGGAATGCAATTGATATAAAGGTAATGTGTGAAATAATAATATTCTGATAACAAATTGAGTTGGGACAAGTTATTTGATATAAATACTAGTTAGAAGTAGATTTGCCCGGAGTGTAAGACATAAGACTCCTTGTTTCCGAGTCCAGATTTGAATCTTTTATTAGGCAGTAGTTTACATTGAGTTGCATAAAAACTCGAAAGTAGGGTTCCTAATCCATCAATGAGTTGGGTATCTAATCCGTTAATGAGTTGGGTAATAAATCTAGTAGTTAAATAGTTCCAGGTTTATTATCTTAGGTCATGAATTATTGATATAAATGAGTAAAACTCAACAAGAGACAAATAATTGTCTTAGATTATAATTGCAAAAGACCTGAATAGGCAAATTTTTTCAAGGGTTTTTTTTTTTTTTTTTGTGTACCTATATTTTATAAACGTAGTGTGGTTGAAATTTTCCAATTATAACTTAACTTCATGAATTATATTAATACCACTAAAAGTGTCACCCCGTTTTGACAAGTGAACCAAGATGTCAATATCACAGCATAAATGGGATACTGAGAATAGCCAAGCTACAATGGTCAACCATGTTCACACTATTATCTCCCTTTCTTTAGATTGTGATTTAGGATTTTGCCAACTCCTTAGTCCTTTTTAGTTAAAATTGGAGTCTTAATTAGCTTCAATTACACTACTGTCTTCTATTTTCCCTCACTCCAAAGTCATAACAAACCCAACGGGTCCTTTCCAGTTGTGGTCCGGGCCTTACCAGATGATCACATTTGTCTATTTTCACACATATTTCTCCTTTCTCATGATTCCATTTATTGTGTGATCATGACATCTTGTGTAATCCATCAAAGTGAAGTAACAAAGGTAATTAGATTTTTAAAATTTTAATTGCACTATATTACTTAAAAAAATAAATTATATTTCAAAAACAGTATATATGTGTTATAACCAAGAATTGATTTTAAGATGGGGATGATTTAATGTGTTTTAACTAATAAAATCTATTTATAAAGGAATTGTAATTGCCAAAGAAATTTCATTGAAAAGGACATCTCAGGAAATTCGAAAGATATAATTTTAATTTTTGAAAATGATCTTCCATTACTGGTTTCTGTGGAAGAACAATAGTAGATGGGAGATATAGTAAACAGGGATAAGTTAATGATATAAATTAAAGTTAAGAAGGAGAACACTACCTAAAAAATAACCTATCAACATTATTATTCATGTTGTTTGCGTACCCTCAAAAAAGTGTTCCCTTTTTAAAGGGATATCAAGTTTATTTGAAATTTTTCGGAATAAGATTTCTCTTCAGGTCTTACAATGTCTGACCCACACACTAGTCAAGGTTCATAGCATATCAAATACATCATCAACTTGAGTATTAATCTCACTAACATCTCCAAAAGTAGTTCCATGAACTTCATTTATACTTTCATAACAGATATCTTCCTGAAACAGACCAGTAATACCTGGTTGCTGATAGTTTGATCCTATAGAGTGCATTCAATTCAGAACATTTGACTTTTGGTGAAGTGAAACGGAACTTGATGTGCTAACGAATTTTATATAGCTGTGGGAGAGCATGAAGGAGAGATGCTGGCATCTGCGATTTACCTTCAATTACTATAAGAAAACTTCAGGAGCCTAGTCAAACATTTAACTTATAGTCATGACTCTTCAAATATTTAAATACAATATAATTCTTACCAAATACACAATTCAAACCGTTAAATTCTTTGATTAAAAATAAAACTTGACGTATACACTGCCATCTCTCAGTTTTAATGTAACCTCAAAATCATGGCATGGCCCATTGATAGCATGTAATATCTTTCTTATCTACAATGTTTTCTATTTTTGTTAATTTAAATTTTTAAATAGAATCTAAAGCAAAACACAGAGACGTTTATGAATTAACTCCTGAGGTGTATCTATTGTAATTGTACCTTGTATAGTGGACAAGACTCCAGGGTGGCGACCGACTTCGAAAATCTGAAAAAATGGGAAAAGTGAGGGAGTTTTAAAAACTTGGAGAAGTCAGGAAATTTTTTTAGTATGTAAATTTTTTTTTTTTTTAAATTGGAAATAAATATATTGTGTATATCATTCATAATGGCCTTAAAGAGGTAAACTTCGTCGTTATAAACAACCGCAATTGCTATATTCATCCTCCTTTCACTGTCAATTACGACAATAGTCGTTATATTGAAATCAACCAAGAGTAATGAAAATAATTTAAGCAAAGTGGGCTTAATACATTGTATTTTAAAAAGAAAAACATTCTAATACTATTTACTATTTGTAATATATACATCTGTATCAAGATCTGGCTGGAAAACTTTCATTCGTTCGACTTATAATGCTCCTCAAAAGAGCATTTATTAACCAGAAATTGCAAAGTTGATGTCATATAAAATAATTAATATGCTGTTAATAATAGTAAAGAAACTAAATTACTTATGAGAAGCTACATTAATATTAAAATCCTCCGGATCTCAGTTCATTTTATAATAGAAAAAAATTAGAGCTTTATATGTCAAGCATCAATTTTTCCTTCTCTCAGTTTATGAAAATAAAATAAAAGCGTTAATAATAATTTACTAAAACTTTAGTTTTCCAAAATAAAAAATCCTAATCAAGCTTAAAAAATGCTTCTTCTAAAACATTATATTTGTTATTTAAATTACTGATTTTTTTACTCAAATCATTTTGTAGCCAATTTTCTTTCATGTATAATAGATAAGTTTAGTTATAAATTATAGATTTTTAATATTTGTGTCTCCACACATATTGGTCAGAGAAAACTCTTATGAAATTGAGAAAAGTCAGTAAATTTTACTTTAACTGTCTTGTTGCCACCCTGAACTCGTTTGCGGGGCTGTCCCTAGAAAGACGCGGAACATTGAATCATGGCAGACCTGCAACAATGTTATGGTATCAACTAGACTTAACGATAAAGTCGGTAATTATTTTTATTTTCATTTATTAAGGTGTCAACCACTAGGATCATTATCGCCTTGCATCAATGATTTAAATTCTGAATTTAAGAATAAATTTTTGTCTGAAAGATAATTATTTATTTTGAGATAACAAAAAAGCTTGTATTGCAGCTGTCATCCTTAGTTAATTTGCTGCGAATGTTCTATGATGAACTTCACTGGATTTTGTTTGGATTTCAAAAGTAATAGTTTTGAAAAATTCACAATTCCACAGATTGGTTTATCGAAAATTTAGAGTTTGAAGCTAGAATTGAATATTTTTATTTAACAGTTATGAAATTGATCTCAATAGTTGTCTTTAACAATGTTGAGAATCTGTATATACTTTGAATAAAATTTTTATTTGGAAATGCACTTTTTTATTTTATATAATGGACATGTTTTGCTTCTAACCTAATATTTTTGTTATTTTTTTAGGCCACGTTTGATCCTGAGCTGTTTTTTAATATTATTCTTCCGCCAATAATATTTCATGCAGGATATTCCTTAAAAAGAGTAAGAATTTTTTTTAAAGAAATAAATAAGTAATTGTTCATTTTAATTTCTATATTACTGCAAAACTTAATTGATTTATTATGTTTTAGAAATATTTTTTTCGTAATCTCGGGGCGATTCTTACTTATGCTGTGATTGGATCTGCGATTTCGGCCTTTGTTTTAGGGTAAATGTTGTTAATGTAGTCTTTAAGTTATGATTTTTATTAACTGAATTATTATCTTATTGTTATATTTCAGCGTTTTGATGTATGGTTGTGTACAGTTTCTGCCAATTGGTTTAAAGGATTCTTTTACTTTTCTTGATGCTCTTACCTTTGGAGCTATAATATCGCCTACTGATCCTGTTACGATATTGGCTATATTTAATGACCTCAAAGTAGATGTAACTCTTTATTCCTTAGTTTTTGGAGAAAGTGTTCTTAACGATGCTGTGGCTATTGTTCTGAGCAGGTAATTTCTATATTTAAAAAATATATATATACAAATCTATATTAATTCAAGTATTCAATTTTTTTACATTAACATAAACACTATTACTAGTAATATAGGAGGTGTCTTTTTCTATTTCTATTTTAAATTTAGTGCTAAGCATTAAATGCTTGGCTTCAGGTGGACTCTAATGTTGAGTTTATACTTAAAAAGTCAACTTTAATGTTCTAAGTTGGTAAACTGTGTTGCAATATTAGGATTATTTCTTATTTCTAAGAGGTGTAATAACCATTATAACTTCACTTTTGTTGATGCTTCAATATATTTGTCCATCGTGATGACCATTTCATTGATTATTACAGTTTTGTTAATGTTATATAATCGCTTTTTGCAAAAAGTCATTAAGTGGCATTTCATAATCTGAAATCTTTAAAAACATAAATGTATTTCTCTTTAAAAAAGGTTATCTGTTTCTTCAAAGCCAATGTTAGTTATCTGCATTTATGAAATATCTTGGAAGCTAGCAGCTGAAATTAGGACACTGTCTCTGATAATATGATGTTTGTCCTTTATTTAAATACATTAATGCATTGTTTTTTTATTTATACTTATTGATATCAAATTTTTGTTATATTTAAAATTATTATTTTAGTTCCATACAAAATTATGGAGAACAGTATCAAAGTGGTTCTGGCAAGTTTGAACTTGAAGCGTTTCTCAGAGCAGTTGGTGACTTTGTTGGTATATTTTCTCTTTCACTGCTTATCGGTGCGACAATGGGATGTAGCACTGCATTGATATCCTTTTTAAGTGTTTATCAGTGATGATTATTATTCATTTATTTATTAAGTTTATATTTTATAGATTTCATTAAAGCTCTTTAATTATTTAATATTTTTACCTTTGGATTATTGTAAATTTCAAAAGACATAATCTTTTATAAAAAATAATACATAGTAATTTAGGCAAAGTACCTTTTCATAATTATAGTTGCTCTTACATAATTTAGTATTTTAACTCTTCTCGTGTAGTCTACTATCTGAAAGAACCAAATCAACAAACCACTAGTATGTTTAAAGTAGAAAAGAGACCCCAAATTGCACTCTGTATACTGGAGGAGTTAATTATTGAATAACTAATTAACTAAAAATCCTGCTTAGGAATAGATATATGAATTAGTTAATTATAAGAATATAAATATTGATACAATTGTTTCTTAACTATATTATGTATAATCCTTTACTCTTCCATACTTGACAAAGTTTACTAGAATCAGAGACTTTCCATTGTTTGAATCGGCGCTATTTGTGCTGATGTCTTATTCCACATTCTTGATTGCTGAAGCTTCAGATCTCACAGGTAAAATGTTAACAACTTAATTCTATAAGATGTGAGAATGTTTTTAATCTAACATATCTAATAATTTGTGATTTGTTTTAGGTGTTGTATCTGTATTGTTCTGTGGAATTTTTCAAGCCCATTATACCTACAATAACTTATCAAGAGGTTCCCGGAAGAGAACCAAGCAGTTGTTCGAGCTTCTTAATTTTTTTACTGAAAATTTTATTTTTTCATATATTGGTGTATCTATGTTCACCTTTCCAAACCACAAGTTTAATTTTGGATTCATCTTGGCTGGATTTGTATCCTTTACTAATTTTGATATATATATATTATAATATTTTTTTACAATTATCTTTGTTTAACCTCCAAGTTTCTTGTGATATAAAACATTTTCATTCATTGATCATTGAGGATGAGCTATTTTTTATTTATTTTTGTTTTTGCAATATTGCTGTCAGCTAATGAAAAAAGTTATTTACTGTCAATCTGTAGAAAAAATATCTTTTAAACAAAATATTGATAAATATGTTTTTCTTAAAATTTAATAGATCTGTACAGCTATCAGCAGGGCTGCTAACATATATCCCTTGACTTTCCTACTTAATCTTGGAAGAGATCCAACGATTGCAATAAACTTTCAACATATGCTGTTTTTCGCTGGTAAGATAAAATTTGTATAATATACTCTTAATTTATTAGGCAGGTTCTTTAATATAGAGTTGTGATATTTTAATTAATTAATATATAATATTAATCTGAATGTTACTTCTGATACTATATTCATTTGGTTTTAGGTATATATTTTATGAAATTTTAATGTCCCATATAATCATATTTATTTATTTTGTCTTATGTTCAGATTCTTTACCCATCCTCAGAGACAGTTTAAAACTGTCAAAACAATATAACATTTATTACAATTTTTTTCAATATGAAAAATTATATTTCTTTAACATGATTTATTATAAACATTTTTTTTTACTTGTTAATGATCTTCCATCTATCTTATTTTATTATACAGCTTGTCAGAAACGATTCTCCTTACATTTTAAATTATTATTATTAATTAAAATAAATAAGGTATTTATAATAAAAACATATATTTTTAGTATCTATATTATTTGAATTTATTGAACATCAAATAGTATATTCATTTGGTTTAAAAAGGTCTTGCATCTCATAGGTCGGGAGAGAATTTGTTGTTATTTTTTTGTTTTAAAATTAATCAATTTTGTCTCTAATTGTCGCAACTCCTAAATGTAAGAATGTAAAATGACCCCTTGGTATAGAATAAAAATGTGTTATTATATATTTTGTTTTATTCGTTTTCTAATTAATTATATGTTTAGGATTACGTGGAGCAATGTCATTTGCTCTTGCTATAAGAAATACAGTGTCTGAAGCTCGTCAAGCTATGCTTACAACAACATCATTGATTGTTATTTTCACTGTCATTATTCAAGGTGGAGCGACAATGCAACTTTTGTCCATCTTCAAGATTCCGTAAGATATTTATCCATAATAATACATCATATTATAAAGTGTTTTTTTTTTTTTATAAAAAATAAAAGTATATAAAAATAGTTCAATGTCATTCTTTTAAATGAACACACACAGCTTTTTCAAAAAACAAATTAAATCAATCTTCCTTGGATAATTAAAATACCTTAAATTAAAAAAAAAAAAAAAAATAGTTGATTTTGTTTTCTAAATATGAATGTATAAAATTATTAACTTCTTTTTAGTGTTGGTGTTGATGATGAAGTCGAAATGCTACCTTACTCTGGTCCAGGGGGAGGTGGGCGAGGAGTAAGTATATATTATTAAATTAGTGAATGCTGATATTTGCATGATCATTAATTTTAAAATAGCATATTATTTTGATGTATTCATAATATATTAGAAATGGGGGTTCAGGGTTAGTGGTATTTTGTATCTTTATTTTCATGTACTCCTGTAGGGGCTTCGTTTATGTCTACAGTTTACACAGGCTGAATTGCAATTTTGTGCACATTTTGAGGAATTCCATTTGTTTCCACTGAGCACTATAAGCACTTTAGAGTTGAGCTTCAATTATTAATACTAGATTTTTACGCAAGTTTTTATTTTTTATTTTTTTTTTTGTAATTAAGTAGTATAATATTTGGTTTGTAACTAACATACTAACTGTGATAAAACTTTCAAGCGACAACTTAAATGGAGAGAATTGCAGTCGTAGATGGTGATTATGGTATACAAGTTATTATTTATTGTGTTTGTTTTTTTCTTAAGTATAGATGATTATTAAAATACAGTGTTGTCTTAGTAATCTGAACTAATGCTCGAGGGGATGTGCATGGAGGAGAGGGTTTCAGCAAAAGTGTATACACTAAAAGATCCAAACTCAAAACAAAAACAAATTTATTAAGCAGATGAACACTTAAAAGGAGGCCGGGTGGCAGAGGGACTAATAGAGAGGCTAACATGTGTGCAAAACCTGACAAACAGAAGTTATGATAAAACAATTACGGGTTTGTGTCCCAGTGCGAGGGGCTTTTAACTCTGCCATTAATTCCTGGCCCGGTAAAAACTCGCATATAGCCTAAAAGACGAGAAATGGGAGGGAAAAAAAGATAGATACTTAAAAACATTCATTTATATATGTAAATATAAGTATAATACACACATATATATATACACTGACAGGTAAAAAATTCCACCCACTTGTAAAAAAAGTTGTATTTGTATATAATACATAGTATTTGTAGATAATACTTAGTATTTATGGAATTTTATAATCTTTTTTACCTTTAATAATCAAAATGTGATTGGGTAAGAAAGATTAGAGAAAAAAAAAATTGAAAAACGAATCATTATTATTCTATAAGAAATTAATTAGATCATCGTTTAGTAGTGCGTGTTTTCTCCTCTTGCCTTCACTACTTCTTGAAGACGCCTCGGCATACTTTCCACCATTCAGGAAATGTCAAGGTCCTGCAGTGTATCAGGAAGTGTTGCAAGCGCTCTTTTTCGTTTTCCGAGGTTATCCCATAAATGCTCAATGGGGTTCAAATCTGGAGAACGTCCTGGCCAGACTAAAACCTCAATATTATTCAGTTGAAGGAATGTCTGCACTATGTGGGCGTGCATTAGAATAGAACGATCGCCGATTTCGTTGAGGATAGGCAACACATGAGGTTCCAAAATCTCATCTACATAGCGAATGGCCGTCAAAGACCCTCCACAAACAACAACCAATTCTGTGCGGCGTTCCATTGAAATCCCAGCCCACACCATTAAGGAACCACGCTGGAAAGGTTGGCTCTGGGAAAAATTACAGGCTGCATATCTTTCGTTTCTTCTTCTCCACACCCGTCTGGAGATCAAAGAGCGAATCTTGACTCATCTGTAAAAAGTATAGCACTCCATTCATCCATAGTCCAATGGCTGTGTTCTCGAGCAAAAGCCAGCCGTTTTACTCTGTGAGTTCTGGTCAACTCTGGTCCTCTTACTGGACGAAAAGCCATTAATCCATAGTCATTTAATCTTCTCCGAGCGGTACGTTCAGAAATTTGCACACCTCGAACTTCTTCGAGCTGATGAATCGCTTGAACAACGGTAAGGTGCCGGTTTCACAAAATTCTCAAAGTCAAAAACCGGTCATCCCGTGGTTCTGTTACTCCAGGCCGTCCAGAACCGGGCCTTCTATTGTAAGAACCAGTTTCCCGAAAACGCCTGATGGCATCTCGTAAAGTTTCATATGAAACTCCGATGGCATTAGCTGCATATCTAATGGAACGTCCATCATCAGTAAGTGCCACACAACGCGCAACATCCTCAGCACTAAGAGGCATTTTTACACTTAATATTGAAAAAATTAAAAGCTGGAGACTAAGAAATGTGCTGCAAGAAATGGCACTGAACTAATGATACTCAATAAACATTTTGATTCCATAGAAAGTAAACATTGGAATCTAGAATCATTTCATTGAATTAAGGATTAAGGGTTATTGACCTCTATATTAACATTCCTAATTGAAAACAAACAAAAAGATTACCTATTTATTCATTAAAAACAATAGACCAATCCAAAGAAGAAATATTTTTAGATGAAAACATGAAAAAATCAAGTGGGTAGAATTTTTTGCTTGTCAGTGTATATATATATATATATATTTTATAGATTCCAATTAGTTTTGTTTGTTTTGACTTTTGAAGAAACTTCCATACGACTTTTTTTCTTAGTTGTTGGAAGCTTTGTTGCCACTGCATATTGTTTTCTTTTACTCATCTAATAAAATTGAAACAAGACATGGTTTCTTCATACTTTACTGTTATTTTATTTTTATAAAAAAAGATTAGAAAATAACTAGAATATGATAAAAAAAAAAAAGATCAACCCAATTTGACAAGGCAGTGGAAGTCTTATATTAAAAATTTGTTTGACAGCCTCAGTTTGGATTATTGCTGTGTTCGGACTACTGAGATTGCACTGTAATTAGAAATAGATATTATATTGATATTTAGCACTATTGCACAATACATACCTCATTATGCTCTCAAAAAAGCTTTGAAAGAATGAAAAATCTTTGTGAATAATGTTAGTTGGTTATGCATTGTTTGAGTTATTCATCCTTTATGCCAACTATAAGAGTCCCATACGAAACTGAGGCTTGTACTCGAATACAAGCCAGTCACCATCCACACAGCTCAGAGGATTTCAAAAGAATGGAATCATACAATTATCCTGCAAGCTGTGAACTAATTACCATTCTAACTTCAGTTTTGTATAGAAATATAAATATCCCAAATCGCCTCTGCCTCACAATAATTCAAGTAACTGAATTTGATAAATATTGAATAAAATACTATTCAATTATTATTTAATAAAAAATTACTCAAGAAATAAAATTAATTTTTTAGGAGAGATGGCGTCTTTGCCTTGGGACACTAAAAGATTAACGTCCTAAATACTAGTGTAACTAATCATGCTCCTCCTGTAATTTTCCTAAGCATCTATGTAAACTCTTGAAAAATTAATAGGGATATTTCCATTTGATTCGTTTCAATTAAAATATCCCAAGTTTTGTTTGTTTGTTAGAAATTCTCTTATTTTTTGGTAAATGTGAGAAAGAAACAAGTATTCTTACTTTTAAGAAATTATTAATTAAAGTATAGTCAACATGAAGAATACTTGTTGTTTAAACCAACAGTTGTTTTCGACTTTTCTCACTTTTAATCTGGCAATATTCTGATTGATGGTGGTACGACATCCTATTGAGCCATAAGTCACCAATATTGTGAGAATGAGGTGTTAAGGAACCGTCAAGTGGATATCACCTATGCAGTTGGCATTTCCAAGATATTTGTCTGCTAAGCTTTAACCAGTTTCAGAGAAACCAGATGTACCAATAGGAGACGCATTAGTGGATCTCAGCGCATTACGACACCAAGAGATGACAGAAATATTGTTATTGCTGCAAGAAGCAACCCTTTTCAAAGTGCCTGACAGAGCCTAAATGAAGTGTCAAATGTTTTACAAAGGCCCATATCAACTCAAACTATTCGTAATTGTTTGTGAAAAGTTGGTATAACATCTTAGGCCCCTTTAAGACGACCTGCAGCAACAGTGCGTAACCAGTAATTCTGTAAATTATGGTGCAACAAGCGCCTTGATGCAGTCTTCCTTTAATGCAGTCTAGAGGTGGGAGTGTAATAGTATGCGCCCTCATCTACTCAAGGATCAACTCCATAGTGCGGAAGGTAATCTCCTTGCTTTGCTGTTATGTTGTGAAGATTACATTCCTCAAACCAGGGCTCCAACTGGCACAGATTTCCATTTTTTTTTACGACAATATGCAACCTCATATGGGAAAAGTTTTTCATCATTGTCTGGAAAAGTTGGACATTTCAGATCTGGTCCTTCCTGTATTTTCTCCAAATTCTATCCCATTTAACATATGTGGGACGCACTGCTGAGAAGGCTTTTTGACCCCATTTGCAGCTTCTTAACCTTCAGCAACTGAGAGTAGTATTACAATGTTTATGGTGTGAAATCAGTGACAACATTATAAACAGTATGCACAATAGGTGCAGAGAGGTAGTGTGTAACAGAGGATATTACACAAATTATTAAATTTTATGAAATTCTAACAATTCGTGATCATAAAAACTAGATCACAAAAACTTTCTATTTTATTATTTTTTTCTGGGTTCAAATACACTCTTATTTGGATTAACTTCCAATGTATTTCATAAAAAAATTAAACAAAAATTCTAGAGAAAATAAATCATACATAACTAACAACATTCCTATTCATTTTTTAAACAGTGCACACAATTCTATTCATATCTCAAATATATCAGGATTTCAAGAGATTCCAACACCAATATCCCCTCATACCACATGAATTTATTTTTAAAAAATAATCATAGAGTTAAATTATTAATTTCATTTAGGAATTTGTAATGAGTTTAAGGTACATCAATTGAATCTATCTTAACATTTTAATTTTTTTTTCCCCCATTTAGGATCATATTGATAGTATAAATGACCTAATCTTTAATGATTAGAATATTTTTGATGTTGATTTGTCAAGTATTGTATCATTCAGTGGTATAGTGATTACAACTTATTTAATAGCATGGATTTAATTCTTTTTTTAATTATTTTGGCCAAGTATACAAACGAACAAAAGTAATTAATGTACTTTTAGAGTTTAAGTAGAAAGCAAAAGATAAATATAGTTATAGTTATTTGCTATTGCTATACCTGAGGTCTGATGCATGTATTTTTTTATTGTTTATCCAAAAATCTACTACACCTTTCCTGCATTGAATTGCAGACCACATACGATTCTACCAGGGATACACAGAGGGTAAGTATAGTTACTCTGATTAATTATTAACCTCTGTTTAAAAGAAAACCATTTTGATCTATGCATCTTATTATGTATGTTTATTAATATATCAATTGTTGCTCTTTGTGTTTTTTTATTGTTTTAAAAATATAGATTTATGTTGTGCAGTTCCATATTGGTGTGGTGGTTGTGACTGTTTAATCATTAATAAATTTGGTTGGTTATTAAAAATATACTTCTACTGCATATTCAGTTTTAATAATCTCACCTATATTATTATTAAATCAATTATGTTTTTACTAAGAAATCAGATTTAAGCTTTCAATTGAGGTGACTACTATGCAATTATTGTTTTATTGTCAATGTTTTGACCATATGATGTCAACAATCCATTGTGATGTATGTTGTACTCCACCTTGATCAATCCACTAAAATCTTGTACCTTGGAATAAAAATGGCCTATGTTCAAAACTCTGAAATTTGAGTTTAAAAAAAACGTCCTGATATGGTAACACAAATTGTTAAAAGACCCAATATTGTGAAACTCTTATCTATTAGAACCAACAACGAGAGAACATTGATCCTTTTGAAAATTAATGTATACCATACTATGATTTATCTTATATGGTTCATTCAAATTTCAAAGTCATGGATATCAAAATGTTATGGTTTTATATGGAATCAGGTTTGTGCTGGTGTCAGTCTGATATAGTGTAATTATTTGGTCAGTTGTAGTAAGCCTTAATATCTTTAACATTAATAACAGAGGCTGAATCAGCAATATCAGTTTTTTTTTTATTCTGAACCTTAAGTGCAAAAGATATATATTTTTAAAATTAATAAACGCTTTATAAATTAGCTGTCTGGTGGTTTATTAGTTTAGAATATTGCTATTAACAGCATGAGATAAATTTGCACCTACTAATTATTTGATATCTAATTTTTTGTTTATTTTTAAGTATTTGTTAAGAAAGATAAAAAAAGAATTCATAATATTTAGAGTTAATAATTTATATAATGTAGATGGATTTAAGAAATTTGTTCTTATATAATTGCATAACAAATTATAGGAACTCTAATCAAATTCTTTTATTAAATTATCAACTATGTATATAGTCTGTGGTTCAGACCCCTTTTTATCAAATTATTAACATCCTCCTCAAACTTCATGAATAGCTTCATCATTCGTAACCTACAAATATTTTGTCTAAGAAAATTCTCAAAATTGGGTCGTTTTAAATCTGGAGATTGGCAAACTTTTATCTGTTTATTAAGGTATATTAATAAAAACTCATGAATACCCATTTGCTTTCCACTCAAATCATGTGATATCATCACAAAATCGGAAAAAAAAAAAAAAGAAAAAAAAAGAAAAGGTGGTTTTCAAAAATATTGAGTCGTTAGGCCTATATAACGTCATCGTTATTTTAATATTTTGGGAGTGGAGGTCACGCCAAACAGACTAATATTTTTGTAGGTCACCTTTTTTTTTCAACTTTGTGACCATATTATTTTACGATTTGAGTGGAAAGCAAATGGGTGTTCATGAGTTTTTAGTACTTAATTAAATAGACGAAGTTTTTCGGTCTCCAGATTGAAATTGTCACGATTCCGAGAATGTTCTTAAATAAAATATTTGTAGGTTACGATTGATGAAGCTATTCACAAAGGTTTAGGTAGATGTCAATAATTTGATAAAATAATAATAGTTTCTTTAAATTTAATAATCAATTGTTATGTGGATAATAATCGTTGATACCATATTTTTTCTATATATTTTCATGTTATTTTGTTTAAGTATGGTAAGTTCATCTTCTGTAATTAGAGGTTGTAATTTCTAATTGTAATTTAACTATTCATCACAGTTTATACTTATGTAAATTCATATTGACCACATAATAATTTCTGATCATTGTTGTTTTGAATCACTACTTCATTTAAATTTTTTATTAATTTTAAACTATTTGGTCTCATTTCGTACTTCTATTCTAACTAGCTTTCAGTAGTGCAATATTTGAATTATGCATTCCGGTTTCATACACATGATTAAATTTATCTGATTAACTGAAAAACATAAAGTGTTGTATGGAGAAATAAATGGCTTATCAATTTATACATGAACATTTTCTTTAAATAATTCAAAAGATACACTTTTAAACTACTTAAAGAAAATTGACAGTACTTAAGCTTTTCAGGTATGTTTAGTTCTTTCTTCCTGTAGTTAAGTATGTAATGTATATCTCCACAACTTGATCTAGATATTCAGAAAAGACATCGTTGTCTATGGGAAAAACAGACTTCTCTTGAGTCGACTCCAATATGCTTAAATGTTACTTCTTTTGTTTTATTCATAGTGGCTGTAAAAAATATTTATAGGAAGCTGTTATTGTGTATAGATTTCAAGATTTATTAACATTTATAGTTACTATTCTGTGGAATAATTGGTGGAATTTATTATTGTTAAACTTTCAAGGCATCATGAAGATGATGTAGTTAAAATTTTGTAAAGATTGGTTCAGTAGTTTTCTCTGTTAGCTTGCTGAATTATAAACTTTTGTCTTCCCCATTATACCTCATGTGTATTTAGAATACTGTTTTCAACAATCGTGGCCTTGTTCAGTCTAGATACACAAAATATTTTTAGCTAGGACAACTTCTTGGTTAAAATAGTCCATTTTAATGTTAGTTTAATAATATATTAAATACATGTGTATATTATAAAATTACTTTAGAAGAGATAATTATATGATTTGTTCATTGCATCAGGAAGGAGGAGATACCCCTAGTAGCCCTAACGTCGGTGAAAAGGCTTGGCTTGCCAAAGTCTGGGGAAACTTTGACTCGAACTACATGAAGCCATTACTAACTCACTCTCGTCCTACATTACTCGAGACATTACCTGTCTGCTGCAATCCAATCGCTAGAATTCTCACCACTACACAACAATTAACACAGGTAAGTTATGTTATCTTATTGTTTTTTTATATTTGAGGAACAATTAAAAAAGTTCTTTATCTGGCGTGGTGGTTAACAACTCTTAATTTTTTCTTTTTAAAAAGACTTTAAAATTGGGAGAAATATAAAAATGGTTTGTTAAGTGCACGATAGGCCTTAATTATAAGCGTATCAAATAACCCACAACTGTAGCTATTGACCTTCAGAGTAGCACTATGCATCGTCGAAGAAAGGCAACAGAGATATCTACCATAGTCCTATCTGAGAGACCTAGGACCAGAGTGGTCACGGTAGCCAGAGGCAAGAGAAAAATAGTCTCCATGACCCACCCTGTAGAAAGTATGTCCAGCAAGGCTCAAGAAGTGGCCCAGGAAGAGGCAGCAGAGTTGCCAGTACGCCAGCCCTTAGTAGTCTACCCAGATTTAATTAAGCAGCAGTCTTTCGATGGGAAACTCAAAGATTCTACATCTATCTCATCACTCCCTCAGCCAGCATCTACCTGGTCAGCCTGTTAAGTAGATAAAACTAAATTCTAATACTAACATACTAACCTCCAGTATCCCATATCAGCAGCAATAATGTTTCTTTAGTTTATATTTCATTTTCTTTTATTAAATTATTTCTATTTATGTTTTTATTTTTATTTATTTATTTATTTATATGATATTTACAACTGTATACAAAAAATACATCTAGTAAATTCGCACATGGATATAATGACATGAAACACATGTTGAGAAACTACCCATTGGTAGCACTCTATTAATATGTCTATATTAGGAGATCACGTGGCCATCTCCTTTTCAGAAGCCTCAGAGTGTTATCAGGAATTGAATAGGAAGCAAGGTTAGAAACAAGAGGGTTGGGATGGTTATGAAGTTTATTATAGAAGGATAGGTATCTGGATTCGGCCAAATCGGAAACATATGGAACATTGAGGTCTTTATGGATTATTTTATTTGTGACAAAATAAGGAGCATTGGGGATTTAACGAAGGATTTTGGATTGTAAAGATTGGATATGAGAGGAATTTGATGGTTTAGTGAAGCCCCATAGTTCAACTCCATAAGTCCAAATAGGTCTTATTATAGTCATGTATATGAGTCGTTTGTAATTAATGGGAAGTTTAGAGCGTTTGTCCAGTAAGTGTTGGAGTAAGCGGAAACGTCGAGCAGTTTCTTGTCGTTTCAGTCTTGTATAAGGATTCCAAGTGAGATGTTTGTCCAGCTGGAGTCTAAGGTATCGGATTTGTTCTACAGGGATAAATGGGGTGTTATTAAAGGATACTATAGGGCAGCAAGTCATTGTTTTACAAGAAATCTATTTATGTTAACATTATTTTTATTCGCTCACCAGATCAATTTCAGAATCTAGGTTTAATGCTTCTTTACCTCAGGATAACGAAAGGCTTAATGCCCTATACAGGTTTATTCAAAGTATGCACCATCGTTAGTTATACATTTTGCCTATCTCTGCCAATTTGTGGATGTCTTCCCATAAAAGTAGTACATCTTTTCAGATGGTACAACCATAAAGCCATTTTTCACAACCGGAAAGGGTCAAGTCTGGTGAATACAAAGGGTGGGCAAGAGTTCCCAAAGGTAGAAAGGATGTCTTTGGCCACTTTCGTTATGTGTAATAGTACGTTGTCATGCTTTAAAATTACTTTTCCATGTCTTGTAGCCAATTCTAATCGATTTTTGATCAATGCATGATCCAATTTGATCATTTGTTGATGGTAGCGAACAGTATCAAATGTTCCACCTGATTTCAGAAGCTACTGGTACACGACACCCTTTTGATCCCATCAAATGCACAGCATCCTCTTCTTTCCAAAGTAATTTGATCGTGTGGTCAATGTTTATGATTATCCTGAGTCATGATTTTCTGGTTCTCAAAATGTATCAATCTTTTATCTCTAGTGAAGATTCAATACAAATAATTCTTTCTTTTATGACGAGAAGGCAAACAAACTTTCACTCACCAATTTTTGCTTTTTCCGTCTGTCTGTTCAACTAAAATGGTATCCATTTTCCTGCTTTCCCATGGGATGCAGAAAATCACATATGGTTTGGCAACCAACATTTAGCCTCCCTGCCATTGGTTGTTGAGTTTGTGTTAAACCGATCGTTGTTTCCAGCACTATCTTTTTGAAAAATTAAGAATTATTAACTCCCCCACTTAGTACTATTGTTATTTCTATGTTGGATTATTTTAGGATGTGATTTTTTGTAGTTAGATATCTTAACATATTCCTATTACTAAGTAATGTAAGTCATTGGTCTGTTGTTTTAGGAATCATGCAGAATTGATTCCGATTCTGATCTAGGCCCAGAAGAGTCACAGAATGGACATCCTCGAAGAGACTCGGCAGTCTATCGAGTAAGTTAATGTGCATATAAATTTAGCTGGCTGCCTAGCGTACAAAATAAATTTTTTCAATTGCTAATTTTTTTAAATTAATTTTTGCGACTTGTTTTGAGTTTAACCAGGTTTCATTCTTTTTTTTTTTTAATGCTGAATGATTTAGCTAACTAATCTGATTCTGTAGAGTTAATGAATTAGGAGCTGCCTGTTGCTAAAATTGTAGAGTATGATTTATTAAGTGTTTAAATTGTTTTCTATTCACTTTTTAATGGGATATTAGAGCTTATATTTGCTTTTTAATTTATTATTTCAATAAATGTGTTAATAATGCCAAAGAAGCCATTTCACGTTTTTCAACTATTTTTTGATCCATCCAAAAAAAAATTATTTTTAATTCAAATTATTAAAATATAACAATTGTTTAACAAAAGTTAGGTTTTATAAATCCAAGATAATTTTCATAGAAAATATCAGCCTCTATTTCTAATTAATTTATAGTTTCCATAAGTGGCACATGTATATATAAAACTTCTCTGAATTAATTATTTTGTTGTTTCAGTTAGAGTTTTTAATGTAACTTGTCAAGCATAAAAGACATTTGGCAGACTGCCTTTGGAATTACAGTGTGATGAAACGAGGTATATTTTTCAAAATCTGAAATTACAAAAAAATAAGATTAAATTTTAATAAGGATTGAAATAGCATATTTGACCGAAGTCAAATATCTGTTACTCTTTCATTATTTGTGATGAAGAATTATTGTTTTATCTTTCGAACGTTTTTGAATCTCTAAAGAGTTTCAATATTTTTTTTTTAAGTAAATTTAAATTGTTCTGTTTGTTTTAAATTTGTTGTCTGTCTTAACATTGGCTGTTTTGTTACCCCTCATATCTGTTGTTATTTAATAAAATGTTAATTTTTCAGGATAGTATTATTAAAACTTGAAATGATTTAATATAATTATAATAACTAATCAGTATGTATATATAATTAGTTACACGCATTTTAGCTTCTTAGCAATTCTTTTAATGGCAAGTTTCTTTTTAATGTTTTTTTCTCTTTAACACTTGAGTATGATAGGAAATAAATTCCTGAAGGCATTTTATATTGCATCAATATTTTTATACACTTTTCTTTTAATGATTGTTACAATACAGTTAACATTTGTTACATATTGTCAATCTAAGTCTAATAACTATATTCTGTATAAAGAATTAGTTACCGCCCATGTTGTGTATTGAATACCTATGGTAATGTACCTGTAATGAAGTTGCTACCTACTGTCTGTGATGTATTGTTAACGTGATAAAATGTTCTTTGTCAGTGATATATTGATTGTTGTTCATGTAACGTTTTGTCATCTTGGCTTTGAATCAGTTTTTAACTTGAAAGTGAATCATTGAATGCAAAAATGATGTGAGTCAAAAATTTAAGCTTTGAGATATTTAACACTTCAGTGGAAGTTCTATTGTAAAGATAGGTATAGGATAATAATATTAATAAATTCTTGATAAGGAATAACAGCTTACTTTCTCTGTTAAAAATAGTCGATCTCAATCATAATCAAATATTGAAATAAATGAAGTTAATATACTTAATAATTAATTAATTATTTATTCTGGAAACTACTTGTACCACTTTTACACTCAATGGCTCATTTATAGATGATAATCACTATATATATATATATACATATATATACTACATTTTAAAAAATATTTGAAAATTTTGTCCATATAACACTGGGAATAATTGTTTTATTGATTCAGTTTATCAGAGGTCTATTGTTTAATCCCTTTCTTAGCTTTGAGAATAGTGGGGAATTCTGAAGACTCTCTTTTATTCACTTGATTTAACAAATTACTGACAAGTCACATTGATGGAAGTCAATTGACCTAAAATATTGAGTCATTTTAGGTAGGAAAAAGTTTTTGACTGAAATAAATTATTAAACTAGTTATCTAAAATATGATTTCATATTATACTACTCTTGTTCATATGTTGGTTTTTTTAGGTTGCCTGATATGACTTGGTCTTTTATAATCTTGACATTTATAGTATACATTATGATAATCCAGTGAAAAATAGTTATAAAATTAATTTTAATTATTTAATAAAGGGATTCATAAAAATAGAAGTTATTTCAATTCTAAAAATTATTTTTCTATATGATGCTTCATATCCTCAAATTTCTGCTAATGCTTCATTATTACAGGACCACTTTCCTGTTAAATTATAACTTTTTTGCCAAATCAGTTTTAAACTGCTCATTTAAAAAATCTGTCTTAGTCTTCCTTTTCTACTGTAATTAGACTTCTCAGTGCATTTTGTTCATTTTTATTAGCATGTTTATTTTTATATTTCTGTATTGCTTTTTCAAATATTCGTTGTTTTTCTGCAATTTCTTTAATTTAAAAAAAAAATGTAAATGGTAAGACATAATGATCCACCTATAGGCCATGTATGCACTCGAGGATTCATCTCATGAGCATGGGATAATCATGGTAATGACTCCTTATTCCATAGGAATGGACAAATACGTCTCTATAAATCATTCTCTGACTTTCAAGAATCATCTGTATCTAAACTTTTCAAAATCAATTTATTTGTTTTATTGAGCTGATGCATAACATTTCATCTGATTTATATGTGTTTACCAAATTTTATTTCCAAGGTTTTTAATGGGAGGATAGAGTTCTATAAGATGATTATTTAAGAATATTAGGAACAGTTTTAAGGAGGTGATTGGAGCCTGTTACAATTTGTCTTCTCCACATTCAACTTAAATTTCTTAGCTTCTGCCCAGTGACTGATTCTATTATAAATCCTCTTGAAGTTTTTTTGTGTCTGATAACAGATAGGAAGGCAGAAAGGACAGCTATATTTGGAAACCATTTGTCTAGATATGGTATTGGAAGTATATTCATACTGATTGGAAATATATTCATACTGATCAGGAACAGAGGACCATCAGTATGATTTGAGCACAAAGTTTAAGGACAAATCCTGGGGGATACCATAGGTAAAGGGAAATGTCTTGGATGGATTTTGACCCGGAATGATTAGATACTGTGATTGATTTGAGGGAAAAGATTTGAACCAGTGCAAGGCACTTTTAGATCAAGAAAGATTTTGTAGTTTGGTAAAGAGGATGTTACGGCCAACTCAAGTTATATCTTCGCAGTCTAATATAATGAATTTCAGAAGTCATGTGAAACAAATTATTACTATAAATGTTAAAAAATCTATTATTTATATTTTACTTTTATTGGAACCAAAATTAGAATTTTAACAGTCATGTAGTAATTACGTTATTTGTTTTGTCATTGACCCAATAAAATATATGGATTTCCGATGATTGTTTCGTTATGTTTCTCTGTAATGGTCACTCTAAATATCAAATCGTTGTGGTAATGTTTTGAAATCTTCAGGGAAATTTATTTATTTTTTAAGGATAACAGTAATATTTAAATTTGGTATTTTCTGTCAATCTTTGATAACGTGATGTTTGATTAATCATGTTTCCAATTAAGTGAGCCTAGTTTGTCCATAAAATAAATTGTCATTTTTATATAACCCATTTTTGCTCTTTAAAATATAATTTTTACTAGTACAAATTGTGCATTTTATGTTGAAGCTTATTTAAATCCATAATGATAATTTTATAATATTACTCTGTTGTAGTTTTGTTTTAATTCTGTAAAAAAAATTTCAATAACTAAATGTAATGGTTTAAATTAATAAGAAATCTGTCTGGTTTTATCGTATGTAAATTCTCAAGATAACATTAGTAAAGTGTTAATAGATATTTCTTAACTTATCAGTGGTTTAATAACTTCTATATTTGGACCTCGTAAGTTCCGCAATTTTATTAATCTCAAAATAGATACTTTTTTATCAAGTAGGATAATTTATAATTCATAAATTATTGTAGTTTCCAATCTTATTTTTGTATTTCACGATTCTTTATTGGTCATATGTTGTCACCAAATATAAGTTTTTGCCAGTCTTCTTCATGTATGGATTTTATTTATATATTCTCCAATTAAATTTTAAAAACTGGTAATTGTCAACATTTGATGGTATTTTTGATAATTAATGCAAAAGCCTTATTTTTTCATGTAATATTGTTAGATTGTTTTCAGCTTTATTTATTTATTAATTTATAGTATTCTAGATTGTTACAAAAGTAGTCCTTGGGCATAAATATAGCTTTATTCCACATTGCATATTTTAAACATTATTGAATTCTACCCTTCAAAGTAAGATCGATTGTTTTCAACTCATTTGTTTTTGGGGCAAAGAACTCTTCACATTTGTTTTTTACTTCCTCATAATTATCAAAGATCCGTCTTTTTAAAAACTGAGCCATTGATTTAAATAAATCTTATGGTGCAATATTTGGGCTATATGCAGGATGAGGTAAAATATTACCGTACCCACTGCTTTTATTTGCTAGATTTTTATTTTTAAATATTCACTTTTCCTCACTTGTGGTAATTTTTCCAGAACCTGTTACCTTTTATGGCTTGATGCAAAATTTTCCTCATGCCAACTCGCTACTGGGTTTGGGACTCTGTCAAGTCATTTGGACTTGTTCATAAATTTCATAAACTCAAGCTTTTAAGATGACAAGCCGCTGTATCATTAGAATTGGAAGTGGCCAATAAATGGCATGTGGGTTCTGGTTCACACAATTACTGATGGGCGACCGTATCTGGGTTCATCTACAACGCTCATATTCCCATTGTTAAAACTCCTGAACTAAAGTGTGGCAGTATTTCGATAGATAACTGACTCTTCTTCTATGGCACAAATTTCTTAGGTGATTGTCTTTGCGCTGAGATATTTTTTCCAGTAGTGTTTCAAAAGACCGCGAATCACAATTTTTTCTTCTGACATTGCACATATGTTTTAAAAATGTAAATGAGCCCATAAAGCCAAATTAAGTCAAAGAATTAAATGATTAGTCAAAGTAAACATTGACATCAATTTTGTTGAGGAACAGAAACATTCCCATAGAATTAATTATGAGAGTTGGAAATAAGGGTTGTGTTCATACACAAGCACTTTTGTAACAACCTAGTAAATGCATATGTGTTCTTCAAGAATAATATACACAATTCTTTTTAATTTTTTTTTAATTATCTTTACACAAAACTGCTCTTTTTTATTCATATTTGATTGTATGTTCTTTAAAAAATATTAAAATCGAAATTATTAAATATTGTATTAAGAGTATTGGTGATGGTTTTTCTGTTGTATTAAGTATGTTTTTATTGTCTTGCGCATGCTTCGGCCACACAGGATGAAGCAGTGAGCCCCGAGCACCAACACTTCATGTAGTCAGTCACTACTGGTCAGTTTGCACGCTTTGTATTTATTAATCAAATTGAAGAATGAAAATTAGCTTGTCGACAAGTGGGCATGATTAATTAAATATGCGGTTATTTAATTATTAAATATTTTAATTATAATGATTATCTTATCCTATCTCCCTAAAATAAAACCAATCAAATAAATAGTCCATTGATTAATTGTTGAAAATTAATTTATCAATTACTTACAATAATTCAAAATACTTGAAATCAAATCAATAAATATACTGTGAGAAGGAGTTGGTCAGGGGGTGCGGTCAAATAAATACTAATTTTTAAAAAATAGTATTATTAATTATTATGTTGACGTTTCGACCCACCTTCCAGGTCTTCATCAGGGCGTGGAATTTGGCATTGCAGGAGGCAGTTAATAGAATTTTGAGTCTATCAACTGTCTCCTGCAGTGCCACATACGACGCCCTGGTGAAGACCTGCAAGGTGGGTCGAAACGCCAACGTAATAATTAAAAATAATATTTTTTAAAATTTAATATTTATTTTACCGTGCCCCCCGACCAACTCCTTTTCATATTATATGACGGTCAACCATCTCTACATTATTAATAAATGTATTGGTTAATTCTAAGAAAACAGTTACTCATATTAACACGATTATTTCAATTTTTTTTTCTGTTATTTAGTTAAATGAGGAACTAAAACTATTGTATATTTTTCGAACAATTTTTATTAAATAATCTAAAATGTTTATATACAACACATAGGAAGAAATATTATAATTTTAGTTTAATCTATACCAGAGAAACCTTTCTACCATTAGGGACCACATTTAAATTAAGCATTAACAAAGGATGTCATACTTTTATTTTTTTAAGCTCCTGTTTATTTTCAAATTTTTGTTATCAATTGGTTGTACTAGAAACTCTGGTAGGTGCTACATTCCCCACTTATGGTTTGTTTCTAGTATTATTTATTTCATTAAATAATCATATTATCGCTGTTTTATCAAGCAATAAAATCAATTTATGAATTATGAAACCATTAGTTGGCATTTAATTGCTTACTACTCTGACAGTAAATTTCCTCATCAACTCATAAAATTTTCATTCTTCCAAATTGTCTTTACTTTTTTTAATCTATTCTAATTACTTATTTTTATTGTTTACATTTTTCTGCTAATCAATTATAAATAAATAAAAAATAAAGAATTTATTATAAATTATGTATGCTTTATAAATGGGTAAATTTAACTGTAGTCTCAGTAGCAGCCACCTACAGTGAATCAAATTTTGTTCATTTTAGAGAAATTGGAAACAAAATATAATAGAGAAATAAATATTAGTGGATCGTTTTGAAACTCATATAAATGAAATCGTTTATTTATGTAAAAAAAAAATTAAATTTAAATTTATTTTTTATGAGAAAAATATATATTTTTTATAATTAAAGTGCAGGTATAAATAAATAAATATAATATAAATTGTGTACACAAAAATATATAATTTCAAATTACTTAAAATAGTAGTTTGAAATTTTTGTAACATAACTATTTTGGTTTTCTTTGAAATGAAATTTTTTTTTAACCTAATCATTTGTGATAGAGCTTTTTCCATATTCAGTAGGCGTTTGGTTTAACAACTTTGTATATTTATGTATAGGATTGCAATTTATTGTTTCGGGAGTTCTATATAGGACCAGAAAGTCACTAAGTTCCTTTTCATTCAAAACCATACTTCCATTGTCTTCCTCTGAAGAACACACAAAGCCATAGTTTTTAAAACAGAAAACTACAGATTCTTTCTGAATTTCATCTTTTTAATGAAGACTTTCAATGTAAGACATCTAAAATGTTTTATATTTTTTTCAAGGCCATTTCTAGATGTACAGAGTCCATGTTTGCTAGATGTCTAAGCACATACTTCTTATTGCTAACTTTAAAACTTTTAATGATCTCTAGATCTAGCTGGCTGATGAAGTGTTCGGTGGCAAAAAAATGACCTTAATGTTGCATAATCTATTGTGAGTATGGGATGCAGTGTTATCCATAAATAGGATGATTTTTCGTTTATGTCATATTTTGTTATTAAAATAAATCTCCCACAAATTGTTTTATATGAAACATTATGATGTATTTTGAATTTGTCAAAGCATCCATTTGACACCTTGAAATCATTGTGACCTAAATTCTTTTAAAGCTTTTTCTTTGATCTAAAAGCCAGACAGAGGAATTTTTAAGGAACCAGACAAAACCTGAAGTGTTAGGAAATTGTTTTTTATGAAAAAAAAATATCATTTTCATTAATATATATAATGTAACTGAGACATCACCTCCTCATAAAGATTATTGGTTCAACTGGTCTTAATAAGACATAAATGTTTGTAGTATTGTTTCCATTCCTTGCTGTTGAGAAAGAAGAAATTTAGTCCTTTGGTTAGAAAATTAAATTTTTATACTAACAAAATAAAAATGATTGGAGGATGTATTTATAAAGTTGGATTTATCTTTTATTGGCTGAAGTATCATTTATGCTAATTATAATGGCATTGAGTTTTCTGATCTGTTGACTTATATTTCATATTTGCAAATTTTTTTTCTCTTATTCCTTCTGTAGGTAACTTTGTATTGTTTTTTGTTTTTTTTTTCAAAATTTAATCTTGTATAGAAAAATAAAACAGAATTTGCTTCAATTTAATTCCTCTCATTGGAATTATTAATCTAGATCTGGATATTCAGGCTGAAATAAACATGTATGAAATTTAGAATATTATCAGGTATTATATCATCCAATTTATATATAAATATAATATTAGAACTATATTCTGAAATTCTTTCTTATTTCAATCAAGATTTATACCATATTGTTAATCTTTTTTTCTCTCGAATTAGAGACTATTTTACTTTTTAATTTTTTTATAACTGACTTAAAACCTTAGTAAAATATACCTCTAGTCTTTTTTATCAAGCAGGAAGCAGATAATATAGATGAATTTTAGACCTCTGTAAAACACCAATACTCTTTCTTCATGGAAAAAAAAGTATATATATATATATATAATCCCATCTATTATATGGAATATAATTTTTTCAAATAGTGGATTATTTTTAAACATTTTAATTAGTCTATTAATATAATAAATTTAATTTAGTTAATGTACAATTAAAAAAAGGGAGCAGTATGGCTCTGTTATTGAGGTTGTATTATCCGATGAAAGTGATTTAATTGTTTTATTAATGCTTACATGGGAAAATTTAATAGGATTTTCAAGTCAATTGGACTGTTGAATTTCTTTCTCCTGTTTTAATTTCATCCGTATATAAATTTGTTTCCCTTTTTTTTTTTTTTTAATCATATTTACAACTGTATTAAATAAATACGAGATAAATTAGGAGATCACGGGGCCATCTTCTTTTCAGATGCCTCGGAGGGTTATCAGGAATGGAAGAGGAAGCAAAGTTAGAAACGAGAGGGTTGGGATGATTCTGAAGTTTATTATGGAAGGATAGGTATCTGGATTGGGCCAGATCTGAAACAAAAGGAACATTAAGGTCATTATGGATGGTTTTATTTGTAACAAAGTAGGGAGCATTGAGGATTTTATGAAGGATTTTGGATTGTAAGGAATGGATACGAGAGAAATTCGATGGTTTAGTGGAGCCCCATAGCTCAACTCCGTAAGTCCAAATAGGCCTTGTTATAGTCATGTATATGAGTCTTTTGTAATTAATTGAAAGTTTAGAGTGTTTGTCTAGTAAGTGCTGAAGTAATCAGAAACATCGAGCGGTTTCTTATCGTTTCAGTCTGATATGAGGATATTTTCAAATTTAATTTATTAAAATAGCAGGGATGGAAGAAAAAAATTGAGTCTCCAAAAAAGTACCTCTCTGACACTAACTCAATTTGTAGAGGCGTACACAACTTTGAAAAGTTGTGACAAAAAAAAGTTTTGGTGAACATGGTTCCAATAATTTACATTAACTTTAATTTATAAATTAAAATGTTTTAAATATTTTTTTATGGAGATTGGAAAGTTTAAAAACTTAAATTTTGCTGAAATCAATTAATCGCAATGCCCTAAATACTTAACTTTGAATTTATTTTATTCCTGAAAAACAATTATAATTTTTTTTAGTGTGACAACAATAAAAATTTGCAAACCTTTTTTTTTGCAAAAATTTGCTATATATTGAATTTTTTAAATAAAACCTTCATTTTCAATATATAGAGATTCAACTGTTTGTGTTAATCTTTGATATTTTATGCAGAAATTAGTGATTTATTTTTGTTTTACAGATTTCTGCAATGTAGATTTATTTTTGGAATGATCTATTTGTTTTTATTTATAATTATTTTTTACTGCTTTTCAATTACGTTTTCAATAGCTTATTTTATTTTATATTGAGCTTCTTATTTGTGATTTTCTTCATTATAGCTTCTTCTATTATTTTTTTTGTTTTTTTTTTCTCTGCAGAGTACAAGCCCTATTATAATAACGCCGGGTCAGATAACCCCAATTAGCCGGCTGGACGCATGACACAAAAGCTGCATGGCTCTAGGCATGCCATCTCTCTTGGTTATTGTATAGTTGTTATTTTGTTAAGTTTTTGGTTATTTGAGTAATTTTAGTTATGGCTAGAGTGAACTTATACCATATATTATTAAGCTTAGTTAAAGAATGTTCAATAAAAAAAAGTGCTTATGCAAAGTATTCTAGTTCTATGAGTTGATGTATCCACGTTTTAAATAAGTTATTGTTATTGCATAAATTATCTTAATGTTGTTAGTTTATTTTTTTGTGCTTAGTTATAAAATTTGTAAGACATTTAAGAAGTTCTTTTAACCAATTTATGAGGTTAAACGTTTTCTTCCACATTTAATATTTTAAAAAAATACTCTTATTTTAATCTGGAAGTCAAAGTGTACATAAAAACAATACTATTTATTTATTGATGATATTATCATCAATGATTTATGTTAACATCACAAATGAGCCTGTTTTAAATGACTGAACATGAATAGGTACCTTAAACTGCTAACTAGATTGCTCTCAACCCCAAAGTAATACATTATTAACAACACACAGAGTTTCAGAAAATGGATCAAACCATGAGAATTTTTTCTTATATTATTGGGACATTTTGCATTACCAAGTATTTTTCGCTGCCAAACAAAAAACAATTGAGTCAGAATCCTGGAAGAGAAAGGTCCTCTCTCCTTCAACAATATATTTTAAAAACAGGGCGACAATCTATGATTAGAAAGAGGGAATAACAATTTTGAAAGAAAAACGGCATCCACATGTATGGATATAGATTAACATAGATGAAACCAAAGCACCAGAAGTTTCTTGATGTGATAGTAATAAACATAAGACTGGAGAATAATTTTCTATATTTGTAAAATAAAATATATATAGAACACCTATTATACATAGAAAACAAACATTTATAATTAATAGTGTTTTTATTTTTCTTTGGACGTTTCAGAGATGTTTCCTCCCCTCTTCAGCATCTGATATGACCCTTACTCTATACCGGGGCATGTTTGATGCCAATGAGAGGAACTATATCTCCAGGAAATGTATAAATAAAAATAAAAACACTATAAATTATAAGTGCTTCATTTCTTGAATTTGACCTGTAGGCAAGGTTATAGAGAAGAATGAAAAATAATTTTATTTATTTATTCCTTTAAATAATGTATTTAAGACTCAAATATTTTATTTTCAATGATCCTGCTCTATGCATCTGATTTGGTAATCACCATGAAGTTTTCCAGGATGTTAAAATCAGACCCTTTATGATTGGTGTTCGGGCAGTCTGTTTCAGACCTATAGGTCCTTTATCGGCCTGAGGCTAAACAGCTGTAATGTTTAAATCATGTAAATTGATCCTAATAGAGCCAGTGGATCAATAGGCAGTCTGCCTGTACCATGGAAACTGTTTTTACCAGCATGGGAATTTTGAATTATTCAAGAAATAATTGTTAGACACCTCATCACCATACCACAGACCTTTGTGGTTTGACTTGATGTTACAATATTTTATTCTGTAATTTGTTATCGAAAACCTTTATAAGGTACTAGCTAATATTTTATGTTGGTAGTCATTATGATCATAAAATACATCCATATGAAAATGATGGTCAAATATAGAGGAAATATTTGGACACTCTTAAATCGAGAACAGATTATAATTTCATTCTTCAATATAAATTTTGAATAAATCTCGACATTCTCAATCTGGCCAAAATGTATGGATAACCTGCTGAATAATCTGGATCGGTCATAGGAAATTAATCAGAGAGAACAAGCATAGTTTTGAGGCACTTAGCTTCCAATGCCCAAGATCTCAGGTTCGAATCCCGGCTCATGGCAGAAAAATTATTTATTCTGTTTCATCGGTCGTGAGGCAATCCTGGGGTAAGGAGACCCTCCTGGAGCACACGCAGTCTCTTCAAAGTGGGTACTCATAATTAACATAATTAATTAAGGGGGAAAACCTGGCAGTTGAGTCCTGGACCGATCTCCTCTCCAGCACAACCGTTGGCCTTGAAACAGTACTTTTCCTAAATAGTACTGAACGCATCACCATTCATGGGTTGTTGTGAAACAGGTTTTTTTTTTATCAGTACTTTAGGTAGTATATTTCTAAATAAATATTGTAACAATCAAAAACCTGAATAAAATATATTTTACTTAACCTAAAAATAAAATTTCATTCGAAATTTGCCACCCTCTTCATTCTGATCTTCATGGACATTATGCTCTTTGCCCATCCTGTATCTATCTGATCCTGAGCATAATCCACCATTACTAACCCTGTAGGAGTACATAAGGGTAATAAATACAATTAACAAGGTATGCTCAATAAATAATATATGCTTTATTTATCTGTGACACGTAACAAAAAGTACAAACAAACAATTGATATTAAGAATGCAATATGAAAATGTTTTGGGAAGAGAGACACAATGACATACACATTTGGTGCACTTATTTTAGGGTTAAGAGACCTTCTAAATTAGTCTTAAAATGATCATTATATGTTGCTTAGATCAAATTAGTTTATGCAATATCATATACATTATGGTTTTAACATTATGTAAATAACAAAAGTTATTGCTGACTATATTTTACTTGAATTTAGACGTATTTATATTTAAAGTCCTGTACCCATATATGTAGAGTATGAGTAGTAAATTTTTTAATTAATTATTGGAATTTTACCTTACTTTTAAGTTTGGATATTAATTTTTAATTTAATAATTTGTGTTGTGATTTATTGTAATTTCATTGTGATACAATTTTATTCAATATAAATTTTATCCTAATAAAATTAGGTAATATCCCAAGCATATCAAATATGTTAAGGCTTTCATATTATTTTAATAAATTTTTACTTAAGAGGCAGAATAATGTAAATACCAAACTACTGAAAATTTGTTTTGTCAAAGCATTCAATTTCCATAAAATATTTTTAAACTACAACCAATTTAGTATGTAAATCATAATATATTCTGCCTTTTATATAGTTACATAATACTAGGTAGTTAATATTTTAAATTGAGCTAAAGCAGCATAAAATACACAATACTTATTAACAGAAAAGTTTCTTATGTTTGCTGTGATATTATAAAGGCAGTTGATGTATTTTTGATCTTAAATGTAGAAACTGATTTTCTTTGCAGCCAGACAGTGTGAGAGATCGCGAGTTGAGCATGATCCAAACCCGTATAAGCCTTCCAGGTTTGGGAGGAAAACCTCTCTAAAAAGGAGGAGAACGCATAAATTTTACTCTGTTTATTAATTATTTTTAAAATATTGATAATAATGCATGAAGTGCTTTATAACTTTTTTCTCAGATTTAAAAATCTGTTGAAAATTTATGATGAATATGAATATCTTATGCGTGGCATATTTATGCTTCCTATATTTTATCTGATGTCAAAAACATCCAAAAAATTTCCCTAATATTCTTATTCTAATTCTAATAAAATTATATGTCACCTACACACCAATTGATATAAAAGAGAAATTTCAAACTCTTAAGAAGACTGAAGGTTGAATCTATGTCCTGTACTTAAATTTGTTTATTTTCTTTTTAATTAATATTATTTTCATTTTATGAAAATGACATACCATTGGAAGGGATGATGATTTGTAGATGTTTCTTTTTTTTTTTTTAATAACAAGATCATAACTTCTAGATGTAGATTTTTGTTCATTATATTTATTTATACAATGTTTTATATCACCTTTGCAAATGTCTTTTATTACTAGCACAGTTTATTCTATCTCAATAATTTTAAAATGCTCGAATTAAAATATAGAATTTTAAGATTTTATTATAAATAGTTAGAGAACTATAGATTGTAATTTTATTGTTAACAAATTATAGTTTCAATTATGGATGGTTTATTTTGTATTTAGTTTTGGCTGTGAAACTTACATTACACTATTGTATGATTCTACCTTTCAAAGCATATTTCATGAATAATTTCTAAAGGTTATTATATGAAAATATATATATATGTGGCTGTACCTTATATTATTTATATTAAAGGATTATTCTGTCCAAAAAGGATTTTTTAACGTTTTCATCAACCTCGAACATTTTCCCATATCCTGGAATAATATAGTTAGCTATTTTTACTATCATTCTCCTGCTGTGTATCTGATTTTGTGGAAAATAGCTGCCATTACAAAATCTGATTGATTTATAATCATTTTTCAAATCTTCTTCATTTAGAAATAGAGCACCTAGAATTAAAATAAAGTCAGTCTGTTTTAATATATTAGTTTACTTCAAAGTAAATGATGCTCTAAAAATGTAAATTCATAATATTGTTGCCTCCATGTTTAAGTAATAAATGTGAATATTTAGGTACTTTAGGCGATCAAAAAAGAATTTTTCATTTTTAACTTTCCCATTGTGAATCATTTTTTTATCTTGTGACCTTTTTATTTCTCTGGGTCCCAAAAACTTTGACAATTACCCCACAAAATTTGTATATGTTTTTTGTAATTAATTTATTATACTTTACTTTCATCCTTATTTTTATTTTTTTCTATTTCTAGTTCCTAGAATTAATTTTTTATTTCCTTTATTGACAAAGGTTAATCAATTGATTATTTTTTTTATGAGCTATATATACTTATTTAATTGTTGCTATTAAAAATCTTTAGACCAATTCAATTTTAATCTGTTGCCTTCTTTTAAAGATTAAAAATATTAAGACCTGAAATATCAATATTTTTATTGATATTTCGATATATTTAATAACAATTGATACTCTATGTATTGAAATTATTGTTCAATACTTATCATGATTACATTGTTGAAAATAGTAACACTTTCAAGAGCTAATGTATTACATTAATTCTTTAAGGATACAAATGCTCTAATTAAAGTTATACTATCTCTAAATTAGGTTGAAAAAAGTGTTTATTTAGTGTCACAATTAAAAAAAATTGTTGTGCGCAACACACAACTTTCACTTACCACTCAACTATGATTAAAAATTATTTTCTGGCACGTTGGACTATTATAAACTTTTTTAATTGCATTTTTAACTGAGCTGAAGCTAAAGATTTATAAATACTATTAAAATAACAAAAGTCCTATTTATTATATGGTTTACATTTACATGATTATGGTTTACATTTAGTAAGAAAATTTCATTTAATTTCCTTGAAAACACCTGATTTACGTTAAATAATGTTAGTTTTTATTATTTATAGAAATTATTTATATTTTTTTTTCGTCACTCTCAGTTACTTCTACAACTATATTAGATATTGTTTTTTTTCTAAAATTCTCTGCTTTCCAACGATATATTATACGTATACCTTCTGGCTAATATTTCCGGAGATTCATTTTCGACCTGGATAAGCATTTTTATTTTGTTCTCCTTTATTCAATTACCAAATTCTTTCCAAAGTTATATTTAACATTTTTTCATAACTCTTAATAAGGAGATAATTAATTATTTAAAATGAACCATATCAAAGGTACTTTAAAGCAAGACACATATGAACATTGGGCATTTAAGCCCTGTAAAATGACATCAATGGAGATAAAACCTAAATGATATTAAAAACCACTTAATTATACAATGATACACCGAGTTTAATCAAAATCATTAGAGCCGTTTTTGAGAAAATCGTAAAAATATGTTTCACCGTTGATATAAAGTGGCACTTCTGGTTAGCCAATTTTAAGGAAAAAGTTGCTGTGACATCTAAGGTATATAAATATCTTAAATACGTAATATCAGTTTTGTACGACTTTTTGTTTTTGAGCTAGACTGCTAATACCTACATATAGAACATTTTTCGGTACTTGTTTATTTGGACTCAGGGTACCTCAAAATATGTATTTCCATTGAAAAATCAGATTTAAAAATTTTCACAATTGCATATTGCAATATTGTAAATATTTTATCGATTGCACAACAATGCTTTTACTTACTATATATATTATATATACATTATATATATATATATATATATATTTAAGTGGAAGTAATAATTATTTATAAACAACAAGATTTGACCATAAAAATAAATAAATCAAAGAATCAGTAATCGACACTATTTAGGATTCTAAGAATATTCTGATGAAAACTAAAATGAACATTTTTAAATATAACAGTTTACAGCTGGTCTTAGCCAATCTTTTGAATTTTAGCAGGTCTTAACCGCAACTGTACATGATTGGTCATGACCAAAACTGATTTGAATGTTTCAGTTTATATGCGGGGGCGGTGCAGGTTAATGCTTGGGCAAAACATGTATTGTTCAGGAGAAATCTGTGATAAACCGAAGTTTCCGAGTTCAAATCACGGTGCCAGAGGGACATTAAATTCTGGCATAATTCCTCTGCCCTCTACCGTTGACCAGGGAAAAACCCGTACAGCCTAGAAGGCGAAAAAAAATTAGCAAATAAAAATGGTTGTGGTTATAACTGCTCCCAGTGGAGAGGAGACAATAGTAAGTAATCAAAGTGACTTCCTTGTCATTTTGTAAAATCAAAAACAAGCTGGTGTTATAAGAAACAACTATAGAAATTTTTTTTTTTTAAATAGTTCTTACCAGTAATAGCAACTATACCATCTGCAGTTTTTACTAAAACTGACACATCCTTTAGAGTACAGCCAGATGTTGGAATTACTTTGAGATCATCCCCATCTATACAAAGAGGGTTACCTGAAATTCAAATAATCCAATTATTAATGCATTAAATTCCATATTCGCTTTATCTTGAGACTACATTATATTACCATATGAAAATGGCTCAAAAAGGTAAGTATTCTTCTGAGTATATGCATGTCCAACAATGTGGTAACTGTTTTCAAACATAAAGTTGTTTCCGGCGAACCCAGAAGTTGGCTGTGTGCTGATAACATATTTTATATCAGAGGTTTCTAATTTGTGGTCCTTTAATACTGTAAACATATGTTAAATAATTAATTTTATATTTTAATGTTGAATAAAATTAAGAAAACTTTTCCCACCTTGGTATTGTTTAGTACATAATACATAAATATGATACTCACCATTCTTGAAAGAGGAAAGGCCAAACATATTGGAAATATATTGGTACTGCTCAAATAGTGTTAGGTGGCCTACTATACGTAATTCCTCACAATCTTAATTTATTTTTCTAAACCAGGCTGTTATTTCTTAATGCAAGTAACTATTTATTTATCCAAATAAGATTGAATGGAGCCCAACGTAAACCTAATTAGAAAAATATTCAGAGATCTTGGGAATCAAACCTGTATCTCCAAGGTTTAAGATAATAACTACTAAACCATATACTTGGTCTCTTAGCCTAAATTATATGGATTCTTCAATTTTTAAATTGAAAACTTTAATATAGTTTGAGGATTTTGGGCAATAACTTAATACCATTATTAAATTATTTCAAATTAATTATTTTAAAAAAAGGTATGTTTAAATTATTTAGTTACACTTTTTAACTCATTTAATTTAATTTAATCAATAAATTTAATTTTATATATATTTTATTGATTTTATAATATTAGTGCTTCAACTCCTTGGGCAACACCCCTATCTGCATCATGGACAGCATAATGCGATTGGATGTCATGGAATGATGTGATCTTCGATTTGTTTTTCTTTTCTGTTCTGAAGATACCTGAATTGCTGAAACATTGATTGATTTTTTCTTCTTTACCTGCATTTTGGGTAAACAAGCCCTGGTGGTTGGAATTTTTTCCAATTACAACCTAACGATATATATATATTTCAATTTAGTTGAAGGCATTGACAGCCTTTTACAGAGGTGTCCATTCCCTCTTCCTCCCAAGTTCGATTGTGCAAGAATCTAAGCTCCCCCCCTCCTTCAACTTCCAAGATATTTTATTGCTCATATTTTCTTAAAAACAGAGCAAGCGTAGATAGAATTATAATAATCCTACATCATACACAATTACACTTGCTGCGGTCTGTTTCATGTTTTCTCCTTGTCCCTTAGTATGAAACTTTTCATTCCGGAAATTCATAACACTGTCAAAATATGCCCACCTCAAAAATTCAAAAACCCGTCAACATGAGCTACCTCAAAAATTTTGATGGCGCAACTTGGGCCATGAAATCCCCTTCTGGGTACCCCTGCCCTTTTGCATTTGCAGCCTTCAATTATAAAAAAGTTTTTTATTTGATATAAAATCCTACTTATTTTATTACAGAACCTATCCCAACTAATATGGAGGGCAAGATTTGAGAAAATGCTGATGCTTCTCAAAGTTTACCCACCTAATTATTATCTACAAGGTTTTATATAAAGAGAAATCAAGATACTGTACAGAGTCAGTTAATAATAAAGAACATCATGGAACAAGGCAGGTCTTTCAAAATAATAATGACCATGTATAAATTAATTGGGAAATCGAGTTTAAAAAATAATGCACGATGGGTAAGTATACTACTTATATTATAAATTAAATAACTAAGATTGAACCAAAATTCAAAATAAATAATAATTACTAACCAGATAAAATTTGGCTCTTATCCCAAGGTGTCATGGTGTTAACAATTACATTAACTTTTCCCTTTATCAAGGTACAAGTACAATTCTTCCTCAAAGTGTAATCGTCTTCTTCATTAATATAGCCTTCGTGAACTATAACAACTTCATACACCATTTCTCTTCCTAATAGAAGATAGTAATTAAACTATGTTGAAAATAATTAGTAAACTGTGTAAAATTTTCTATATTTTAATATAATAGTAATCTTTGTGAATTTCCAATAAAATTATTCCATGAATTCATTGTAATGACACTATTTTGTACTAGTTAGACTAACGAGCAATGAAATAATTCTAATTCATGTAGTTTAACAATCGAAACATTTTCTGTGCCAACTATAATCTTTAGCAACTAATTTATTTTTTCAAACGAATTATTTATATTTCTAAAACATCTACAAACTCAGCTGTAAAAATACAATTATTCCTCAGTGAATTCTAAAAGATTTAAAATATCTTCCTGTATATTATTTCTCTAAGGTCTTGTTTTGTCAGTACCTATATCTTTGTTAATTCTTCATCATATTCAATGATTGAACCATTATTTTGAGGCAGAGGTGGACAAACACTACTCTGAATACTGTGTACCAAGTGTTTTACTCAAATACTGACCTTTTTGCATACCAAAGAATTTAATTACTACTTCAGTTGATGCCAAATGATTAACTGAAGTAGTGATTAGATTCTCAATAGTGATTCAATTTGAGTAAAATACTTGGTACTCAGTACTAATAGTAGCATTTGCCGATCTCTGTTTTGAAGACTATCTTCTCCTTCTTTTACAAAATATAAACACATTTCCCAGAGAAGTCAAGAACAAAAGTTTTCAAAAAAAGAAAAATTGCGTGCATTATTCAACATGTATACGATTTATGGTGCATTATATCCATGATAGGTAGAAATGTTTCCAAATCTGTAAAAAACGTTAAAAAAAACAAAAAAACATCGAAATGGGACCATTTTTAGTAAAGATACACCCATTTGTAATTTATAAACGATTTGTTATTATTTTCAATGAACCATTGTTATTGACTAAGGAAAACAAAAGTATTCCTTCCTCCTATTTGCTTATTATACTGACATTTGTTCAATGAAGAACTATGCGAATTTTTTTTTTTCTATTTTTAAAACAAAGAACCCAACGAATTTTCGTAATTAATCTAAATTAGTACTTCTGGTATGGAAGAAGTATATATTTTTTTAAGACTAAAAATGGAAAAGATCGACGCAAAAGATACTGAGAAACTGCACTTTTTTTTGAGTTGCGGAGAAACATCCAAAAACTACATAAAGTTAAATAAATGACACATTATAAAATTCTACATACCAAAACAAACAACTGACGAAGTTCTTGACGTCGATATCTAGATACCGAACTTGTACCTACAATGGATTGAACTTTGATTGCCTTATCTTCAAAACAAAATTTTTCTCGAAACTCTTTGAGCACCTCATTATTCTGACCGCTGTCAGTTACAAAAATAAAGTTCCTCTTTCCATCTCTTAAAAATAATAATAATAAATTAAACGAAATTAAACAAGGGTCTTCAACATCTATCTTATACTTCTTAATTGGTGAATGGTTGACTGTCGTGGATAATGAAGAGAAGAATAGTTGGGGTGGTCAGTCAAAAAAGAAGGCAAAAATAAATGATAATATTTAATTTTACATATGACGACGTTTCGACCTGAAGTTCAGGCCATCATTAGGGCTGAACTTCAGGTCGAAACGTCGGCATATGTAAAAATAAATATTATCATTTATTTTTGCCTTCTTTTTTGACTGACCACCCCAACTATTCTTTCATTATCTTATACTTCCCTTGAGCGATGGCTATTCTAAAAAAAACAGACATATATTTATGAAATCAAACTAGTTGAAATTTCCTATTCATAACTAATGGTTAATGACTAATAGTTTACAAAATGAAAAATATGTTTCTGAAAATTTTATATCGATTTCAATCTTTGAAAAAAATGGCAACTGTTTGACGACATTTTACGTAGTTAAGAAATTGTTTAGAGGAGGCACGTATTTACGGGCTTATGAGTTTTTCGAGGGAAACATATTTTTGTGGGGCTTCAATTGTGGAGAACTTTCAAAACAAGTTACTAGAGGAAAAACTTTTTTTTAAAAACTTTTATTATGCTATTTACAACTGTATTAGTATGAATACATCAAGTAAATGTGTACAGAGGAATATATCACATGAAACACGCTTGTTGAGAAACTACCCATTGGTAGCACTCTAATTGAGGAAAAACTAAACTACAATTTAGATAGTTTTACTTTCATTTCCACCGTTTTTAAATAGAATTGAGTAGTAAATTTTCTTGAAAAAGGCATGCCTCATTATTCTTGAGGAGTGGTGGGGACATCCCTGTCCCTTTATGGTAAGATAATAATTCAATAAACAGGTTGTAAAAGCCTGAAATTGTAGAAACTAAAAATATTCGAAAGAAGAAAATGTTTTATTATTTATGAAATATGATTTCTTATCAACTTTTATGCCTAAGATAAAAATGAAATTTGCACCCGTAAAACTTTTATTTGTCAAAAAAGGAAATGAATGCATTAATTCTATCTTCCTCACTTGTTCCTCAACATGAATTTTAATCTTCACGTCCGGTTAACTCAGAATTATTCTTAATTACCATTTAAGTACTTGATTGACTTTCAGTTGAAAGATTTGTCGTTTTATAAATTTCTATTTGAAAAATATAATCGAGATTTCATTTAAGATGCTAATCTTTAATTAAACAACAAATCTCTCTCTTACTTTCATTTAAAAATCTTGCCCAGAGAGAGAATTTTAGGTTTTCAGGTTTTAAATGTTGGCAATCAGTAACAACTTCCCGCCTAAGAAATGTTACTCCTCTGAAGTTTGTTTGTCCTATTCGTGTTTGGTCAGTTTTGTGTCTAAAATAGTGTTGTTTTCTTTTTCCTCTCCCTCACCAATAAGAATCATTAACACAGTAAGTTCAACATTCATTTAATTAACCTCAATTTATTTATTTTATCGAAAACCGAACACATATTTTAAGATTAGCATGATTCAATAGACAATAGCAGAAAGGGGAGTCCAATCAGTTCCTCTTTTATTCAATAGCATGATAACTTAATTTAATTTTATTAATTATATTTAATTTTATAGATAATTTCGTCTTGGGGGCGAGGTGGCGGGGCCGACTAACGCGTGTGCAAAATTATATGATTCCTCAGCAACCAGATGATTGATTAACCCAAGTTTTATAAGATTTAAAATAATTAAGAGTTTTTAACTCTGGCATTAATCCCCCATCCTCTCTTGGTGGCCGCAAAAATCCCAGTATAGCCTAAAAATAGGGGAGGGGACAAAAAAAATAAATCTCTTGGTTTCTCTCCTATCCCTGCATACTTATATCCACAGAATAAAAGAACTATAGAAATTTATTTATTTATTAACGAAACAAAAATGTAGAACATTTGATTAAATTTGCAATCTGCAAATTTCTTTGCAATAAGCAAATTGTTTGGCAGCTTCACAGCTTCCCATGATGTCCGGGATATAAATCAGATCATCAGGTCTCTTGGCCAACGCCTACGTCATTGTTGTAGTGGGCTATATGGGTTTCTTGTATGATGAAGAATTTCTGTCAGGGGATTCATGTTGTACGTCAGTCTTTGGTGAAAGTTATTGTATTTCTCTTTTGCAGTATCTAAAATTGTAGGTACGTTTAAGAACTAATATTATTTACTCTGTTGTAGTACATTTATTTAAATATTTTAAAAGATACTTATTTATCAGTTCTATCCATGTTAAAAAAATCCAAATATGCATCTTTCCTTTTCTTTTCCCTGGGCACTTCATTTTTCCTTACTAACAAATTCCCTTGATTTGATTCTGGCCTAAAATGTTTGATTTTTATTATACAGTTGGCCCATTTTATAAGGCAATAAGGGATTCAAATATAGTAAACAAATAAAAAATAAACAAAAATATAATTTATTCATTATTACCAATCAACAATATATAACAAAAACTACATTGAAAAATTTATGAAAGAAAATAAATAATTGTTTTTTCAGAATATAACTGTTACAAATCCTACCAAATCAATTTTGATAGGAGAGACTATTATATTTCATTTATTTATTCATAAATATTTGGTTCACTTAAAAATTAAAATTTAACAAAGAAACAACAAATTCATTTTGTTAATAAATATTTAGATAATTCTTATTAATATATTTCATTTTAAAATAGGTAAATATGTATATATATATGTATATATATATATATATATATATATATATATATATATATATATATAAATAATAAATAATAAGGCTTAGCGAACCCGAAGGTTCGATGCCGACACCAATATACACATATATTTCTTTATTAACTGATCTAATTTATAATGATTCACTTTGATGTAATTTCATTCAATTCAAATTTTATCATAAGCTCATGGTAATCATTGAAATTTTAATGATTTCAAATATTCTATGATGTGATATTAATTTTATAAGTCTTTAGCTTTAGATTAAATATGACTGATAGGGTATTGTAAGAGCCTATACGACTAAACTTTAGGTAAGTATGTATGTTGAAGTATATAATTCTTTTCTGAGATGATAAAATCTATTTTTTAAATGTTACAAACATATCTTTTCTATGTTTAAACAGAATTAATAGATACATATACACTTCATATTATGTCACAGATTAATATAGTTTGAATATATAACATAAAAGAATGCAAATGTAATACATTTTTTACTGTTATAGTCAAATTCTGTAAATTAGGCTCAATATGCTCTGCATTATAATATGTTCAAGTACTATGCCTTCCTTCCTAGTTTCCCATCACATCGTGAGATTATAAAGATGATGTAATATTATATATCTTTAGAACTTCTTTTGTAGCGGGAACAGATAGAGTGTTAGCCGTGTGCCTTCAGCTTAATCCCAGTCTGTATAAATCCCTCAGGGATAGTAGTTTTTCGTTTCTAAAGAAGGAAAAAAAAACATAAATTAATTTGGTTTATTGATTATTGATAATAATGATAAAATGGATGAAATAGTTTAAACCATAGGTGGGGCACTTTTTTGTCATCAGAGGCCACAATAAGCTTATTGCAGTGCTATTTGAGGCCGCAACATTTTTTTATAATTTACTGTTCCTATTTATATTTTTCATTAAATATACACACATGCATCAATTCATTAAACAAAAGAAAAAATAAATTATTTTTAAACCAATACTATATTAACAATAAAAGCAATAAAAAAGAATTACTCGTGTGTCGAATTATGATTATCAAATGAAGCTTTGACATCATCATCAACTTCAAATCCTGCTCCATGTCCTGGAATAATCCTGTTAGCCGTATTCATTATATAATTTCTGTAATATCTCTGAAGAGAGGGACATTCAGGTCGAGAAAACAGCCAGATATAGTTGTTTGTTAAATCTTCTTTCTTTTCGAATAATCCACCTTGAATTCAAACAAAATCAGTCAAATTCAATATTATTTTAGTTATCATAAATCTTATCACATCCTTGTTCAAAAATATTATTATACATCAATAAGTTATTTATTAGTATGTGAATAAGAATCTCTTACCAGTAATAGCAACCACAGTATTCCTAGAAGTCTTCACTAAAACTGTAATATCAACTAGAGTAAGGCCAGGAGTGGGCAATAATTGAAGTCTTTTCCCATCAAGCTCATAAGGTCTATCTACAATTTAAAATTATCAATTTATTTTTTCCATATAAAATTAAATTTATACTTTATCGACAGTAAATATCGTGTTATGTTACCATAAATGAGAGAATTGGAATGGTAGATATCCTTCATTGAAATGGTATGACCAATAATATGTGTACTTTCTAAAAATAAATGATTGTTTCCAATAAGTCCAGAATCTCCATTTGTGCAGATGACATAATGTATATCTTCTGGTTTTAGTTGATGATCCTTTAAGACTGTTGACAGAGTTTCAATTAATAATAAAATGTTTCACTAATAAATCATTAATTAATTAATTTCAATCTACATCATTATATCTATCATAGGTAATTACAACCTTAATTTGTTTAACTCTATCATACTGTTATTGCTTTATTCAGATAAATACTCATTTATCAGGATAAGACTGAATTGGCTCCATTCCATTAGTAATCCCTATGAGAAATAATCTTTGTAGATCATCGGAAGCAAACTTATGTTTTATTAGACGGAGATCCCAAGACCAGAAATAGGACTTTTTCTGGATGGCACGCTTAATTTTATTCCCTCCCAGAGGAACCCATAAGGGGGTTTGATGGCACTGGTTTTCAAAAGTTTTGAGGTGGCACATTTTGATGGGGTTTTGAATTTTTGAGGGAGACACATTTCGATGGGGTTGTGATTTTTCAGAGGTAAAAGTTTCAATCCTAGGAACAAGGGGAAAACATGGACCAGACCACAGCAAGTATATTTGTATATTATCTAATATTTTTTTAATTTACTTTCGCTTGGACTGTTTTTAAGAAGAGGAGAGCAATCCAATTTCTTGAGAGGGGGAAAGTTCATACACCATCGACCTTGTAGGAGGATGGGCACTCCTGTTCCCACACTCTACTTTCACTCCTTTTCCTTTCCCTATAAAGAAGAATAGTTTTATAACCCATTATTCAAGAGACAGAATATTATATTATTCAATAAATAAATTAAATTTAAAAAAAGCTTTATAATAGTATTTTAGAAAATTTATTACGAAATAAACATCATCATATCATAACATTAACTTATTTCAACGGCTGAATCATGATCAAAACAATCTAAAAGCAGAAATAAACATTTTTTAATAATTAATAAAAAGATAATATTTCATTCAATATTTGTCACTCCCTAAATTCTGCCACCCAGGACAAGTGCTCCTTTTGACTCCTTTAGTTCAGGCTCTGTGAAATGATAACTACTGAACCCAATAGTTACATTCTGCTAAGCCTTTAAATTATTATTAAGTGTTATACTGATTAGTCAAAAATAAAGAACGTCTGAAGAATTATTTTGCAACTTTATAAACTAATAAACTTACTTTTTTTTTACAAATTGTAGTATCCAATATATGACAATTTATTACTGTTCCTTTTTTTCATAATTACAATATATATCACTATTATATTACATATATAAGAATTACTAATGTAATTTTTCACCATCTGTGGATCGAACCTGAGGTTGGGAGACCCTCCTGGGGCACACATTTTTCTTGTTCTTTCCTACCTCAGCTTTTAGGCTATACAGGATTTTCCCGGGCCAGATGGTGATGGCAGGAAATTTAAAATTTCCTCCGGCACCGGAAAACGAGCTTGTACTTTTTTCAATCTCATAACTTCAGTTATCTGGTTGCCTGGCAAATCATGGTGCTGTGCACACGTGTTAGCCCATTCGGCCACCCCGCCCCCTCTTCTTCTATCCTGGGGCACACCCAGCAAGCCTTTATAAAGTGGGTACTCATAATTAATTAAGGGCGAAAACTCTGGTGGTTGAGTGTGATCTCGGCCCAATCACCTCCCTGCACAACCGTTGTCCTTGTAACAATAATGAACCCAAGACCTTTCATGGGTTGTAGTGGTACAGGTTTTTTCTTCTTATAATAGAAACACTGAAAAATTGATGAGCTTTATCAGGGCAGAAACCAGTGTTTTTCTGACACTTTCAGGGAACCTGGCATTAGTCAAGGACAAAGATAATGCACTGGTTTTAAGAATAACACGGTGATAATTTGACCATTCTCTCACATTTGTACAATACAAAAAAGATAAACAAATGGACCCTACTGAAACCACAATAATCATATTTTAGAAATTTTTTTAGTATTTCATAGTATTGTTCGGTACACATATTAGTATTATTTGTAGAAATTTAGGATTTTGATAACAATCATGAATGAAATATCTGATAAATGTTCATCCGAAATTCATCAAATCATGTGAAAATATACTTTATTAGCCATAAAATGACACATCAAAGAATAACTACAAATAAATAAAAATAAAAAATCAGTAATAAATACAAACCTTTTAAAATCAGTTCGCCATTGCTAGGTATCATCGTGTTAACAATACAATTATATTTTCCTTTTATCAAGGTACATGTGCAAATCGCCACCATTCCCTTATCACTGGTATTAGAATAGCCTTCATGAATTTCAATAACCTCATAAAATGACATTTTTGGACCTAGAAGAATACAGTAATAGTTTACAGTTTTTTTTGTCATCATTTAGTTCAAAAACCAATCAATATAATAATTAAAAATCATAGGCTTGTTAAAAAATATAGTATAAACAACTTAAATAAATTAGTAGAAATATCCTCAGCAAAAAAAAAAAAATGTTTTTAATTTAAACTATAAATAATCTCAAAACTGCACCAGTTAAAAAGTTATTATCTTATTATTATTAACGCAAACTTGTATTCCAAAGTTTTCAGAACATTCTTATTATTCCTTCCAATTTTTTTGACTTTAAATTAAAAATAGGTCTATTAATTTTAATTTATTCATAACTTCATAATGATTTTGCCATTATCATAAACCAAAGCCATTCTCATTGGTTCCAAGCATCATATCAATTCCATCCCTTATTATCCCCTGCTCTACCGCAATGGACAACCTATTCATTTCCATAATTCCGTTAGAAATCTTGGAGTAATTTTTTATCAATGCCTCTCCTGGCCTGCCTCTATTCAGTTTATTATAATTATTTCCAAATTATCCGAATATCAATTGTTATCTAAAAGCAGTACCTAAGATTCCGTGGTTCTTTTCCCCTAAAAACCTGTCAGCTCCTAGTTTTCTCTCCCATTTTTCCTTACTTCGATTATGGTTGCCTGATATACGGTGGACTGTCTGGTGGACTCGAGATCAGATTGAAGAGACTAATGAATTGTTTCATTAGCTTCATCTTTGGAGCCCACGTCTCCAACTGGTATGCCGAGCTGAAGTGGCTCTATCCAATTTCTCGAAGACAATATTTCCTAGGTGCTCTCCTTTTCCAAACCTTAGCAACAAAAAAACCTTCTTACCTTCTTGATCTGTTTACTCCTTGCTCCTCTGCCCATTCTTTCAACACAAGATCCCAGCCCACAAATCTGTTTATTTCTTCTCATAGGACTGTTTCCTTTAAAAAATCTTTTCTCATACATGCTGCCTTGTTTTGGAATTCTCTACCTTCTTCCATATGCAAATCCTCATCCTTAACCACATTTAAAAACCATTATTTTATCCATCTCCTAGCCAATCAATCTTCTGAATATATGTAAGAGTAATATTTTTATGTTTTTTAGAGCTGTCATCTCATTTTACTGTATTCATACAGATACCTATATATTACCAATTGTCTATGTATAAACACACACTTACACATCTACCTATAATTCAAATGTTAACTTGTGCCTTTACTTATTTTAATATTATAAGGTTAAATTAATTTAACTAAGAAGAAGAAGATTAACTTATATGCCAGACAAATGTGACTAAATTGTTCATTATAATTATTCTTAGGATGCTAAATGCCCGAGAATAAAATTTACTTTTCATTCATAATGATTTAAATTAGTTTTTGATATTAATCTTACACATGATTTGATCCTAAAGTTTGATGAAAGGTGCTGATTTTAAATCAGAAAAAATATATTTTTTATAATTCTGTAAACAGCCTATCAAAAACCACACATAATTATTTATCTACATACCAAAACAAGGAAATTGATGAAGTTACTTAAACAAGTCTTGATTGACTGATGTTTTGTTTTAGTACAATGGACTTTGACTTCCTTATCATTATTGTTTGAAACTTCTTTGCAATTCGGAAGGCCCTGAATCAATTATTTTTAGTTCAGCTAATATATAAACAAGAAATAATAACATAATAAAAATAGTTTAAGTCTGAAATTGGGCAACATTTAGGACGACTGTTACAGAATAAAATTTGGTGTAGAGGGGGGGGGATAAAGAAGGAGAATGCAACTAACCTTTTTTTTTTTTTCAGTATTCAGGAATCAGCCCTTTTACTGACCCAAATGAGTTCTAAAATTTCCACTATCGTTACATGTTTAGATATTTGGCTTTGGATTGCCAGTAGCACACTCATTGAATTAGTTACAATGACTGATTTTTGTTGGTTGTCAGCTTGGCAGATCAGGATCACTTCCTTTACAGCAGTTGCCTCTTGCCTACCTTAAAGATTTAGCAGGATCCAGGCATCAGCAGATCCAGGATTTAATTTTGGAGGGCTTCAGCCCGAAAGCTTCTTTTTTCATAAAAATAACGATAATTAGTTTGGAAAAACAGAAAGAAACTAACTACCTATATGAAATGGTGTTTAAGTGATTCCTTAAGTCCTTTTAAATGTAATTACACGAACAATAATACTTTAAGAGGTATTTTAAAATTTTTTTTTCATAAAACATGGTTATATTTTACCATTTTGAGGTGGCTTCAGCCCGAATAATTACGTCAGTATTAAAATTTTATTTTATGCAGAAATAAATTTATTTCATCAGGATTATCTATTCCGTTGGTTTGTTAGGGAAATTCAGTAAGTACTGTTTTTATGGAAATAAACTTTTAAATATATATTTGTGAATTTCGATCAGTATTAATCAAAAATGTTTACACCAAGTGCACGATATTTTGATTTCTGAAACGAAAAATACATCAAATTATGTAGTAAATTAATGATTAAATGATTTTTGGTTAAAAAACGACGATAGGCTAGTGGGTCTTCTTTGGGACTTGCTGGAAGAAATATATTATCTGAAATGTTATAAGGTATCAAATTTTTATTGCTAGGAGGTGGAAGTTGAAATAAGTGGGGAATCATAGGTGCACACTTCTGGGAGGAAGGACTTAGCGTTTTTTAGTTAGGCTGGTCACATACACACACCTACAGACCATTTTGCAGGACTTGGTTAAAACATGTATTTCCGTTGAAAAGTCAGATTCAAAAATTTAAACGATCGCAATACTTACCCTTACTGTGTATTACATATATAGGTAAGGGAAAGTAAAAATACAAAGTCATTTAAAAGGAAGAAAATTGTTAAGGAACAATAAATATTATCAGTTAATAGAAGATTTTAAATGTGTGGACAGTCTTAGGTAAGTGTCATTCTATTTTCAACAATCGACATTTGCCTGTATAACATATTAATAATTTTGATACATCCAGAATTCCCAATCAGGGCAATTAAAATTCTCTATGAAGTCTTGGGCAATGACTTTTAGCAACAATCACAGTTAAAATTGAAATTTTTATTCCTAAACTGACATAATCTTTCTAAATTTTGTTATGAAAAACAAATTACATATTAATTAAAATATTTTCAATTAATTTCTTTGATTTTCTAATTGTATTGATATATTTTTCCATCCATTGTTTATGATGAATAAATAGTAATTTATGTAAGATAACGAAATATGAGAATGGAAGAAATTTATTTGTTCTTGCTCATACAGGTTGGTACATTGCACATTTCATCATATTTTTACTGCTTGAAATCCAAGCTCTAGTCATAACCATCAGATTACTGTCAACCCTGGTTAACAGTGTTGTAACATATAGCACCTCTGAGGCTCAAGAGAACTGAGGTCAAACGTGGCTTAATGTGCTATGTAACGAAGCATGGGGAATTTTACCGCGTGAAACATTTTACACACGTGCAAAACTTGACAAATGTCAACTGATTAGAGCTGTACATTGTTAGATCACATAAGTATGAAACCTGTACCTTCACTTTTTTTCAGTTAAGAACATTTAAATTGATACTCTAATCATTCTGCTGTAAGATTACAAAAGGGAATTAAGCACATGAAAAAAATAAGATTAATTTATTTATCTAAGATATATAACAATGCATAATAAAAAATTCAGACCTTAAAGGAAATAAGTTATTTTTATAATAAATTAATTAATATGAATTCTACTGAAACATTTTATATTTTTGACAGTATACACCATCCAATTTATTTATTTATTCATATTTGGTATAATTAAAATTAAAATTTATTAAATAAATAACAATAACATTTTATTATTCATAATTTTTTTATTCAAAAAGAGGTTAAACCTTTTTTAAAATTAAATTATTAATAACAATATTATTAATAACAATTATAGTATTTGAATTGAATTTTATTTAATAATAAAAGAATGCTTATTTACAAAGGTGATTTATTCATTATTTAAAATTAAATTTGTCCTAGCTAGTCATGCTAATCAGACAAAAATATATACATTTTACAATTTTTGTTTTGTATTTTTTTTCTCAACAAATTTAACTTTTATTTATTTTTTAATAAATGTAATATTTAAATAAAACTGAACATTGATAATTTTAATTGACTATCTAAACTTTCTATAGACTTCCATTAATTTATCAATTTTTTTTCTACTAAACTTCTGTTTATGTGTTTTAATTCAATGAAAGTTTATAATGATTTAATTGATTCAATTGGGATATTAAACCAGAGGATGATTTCAGTATTATTTTTATAACAATTAAAATATTTCCAGCAACTAAAAGATTGTTGTGTATATAATTTATGTTTTTAATAGTTGAAGAAACTTATTTACATAATGTTTTAAATCTTGTTGATCTTAAAAATGATAATTAAAATTTTCTACAGCTAAAGGCATGTTATACTATCAGGCTTTCTGAACTGAGAAATTATAAATTTAAAAATATCCTATAAAATTTATTTCGAATTATTGTTTCTTCTTCTTTTCCTTTTCCCAATATTATATGCTTTGAAAAAATCTCTTCTTCTTTGGTCTGTTATTCGAAATATTTCTCCATGTCCTGGAACAATATAGTCAGCATGTTTCACTACCATATTTCTATTGAATCTCCAAAAAATGGGATATTCTATTCTTCTCATGTTAGTGAACAAATTCAATTCTGAGTTCTCTCCTTTATCAAATGTTTTTTGGCATTGAAATAATTCACCTTAAATTCAAATAAAAAAAAAAGAATAATAAATAAATTCAATGTACTAGTTTACTGTAAATAAAACTAACCTACAAAATATAAATGTATAACATGAATAACTTAGATGTACTGTAGATGTATTTAATGTATAAGTGGAAACACTAAAAAAACTACCGTCATCATGTGCAAACAATATGCCAGCACTGAGCGGCAAAGATGCAATTGGTTCATTTGTTTTACGTTATTTATGGTATTATTAGTTTGAAAGCAGATTAGTAAAGTATCTGCTTTGGAAATGAATATATAGAACTAATATGTTTTTATTAAAATTACTAACTGAGCATATGGCTAATTAAGAAGATGGTCCAGATAGCCGTTAAGTTTAACAAAAAATAATAGTAGGGACTATTTATTAGTTGCAAATGTTTCGGCCCACTTTTTAGATCTTCATCGTAGTTGAAAAAAGAAGATGATTAGTGTTGACCCTTGGGTTAGTATCATATAAGTTCCTTCTATGATTTTATTGATGTATGTATCAGATAGACACTGAAATGTTTTCTCAATTAAGTAAATTATTCTTTATTTTCATTTCATAAATAATATTGGTTTAAATTTATAAAATTGAGTATCAGGAAATAGGAAAGATGAAACCTCAGCAACCTTCTATTCGAATTTTTCTAAATACGAACTTCTAAATACCTGCATATCTAAACCGTGAGGGACCTCGGACATATTTTTTTTAAGGTTTCAAAAAGAATACAGTAAATAGTAAAAAAAAAAAAAAATGTGCTTTATACTTATTTTAATCACGTTGTTTCTTTAAGAAAAAATGTAATTATTTATTTTCTGAATATAGGTATAATACAGTTTAAAAAAAAAAAAAAAATCCCACAACATGGATCCCCTTCAACTAGCAATGGGAATGACTTATGTATTAACATATAACAATATTATGTTATTAAATATAAAAGGAAAAAAATTGTAGTTCATTTAGTATCAATAAATATGAAAAACTCATGAACTTTATGAAGTTGAATTTTTTTTTTAATAATTTCTTTAATATGTACATAAAAAAATAAAAATTACAAATTTGAATAAAAATTTGAAAAATTTGAATTTCATAAGTTTTTCATTTTTATTGATAATAAATGAAGTGTGATTTTTCTCTTTATATATTTAATAACATATTATTGTCATTTGTTAACACATAATAAGTCTTTTCCATAGCGGGTTGAAGGGGACCCATGAAATTTTGTTTTGATTTTTAAACTGATTTAAAACAAATCTGTGATAAAAATACTTAATTTTTTTCTTAAAGGAACATTATTTAAAATATATATATATATATATATATATATAATACTTTTTTCATTTTATTATTTACTTTGATATTACTCAGAACAGGAAGAGAATGAGATTTATGGGAAGTGACATATATTGGATGCAAATGTCATATAATTATAAACTGCTGTGCAAACTTGTTGCATCACCTAATAGTATATACTAAATTACTTCATGAAATGGTTACTTTTTTCTTTTGGTAATCTCATTGTAGCCAATAATAATACAATCAGTTTAAAGATCTAAGTTGTTAAGGGTTAGCTAATCTCATTCCATAAGCTTAATAAAATTAGCAAACCTAAATAAGTAATAGAAGAATCTTCTATTTTTTTAAATTATGCATACAATTCTAACAGGACGACCAAACTGCTTTACATCCAAGAATTGTAATTTAATTACATTAATATCTTTAATCATTGGAGATAAAGAACTTTGGTCATGTTTGCACTTATTTTGGTTAAAATGTTATGTAGAATTCAAGAACCCTTTAGCTTTTAAATTTAAACTGATACAAAAGAAGCTGCAATACTTTAGGAGTAGGTAATTCATTGTTTGCTATAGACTAGTTGGTAGGGAGAATAGATTTTTCCCAAAATCCTCTCAATCATCTGAGTATCATATCTAAGTAGTCTAATAATAGAATAAAAACAAAAAGCGTTTGAAAAAGAATTATTTAATAAAAGAAATTAAAATAACTGATGTGATTTTTTGCACAGCAGTTTATATTGAGTATTAAGATTATTCCGAATGGTTCGACAACATAGATTCATCGGCAAGTAATAAATATTAAAAACATTATATACATTTTTTCTGTCGAATTTCTATAAAGGATAAATAAATGGCATAGGAGGAAAAAACATCCTTGTATTTTTCAAGTACTTAAAAAATTGTCTAACTCGAAATTTATTAGTCAAATTTTAAAATCCTTACCTGTAATATAAACTATTCCTATATTGCTCCTCACTACAACTGTAAGATCAGTTAGAGTATAGCCTGGGGTGGGAATTACTTTGAGATTGTCCTCATCGATGTAATAAGTATTACCTACAATTAAAGCGAAACATTTTGATTTTTAGCATAAACATCTTTGCTTTATCTACATATTATATAATGAACAATTACCCAAACTAAGAGGGGACTTTTGGTATTCCATCTTCTTTGAAATACAATTACCAACTATATGTATGCTATTTCTAAATATATTATTGTTTCCAAAGTAATCAGGACGTGCATGTGTGCTGACAACGTAGTTTATATCATGTACTCCTAATCCATATTTACTCAAAGCTGTTAACAGAAGTTTTGATTGTGTATATTATTTTTCTATAAAAAAATCTTTCCCTATAGGAAGATGGCTACAAATCATAACTAAATAAAACACAAAAACAATTTTTTTTTTTTTGTATAAATATTAATTTATCATTAATAACTTATTCTACACTACAATAAATACAATTTTTTTATGTACCAAAATTAGCTATTTTTATATTACTTTGTTACCTTGAGTGTCATTTTCATTTGTATGTTTGGGGCACCAAGGAAAACAAGTGGCTTTTTTAAAAATAGTGAATTGCAGTTATCAATGGTTAATGGACATAAATGTTGATAGAAAAGTGATACAAGCAAATGTCTACGATGTGCTAAGATATATACCTCTATGGTGAGTTAAAGTGGCTTTTCATCTCCTTCCACCACCAATACTTCCTGGGAAATTTCTTATACCAAATGATCAACACCCAGCACTCTTCCTTTATCTCCTTCAGCTCAAACCCTCAGTGGACTCACAGAACACAAGATCCTGTGTTTCTGACCTTTATAACCCCTCCTATAGAACTAAAAAGTTTGAAAATTCCTTCGGAGCCTACTCCATTGCCTTCTGGAATTCCTTGTTGTCTAACATCCTTCATTCCTCTTCCCTGTTATCATTTAAATACCTCCTTAAATTCCAAACAGATGATCTTCAATCGTAAAATTTCATTTTATGAATTGAATTTTATTTAAATTAAACAGTAGTTCCTTCTGTTTATGTTTTAACATTAAAAATCAATGCTTTTTCTTTACTTAGTTTTGTTATTTTTTATTTTCCTAAGGATTTGCTTTTTCTTTCTATATATATATATATATATATATATATATATATATTTTTTTTTTTCCATTGCAACTATAATTATATATTGTTAGAATTTTTATTAAGTTAGTTTTTTGCCAGATATGTATTTTTTTTTTTTTTTTTATTTGTTCATTATTCTTATTCTTAGAGGACCAGAATAAAGTTTATTTTACCATGCATCCTTCTATATAAAGTGACAAAACAATACACTTAAAAAATCAGCTGTTATTATTTCGTGGTTAATACAATTATTGTATTAACAGATTAATGTAAGTACAAATTATAGACTTTGAAAGCAATTTCTTTTCTCTCTCAAACAAACAAATAAGTTGCATCATTAGGAATTTTAAAAATTCTAGGTATTTCCTACCATAGGTTCTCTACTTCCCCAAGACTATCTTTCCCGGAAACAAACTTTGTAATGTAGAAGTTGGACGTGAAATAGAACACATATGATATTTCCCCGAAGACAGCAGCCATTATTTCAACTATCCCAGACCACAAACACTTATAGTCTAGCTACCACTAAAAACTGTTAATTCATAAATCCAATAGCATGTACAGCAACTTCGGAGATTGCTTCTGTTTATTCCTTTGAGCAACTTTGATTTTACAATCCATTGTAAGTTTGTGAAGGAGGATAACACAGCCAGATAGAAAAGTAGTGGAGGCTAGCCCGATTATAAGGACCTAGCTTTGGCAGAAGAAGATAATATTTGTAAAATAATAGCCTAGTTATCTATGTAAGGCAGGTATATGTCTAGAATATAACAGAATTTTTTTCACTTAAATTGGCTAACTGGATGTGACTCTCTATATAATTGATTTTATCCTTTTTTTGAGAGAAGTGCAATAAAATGTTGGTTAGAGGGATGGTAAAGCATTGAAGAGGACAGGTCCTAGTAAACTACATACAATATAAATAATGAATCATTAACCAGCAATTTTCAAATAATCCTTTGCATGAAAATATTCTTACCTAAAATATTATCGTAAAAATAAGCAGACATAACAGTTCAGTACCATTTTCTCCTCTGTTTCTCAAGTAGTTTTCTTATTTATTATTTTAGTTTGTTTGTTTTGTAGCTATTGTTGAGCTTTGGTGTTATCAATGAAAATGTTATGGAAACAGTCTATATAAATTAAGATGTAAATATTAGTTAGTTCAAAACCGTTGATCTACTAAAGTTTGTCACTGATTGCTTTGAAAATTTGAAACATTACAATCAAATTCAGTAGTTCTTCTGTTTACATTTCATTACCATCCGGCCTTTCATTTCGAAACTTATTTATTTGTTTTCTTCTTCCCTTGCCTCTCAGCAATGCATATTTTTGGTTCTTTGGTCTTCTTCATTAGTGAAGGTTGAAATGATCAACCCTCACTTATTCCTTTACTCCTACATGAATGCTTTGTAGTACGGGTTGTTATCTTCACTGCTGAGAGAAATCATCCTCCATGATGATATAGTCAGGTTTCCCTCAGTAGTTTGGCCCTTATTGCTTCAAAAGCAGTGGAAGTTTCATTTCGAAACAGTGGTTAAAAAATGTTTGGCTATTGACTACAGTGCCAAAAGAGCTAAAATGATTGTAATAAAATTTGGCTAAAGTCTTCTTCTGGAAGCCCTTTTAATGAAATAATAATAATAAATCATCAAAACCTAAAAGAATGAGATCCAATAAAATACTTTCAATGCATTTTTTTTAATATACTTTTTCGGTTTATATTTTTTAGGATAGCTCTATTATAAGAAAGTTATATTTGGCATGTATAGGCAATAGCAGCAATGTAATTGAACTCTTTTGTATTGTATGTACATATAATATTGTATGTTATCAGACATACCATGAACGAATAAGTGTATACGAGTAGAAAAACTTATGTCGGAAACTTGCCAATTCATACATGTTTTTCTCAAATATTCAATAATGATTATGTTTGAATTTTTACCACTGGCTATACACTAGTAACAATAAATATATAAAAATTCAATATGGTTATATTATACAAACCACTCAACACATTATAACGATCAAAATATGATAATGTGTTGACGATAACATTATATTTTCCCTTAATTAAAGTGCAAGTACAGGCTGTTGAATATTTGTCTCTATATGGACAACAGTAACCTTCCCTAACAGAAAAAAGTTCATACATGCTGGTTCCTAAAACAACACAATAATAAATTTTGTTACTCATCACTGAATGCATAACATAATCAACAGTCATTCAAATTAAAAATATTTTTATTGATTTATCACATTATTAATATTCCTTGAGTGTGTAACAGTTTACTTAGCAAATTAAATAGTTTTCCTAAATGAGAAATAGGAATCCAAGACTTCAGAATAATTCTCATAAGAATTGTCAAATAAAAATTTGGAGAACTGTGGATTTTTGTCAAGTTCAACTTTCTTTAAGATGGTTAGTTTATTCCTGAACATGTTAAAATTAAGTATCCAATGAACTTAACTGAGTTCAAAAGAGGATAGGTTTAAAATAAAAAAAGATTATTAAAATCTACTATCAAGTTTTTTTTACTTTCCTACCTATACTTGGTAAGGAAAGTATTGCGACCGGGTCAAATTTCTGACATGCGGTTTTCCAGGGAACTATACTTTTCAGAGCCCCCTCAGTCGGAAAAACACATTTTCAGCCATTGGTCTATCTGTCTGTGCCAAGATTATATCGGGAACTAGTGGACCGATTTTGTTGCTTCTTTTTTTATTTTGTAGACTTTTGATTACTGATTCCTGTCACAAATTGAGTGCTCCATGCGCAATAACGGCTGCGTAATAAGTGAAAACATATTTTTCTTTACACTATAGCGCTAAAATGGCTCTAACGATTTTGATGAAACTTTCCTATAATTTTATAATTAATGTCCTTTAAACTTTTTTGCATATACTAAATTCTCGAGAAAATTCAGGAAAAAAAGTTATAAAGAAAAGGAAACTGTTTTGAGGCCTGACTCACTAAGTATGTATTCTACCGTAAAATTTATATGAAAACTTTTGAAAGTTAATTAAATTACCTACAAAACAAAAACAAAAAAAATCACTGGAATCGAGCCAGAATTAGCAATGATACAGGGTGTTCTATTTTCTACAACTATTAATGAAGTTACAGCTATTCAATTTCGTACCTAAGATTACAGGTTCATATTCTGGTTTCAAGAAGGGTTGAATGAAAGAGAAAATAGAAAAGTAAGAAAATCTGTTGCCCGCATCACACAAGTTTCATTTTCCTCTTGACTTTAACAGAAATTATTGTATGACAATATGGGGCTAAGATGAAAAAGTTTTTGATTAGCAATATTAGAGGGTATTGATTTTTTTACTCAGATCTTCCACAACCTGGTTTACATTGCTTTAGTTTATCAAAGAAATCGTACTCAAATCTTTTCTTTGATCAATTTTTGAGGAAAATAAATCTAATTCAATTTTTTTTTTTGTTTCTCAATGGGTATTTTTAAAGATATAAAAACTTTTCTGAAATAGGTAGGAAAGTCATGTGAGTGGATGCACCAGATTTTTTACATGCTGTGGGGAAATGATGAAAGTAAAATTGTTAGAATATTGAAATATATCAAAGTAATCAGTAGAAGAAATTAATTCAAGGTGCAGTCAAACATGAAAGTTCACAAAAAAAATGAAAAAAAAAAAAATGAAGAGAAGATGGTTGAATTATATCTATTTGTGCTGATATTTCGGCCTAAGTTTCAGCTCTTCATCAGAGCTGCTCAGCTGAAGGATATGGGATATTTGTCACAAAGAAAATAAATATAATTTATTTTTACTTTGTACTTCCAATGACTGCAAGCCCCAAATATTTTGTTTTGAACAATATCTTTCCACAGTCAATCAACCATAAAAAAAACAAATTGTGTACATTTTACACATATATATTTTGTAGTTTTGACTCTACCCCCAACTAACTTCTTTTAATTGACCTACTGTCTACTAGATCTCCAACAGTATAAAACCAAGATTATAACCCACAATTTTAATTGGAATAATTTTTTTTTCTTAACCGCATTGGATGTGGTGTTGAGAACTGGTTAGTTTTCTCAGTCTAGTAATAGGTTTTTAATGTAAGTCTGTCATCTAATAGGTTTGTGAGTAAGTGGAGTAAGTGTTTTAAAAAGTGGGTTTGTCGAGTGTTGAAGTCTATTAAAGAATTTGATATGCCTGCGTGTAATAAGATCACCTACCTTCGCTAATTCGAGGGTGGTAATTGAAATAATCAATATTTATTGAATAATATTTGAATAATGTGATTTTAATATAATATAATAATGCTGTGATAATAAATATAATATGCTTTGATAAAATAAAAATAAAAAAGAGTTGTATCTGGAAGTTGAATTTTTTACTTGAGTTTGATGACACAGAGGCCTCTTAGATGTTCATTTTTCTTATTTTTGTTCATTTTACGTATAAATTTTATCACATCATGTATATAAAAACATATTAGGCAATAAAAGTTTAAATATATGCTGGATTTTGATGCTAAAAGACCTTTTATCATAAATTTACAGATTTTTCTCCTGTGCTCGGACATAAATCATATTAAAAGAGAAGTTACTCACCACTTTTTTTTTATATATAGCTAGTTTACACAAACATTCATAAATGCACAAAAAACAAGCTGAGAAGTTGTTCTTTCTTTAAGAAGCTTCGTTGCAAAAATTGAACTTTGTTTGGCAACATATAGCTCATGTTCACATATAAAAATATTAGGCAGTGGAGTAACATGACCTTTTTGTGCCATGCATGGATTAATTTATGGGGACCCCTAATAAAATTTAAATAAAAACTATATTCTTGTCTGACTTAAAAAAAAAATGTATGTCATGTTTTTTTATTATAGCTACCATTCAATCAAGAAAAAATATATTTAAAAAAAATAACTAAACCCCTCTAGTCGGGGCACCTTTAGGAAGTAAATTTCAACCTGCCTAATAATAATTAGAGGAATTTAAAAACAAGCTTAAAGTAAAATATGTAAATTTGACAAGTTTCATGAGAATGATCCTTTTGGGTTTTGAGTAACTAATGTTAATTGTCAATCATTTAAAATAAAGACTTCTTTTATATGCAATTATAAAACTCAAGGAATACTGACTAATAAGATGTTTCAATAAATTATTTATTTTTCCGAAGTTTTCAGTTAAATAAAAAAAAAATCAAATTTTAGTGCTAGTTTAAAACACCTTATTTCATAGGGAGGGAGACGTGAATACTTTGAAATAATAAAAAGGAAGAAAAAGTATTTTGAGAAATTTTTTTATTAAGTAGCAAAAAAGCATATGTATACACTATTTAAAAACGAAAAAATGAAACAGCAAACTTCGAAATCGTATTTCACATCGATTTAGTGCATGTTTTAATGTAAATTTAACTCAGAAAACTAGATGATATGAGAGTTGAGGTAAAGAAATTCTAAAAATTGATACAACGAAAATTAAAATAAAAAATGTCATTTTGTAATAGTTTCACGGCCAAGAAGTGAAAAATAAAATGAATAAAACGTCCAAAATTATAGTTTTAATCTACATACCAAAACCAACGAAGTTTCAGAATTTATTTTGATGTAAGTTATCTTTGGTCAAAGGACTGGACTTTGACTGCTTTATCAGCAAGACTCTATTATTATTCTTGAAACTCATTCAACTGACTACTTTGGCTGAGGCATTAGTAGCCTGAATAAAAAAAGAAAAAAGTTTTATAGTTTGACGAAAATTAATGAGTAGAAAAGAGATTCCATGCGATCATTTTTCTGAATTGTCGATAAATATCTGAAAAGAAAAAAATTATTCTAAAAAAAAAAATATGCTTGGCGAGAAATTAAAATAAATAAATTTGCCTACATAAATGATGTGTACGATTACTATTAAGGAAAACAAAGGAGATAAAAAAATATTATGAAAATTATTCTTATACCAATTATATTAAAAATAAAATGTTGAAATATATTAATCAAAATGGTACAATCTTATGGAAAAATGTTTAGATAAAGATGGAACTCAAACTTCATTATTTATATAATGGGAAACATACGAAGGAATGTGTCTGCAATGTTTAACATGACAAGCGCTGACTTCCGAAAGAGCGATCGAAAATGTCGAAAATTATTTATTTTATTTTCTTCTTCCCTTGCCTCTCGGAAATACAGATTTTCGGTAGAAGTAGTTGATATTTCTACCACTCATCTTCTTCAGTACATTTCACTCAGTTCCTGGCTCGCTTGCAGTGTACATCGCTGGTGACGTCACTACAGCTCTTAACGGTTTTTAACTGTTTTCAACGGTTTTCCGTATTGTTTATTCCTCGTTCTTGTGTGCTCCTGCATTATGTGAGGTTCACGTAAGTACGTAGCTTTATTATTAACCTTTTGGTTAATTAATTTGTCTAAGTTAACTTACAATTTTATTAAATCACCATCATGACGCCACCACTTACTAACAACTCAGAACATAACCCACAGATACGACATAGCACAATGGAACACCTCAACTCTCCCACAAATAAACTGAAAAGGTACAATCAGGACGATTAAACTGACTTTGAAGGCTACATTATACCTAAGAAAATTTCGTACGCACCAAGACTAACTATCAATCATACCGACGAGAACATCCAACAGTTTTTCTGCACTACAGACAATTAATAATAACACGGATCCTACACCATCCAATAGCAACAATACACAATACAAAAACTCTACCACGCCAAAAACGTTTAAACCACCTCCTATTATTATCAGACCAGCAATGTCCGCTGTGGCATTACGAAAAGTTCTATTAGATGCTAAAATTAAAAACTTTACCATTCGTTCAAATAAGGACGAAACCAAATTGTATTTGAACCTCAAACCTGACTACGAAGCTGCAATACATGTTCTAAATGTCAGCGATGAAATTGATTTTCACACCTACTCCCCAAGCGGATCAAGGCCGCTTAATAAATTTATCATCAAAGGTCTGGACCTTGACCATGACCTTGATTCAATTACAGAAACCCTCCAAGCCCGCTTACCCGGACTCAAATCTGTATGGAGGATGAAAAAGACCGACGCAGATGGCTTCAAAATAGAACTGCCACATATCATAGTCACGACAGACCCTGACACTACCATTGACAACCTCAAAGCAGTTGGTCCAATCGACCATATGGGGTACTCAGTTGAGAAACTGAGGAACATCAATGGTCCCAGGCAGTGTTACAACTGTCAGCAATTTGGCCATACAAAAAATTACTGTGCCCGCAAGATAAAATGCGTACGATGTGGTGAACACCACGACATCAGCGAATGCTCCCGAAACACCCCCCTCAAATGCGCAAATTGTCAGGGCCCTCATGTGGCCTCTTATAGCAATTGCGAAAAGAGACTTGCACTATTACAAAACATAGTGCAGGCTCATGCTGGAAGAAATACAGCAACAAATCCCAAACAAGAACAAAAGGGTAAAACATCACAAGCTCCGCCCACCACCTCAAGACCCGACTCTTATGCAAACATCACGACACTTACAACAACTATTGACATCGACAACGCCATTAGTACATTACACAACATTATCCATAATGCAGCTAACACCACCATCCCCACCTTCAACCCCATTCCAATTCACCTTCGCCTACCACCAAAACACATCCTATCAATCATAAAACAACGTAACAACATCAAGAATTGCTGGTACAGAACCAAAGACCCTACTTACAAACCTATCATAAACAGCCTCACTAGACAAATAACATCCATTATGTCGCAGTGGAAAACGTCAATATGGCATGAACAACTTCGCCGGACCCACAACGACCATAAAAAATTCTGGAAGCTAGTCAGAAGCCACAACACCAAATCCAAATCGGTGAAAATCCTCCGAGGCGATGAGCTTCTCACTCCTGCAGATCAGGCTAACATTCTATCAGACTACTACGTAGAACGAGACGATGCCCGTACTGACACCATTTATCATCACATCCCCCTCACGGATAACCTAAATAACTCAATATTCTCCACATATAAACACCTGACTGCAATTTTGAGAAAAACAAAGGGAAACAAGTCTGCAGGAAAGGAGAAATTCCTTCTGTCCTTATCAAACAACTACCCCGAAAAATCCTAATGTTTCTCCTTAACATTTTTAACTCATGCTCACGCCTCAGATATTTCCCAACGGAGTGGAAACATGCTATTGTCGTTCCACTCCTCAAACCCCGGAAACGAGGAGCGGTCCCGGAAGATTATCGGCCGATCAGTCTCCTCGACCATATCTCAAAAATATATGAGAAACTAATCCTCATTCACATCCGAAAACACTGCGATTCACATGACATTATACCCCCTGAACAAACTGGGTTCTCTCGCGGCGTTAGCTGTTATCATCACGTGGCTAAATTACAGTACGAAACAGCTAATAATCTAAATAAAAATCTTGCCACAGCCATGATCTCCCTTGACTGCACACAGGCTTTTGATTCTGTATCCCACTCCATCCTTATAAATAAACTCAGGCACCACCAATTCCCTTTACAACTAGTCGATATTATCGGCTCCTATCTCAGTGACAGGACCTTCTCAGTTCGAGTCAAAACTGACATGTCACCCCCTAGGCCAGTTACTTGTGGCGTCCCCCAGGGCTCAGTTCTGGCGCCTATCCTATTTAATATTTACACTGCCCAAATAGTTGGGACCAAAATTGACAAAGTTCAAATAGCTGCTTATGCTGATGATATTGCTATCTACACAGCAAGCATGGGAGCTAAACACGCAATGCGCCGAGCACAAAATGCAGCCCAACTGATCATAGGCCAACTTAAAAACATAAACATCCACATCAACCCCGCAAAAACCGACGCCATCACATTCTCATACAAGAAAACAACTGAAAAACTCCCTAAACTTAACGGTCAAACTATAAAAACAAAAAGACATCTCACATACCTAGGAATAAAACTCGAATCACATTTATCTTTCACAGCGCACATATAACACAGAATACAAACAGTAAAATCTACCACATATCAACTCCGCCATCTACTCTATTCTCCAGGGCTGTCACTCAGACTCAAATTACTCAGATATAAAGCCATACTCAGACCTTCACTTCTCCACGGTGCTCCCCTCCTACACTACCTATATCCCACAGCCCTGAAGAAACTACAACAATACCAGAACAGCATACTCATGAAGATCTGCAAAGGGACAACATTAGAAAGACGAAACATGAAACACATACATAACGAACTACAACTCGACTTTGTGCAACAACATATTTCAAGAAGACATATCAAGTTCTTCGACAACCTCCCCGCATCCTTTAACCCACTATTCCGATCCATCACCCAATCCCCCCTCCCTGCCAGATGGCAAGGCCGTAAGGGTCCAATAAACCCCACCAACGTAATCATTTAACCCGCCTCACGGCTAGTCCTCCTCTCCCCATCCCTATCCATATCCCTATTCCTCCCCCCCCTCCTTATTTTATCTTTATGTTTAATTTTTATTTTATTTTATATATTTTTCACTTAACGAGCGGAGGACCCTCAACTCCAAACATCTTATCAAGACCTTAAGTGGGCAGGAAGAGATAACCAACAAAAATCATTCAACGCACCTTCAAATACCACAGGTAGAAAAAGGTCAAGGTAATTCAGAGTATCGTTCCGCTAGTGCACTGGTCCGATATGACACTGATATCATGATTTGTTTTGTTTCAGAGGGATCGGAAAAAAAAAAAAAAAAACTTCTTCAGGATCCCCCACTAATTCCTTTTACCCGTACAAGAATGCTTCGTAGTATGTTTATGTTCATAGTATGTAGCATGCTCGTATGTTTTCGTCAGTTTACATGGTAAACATTACCGATAAGATCGGATTTGCATTTTATTTTGTGATTGCTCATAATATGATCGCTGTCACTAGACTAAAATTATCAGCTAAATATTACACCTAAGTATTCAAGAGCTGGCTTGATCGATACCTAATTAAACAGACAATGTTTGCCGATCTGATTGAAAACTTCCCAATTCCGAGATTTTTCCAAAAGAAAATATTTATAGGTTACGATGAGATGAAGCTATTTACTAAGTTTCAGAAAGATGTTAATAATTTGATAAAAAGTAGTCCCTACCACCACTAGCGGATTCAGAATTTAATTTTGGGGAGGGGCTTCAGTCCGAAAGATTTTTTTTCATATACATATAACGATAATTATTTTTTTTTAAAAAGAAAGAAATTAACTACCTATATGAAATGGTGTTTAAGTGGTTCTTGAAGTCCTATTAAATGTAATTAAACGAACAAGAATACTTTGAGAGGTTGTTTTTAATATTTTTTTCTGTAAAACATGATTATATTTTACCATTTTGGGGGGGCTTCAACCCGAAAGCCCTCCCCCCCCCTGTAGATCCGCCTGTGCCTACCACGGACTAATATTTCACCCCACGTCCGTAACCTCCCCTCATGATTCCATAAGTATTCTGAATTTTGATTATTTTACAATAGAATAAATGCATTTTCACAACAACCACTTCATTTTTTTTTCTTTTTATAAAAATAATCATTCTTCGAAATCCCAAAAATATAAAAATAACGAGATTATACAGGCCAAACGGCCCAATGTTTTTTTCTCGATTTTGTGATCAAATTATCTTAGGGTTCAAGTGGAAAGCAAATAAGTATTCATGAGTTTTTAATGAGTAATTTTCGTAGATATGAAGCCATTTGTGAAGTTTTAGGCAGATGTTATTAATTTGATAAAAAGGGGTCTGTACCACGGACTATTTCTACATTATAGCTTTAAACTCATCAAATCTATTAATGGGAAGTAAAATATTAAACAAAAATTTTCATTTTTCGATTGCAATGAAAATTTTTACGAAGGGTTTTAGAGGTACGAAAAACGAACATCATCTTTGTTTATTACAAAAAAAAAATCAAATCATCCTTTAGATACCTATCAAGTTTAGAAAACAAAATTATATTTGGTTCTAAGCTATAGAATGAATGAAATATCGAAACGATTTGTTCTAACCACAGGAATAAAGTTAGTTAAAATATTTTTTAAAGGAGAAACAATGATGGTATTTATTTCGCATCTTGAAAAGAAAAACCATTAAATTAGAATTGTCATAGTAATCGAAAATAAAAGTTTCTTTTTCCAAATTTTGGACTAAGCAATAGTTTAGATTTTTATTTTTCGAAAATTACAAAAATTGTAATAAATTCAACCTGATTTGCTCCTCCTGATGCTGGCACTGTATTTACTGTATGGCATGTACTGTATATGTACTGTATGGCACTGTAATAGTTTTAAATGATGCTAAAAACAAATCTGAATCGTTTTTTATGACAAAATTTTACTTTGCCTACATTACTGGAAGCATCTTTTGGTGTCACGGGCGGATCTACGGGGGGGGGGGAGCTTTCGGGCTGAAGCCCCCCCCAAAATGGAAAAATATAACCATGTTTTATGGGAAAAAAAATTTTAAAAATACCTCTTAAAGTATTATTGTTCGTGTAATTACATTTAAAAGTACTTAAGGAATAGCTTAAACACCATTTCATATAGGTAGTTAGTTTCTTTCTGTTTTTCCAAAGTAATTATCGTTATTTTTATGAAAAAAAAAGGTTTCGGGCTGAAGCCCTCCCCCAAAATTAAATCCTGGATCCGCTAGTGTTTGGTGTTTAGTATAATTACAACAGGTAATTATGGAAACTATAATTTTGAATATAGTCAATTAGCAATATAGTAAGTTTAAAATATGGTGGTCTGAATATATACAAGTAATGTTTCATGTTAATGCGTTATTCAAAAGCATATCTGCTTTTCAATCTTCAAAATTATCTACCCTGTCTGTTGTGTAGGAGTATATAAGGACATTAAACAAATTGATTGTAACATTTATTTATCTATGACATCTAACAATCACAAAAGTTTTTGAAAAAATTTAAATAAAAAAAGAAATAAAATGATTTTAAAAAGAAACTATTATACAAACTTATCTTTTAGATTCAGTATGATAAATTAACCTTAAAATTATAATTAATGTTAACATTTCTAAGCAATTGGAAACATAACAGGTAACATTTGCTAAGCAATTACAAATAAATTAGCTATTGAATAATATAGTATTGAAAATCATTATACTTCATACAAACTGCATTTTCATTGAATTTAAGATAATTATTTTTTATTATTAGTGGTGCTTATATAATTATTGTATACTGAAATTTTTCTGTAATCTTTAAAATTTAACTTATTTTTATTTATTTGCTGTAGCAATTGTTTCAATTACTTTTTGAATTTGTAATCTCTACTACTTGCATGCAGTTTTGTGTAAACCAATAATTTATTACTCTCTCTAATTTTCTATGAAAATATAAAGATGGAGATGTTAATTATTATTGATCTTAAAAAATAAAATATATTTTCTTCGTACCAGAGCAGTCTCTGTGAGAAGGAGTTCATTTTATTCCAACCATGGCCATCACTTCTGGATCTGGCCGAAAAGGTGGTCTAAAGGTGGAAAAAGGTATAAATTTAGTTCAAAGATTAAATTCATAAAACTTAAAATTTTAAAAGTATATAATTAAAAACTAATCAAATATTTAAGATTTTAAGAATAACAGTTAAAAAATCAAATAGTATAACATAACTTTATTGCAGTTTTACCCTGGGTTGCTATTATTAATCTGGTATTTATTTTGTCCTGTAGATTCCTAAGTTTTTCAAAATGAATCTCTTTGGAATATGAGAACAAAATATAAAGAAAATATCTTCTTATATGATTTGTATAATAAAATAATAATAGCATTAGTCTTACAAATATACAATATTACTCTTATATGTATTATTTTACCTTCTCCAGGAATAAGCCAAAATAACTGCTATAATGTTAGTGTTAATATATTCTCGTTCGAAGAATGTATTTATTGTAAGAAACAGGTAGGTCTAAATTTTATAATTTTTTTTTTAATGCAGTTTTGTTTGTGGACAATATAAGAACTGGACATCAATTTAACACCAATTCTCTTCTGTGTAGTGGAGAATGTGGAAAAATAATAATTCATTGGTCTATAAACTATGTATTATATTTTTGCGAAAACTTGCTATGTTCTGACTTTATTATGTCTATTTTTGACTTTATCTATTTTTGACACCTGTGTTAATGAATGTACATTACTCTGGGGAAAAAGCAAGTTTGGTTCTAGGTTTCCTGATTATCCTAGGTTTCCTGGAAGACTAATGGTGAAATTACCTGATATTAATATTAGATGGTTCTATTTTTATTAAATGGAGTAAAAATCAATATATATTTGTATCATTTTTAAATTTGTTCATTTAGAAATAATTAGATGTTAAAAAAATTGCTCTTTTTTATTTTTGGTTTAAATAGCAGAGACCCACCCCATCATATTTTTTTATAATATAATACATAAATTAGTAAAATTGTATTTGTATTGTATTTAAAATTTATTAATTTAACCTTTAGAAAGAAATAATTGTTAAAGAAATTATTTATTTATGAATTTATAAATTGTATTTTTATGTAATAAGTTTAAAGTGAAAACTCTTTTTAGGTATTGAAATAATTTAGGCTGTGTTATTTTTCCACCATATATTTATTCATTCAACTATTTACATTGTAATGCTTTAGATTGGTATGAAGATGGCATAACGACCGAAATATTGCCTTATAAATATAAACCTTGAATGAATGAATATATGATGGAAAAATAACAGCCTAAATTAAGTCAATTTTGTATTTAAAAACAAATATTGCATGGTTAGAGATTTTCATAATTAGATCAGAATAAACTGTCAACCCTCCACCTCTTCGCAAAATCATGACATTGGTTTTATTTATTTCAAAAAATGAGAAAAAAAATTGGTTTGTCTCTTTAGAATTGACAGCTTGCAATTGCATAAAATTACCCATTAAATATGGTTACTACAGCTCTCCAAAATCCTCTGATTTCCAATATATTTATCACTCTGTTCTTGTACTACTTATATTTATTTTTGAAGTCCTAAGAAAATGAGAAAGTTTTCTTTATTTACAAAATATTGAACATATTCATTTTCCATTTTTTTATTTTTAACTGTACCTCAACCATTATTTTCTAAATTAAATGTATGGTCAAAAATAATAACATTATTGTTATATAATTATTATATAATTACTAAATATTTTATTTTTATTATTATATATATTTTTTTTATGAAAATATATTTTACAGAATATTTTATTAATAATAATGGATTACCTTTGTGCATAGAATAATTTTTTTTTTTCTGCCGTAACTTCAAATATTAAACCATATCCTGGTATAATATGATTTGCCATATTTAATACCATTTCCCTATTGCTCCTTTGAAGATTGGGGCATTCACTTTGAGTTGATAACCAGATAGATTCGTCTTCAATATCCTCTTCCTTAATAAATAAATCACCTTGAATTAAAACAAATATATTAATAATCATTACAAGACATCTGTAAGTGGTGTTATTGAAGAAAAATTAAATATGCATGCTTAGAAAAGAGATGAGAGTGATTCATTTGATTGGATTGGTTTGTAGTTTTTAAAAGTGATAAAGCATTTGTTTTTGAAAGTTGTTGAAATACAATGAAAGACTTGATTTATTTGAACAATATGAATGTCCTTCGACTTCATTAGTTATTACTATGGAAGTTTTATATATTACAATTTCACAGTATTATTTGACTTTCTTTTTGTTTTATTTTCCTCTCAAAAATTTTCAACGCATTTATTGTGGGTGTTTGTGCGAAAATAGTTCCAAGTTTCCCCGTTATGGCGAGTGATGGGGGCATATCAGAAGGTCTAAAAGATAACACTTAACCCGTACGAGCGATGCACCTCTCCACTTCAGATCAGCACAAATAGTCAAACACAGCAGATGCTCTCAAGGTAACAAAGAGATGTAAGCTGGCATAAAAATGGTACAATCAGTATAACCTACCATCCATTAAAATACAATCCACTATATATTATGAACTCATGAGAGTTGTTTGCCTTGCCTTAATTAAAATTTGGAATGTTGCCTAAACAGTAGGGGTGCAAAGGGTCCAAGTTTCCACAGAATATATCACTACTGGTCTTACCAATTTTTGAGTGGAAAATTCTCTGTAAAATTTATGGATCTGTATTGAAAGAGGGTGAATGGAGAATCTGGAAGAACAGCAAACTATACGAGCATTATGGATCTTGTGACATTGTCTGCTTCATACGAGCAAGGAGAATTGAATGGTTGGGTCACGTAGCATGGATGAATGAATCGAGAATGCCAAAAGGAATTCTGCTTGGAAATATGTATGGCACCAGAAGGAAAGGATGGTCTCAGAGACGTTGGATTCAGGATGTGGAAAGGGACCTGGAAAATCTCGGTATAAGGTACTGGAAGAGGAGAGTGTTGTGCCAAGATGACTGGTGCAATGTTGTTATGGAAGCCAAGGCACACCCCGGGCTGTAGAGCTACATAGTAAGTATTTGACTTTCTTTCCTGTAAGAATCAAGCATAAAGTTTGTAATTTTGAATAATAATAAATGAAGGGGAAGTCTAAAGTTTGAGTGTTCTAGCCCCCCTGATTATGACCAACAAGGTATGCCTTGTTATAAAAAGCAGTGGTGTAGCTAAGGTTGAATGCATCAGTGTTTTCATGAACATAATATTAATCGAGGATATACATAAGTTTCATTTTGAGGATCAAGTCTCCGTAATATTTTGAGGTTAATATCTTGTAGTAGGTTCAGCTGAGCTAAAGTTTTATAATCAATAAGTTACATCATATCTAATTAAATTGTTCTTTTGAAATTTAAGTAGGACAAAACTAACCCTGATTAAGATGTTCACATAATAGGAGTGACATAATGAAAATGAAGGAAATCTTCAAAAAAGTTCTTACCAGCAATTACAACAGTGCCCTTGTCTTCAGTCTTTACTACAACTGAAACATCATCTAAAGTACGGCCTGGAGTTGGGATTACTTTAAGATCATCTTCATCTATCAAATAAGGTTTACCTAAAATTAAAATTATACCATCATTTTTTCTAGCATTAAATTATACATTTCATTTACTTGCAGGTTTAAGTGTATTACCTTCACGGAATGGATCAGGTAAAAATACATTCCTCCTTTGAATGCAATTCCCAATGATGTGAATACAATCTTTGAACATATGATTGTTTCCAATATAACTTGAACTTCCATTAGTGGAGACAACAACGGCTACTTGCTTTGGATCTACTTCATGAAGAACTAAACCTGTCAATTTATCATAAATTGTTATTTTTTTTATGAGAGGTATTCCAATAACTTAAAAAAAAAATATATATATATATATATGAATTATTTAGGACCTAATATATAAATAAATCAAAACATGAATATCCATGTGACAGATATGCTAAGCATGGATTGGATGTTAATTAGTAAAGATATAAGAAGTAGCGCATAAAAGTATCAGTTACTAGAGAGGAGCCGGAACATGTTATCATAGTTACTTTATATGGGTGCTGCTATGCAGTAGTGGACTCCATGCCTTCTAGCATCTCCAGCCAGGCTCTACAATCCAGTGGTCGTGAAAGAAACAAAGGATCCCAGAGATAATTTTCTTGGGCTCCAATGAATATTAAATTTACCTCTAAAATCCATCTGAAGTTTTTTATAATGTATGCAACAAAAATATTGTGCAAAGACTAACAAATGATTATTATATAATGTTATTTATATTTTATTTTAATATAAATTTATAAGATATAAAATAAAAGTTTGTGGGCCAGTCTGGACCCCAGCTATCCTCTCCTCTTCATTCACTCTTGCCACATGACCTTATTATCTATCCTTATACAATGGAGAGAATATTGTTCACCATGAAAATTACAAATTTCTTTATTAGTCTTACTTCTTTATCTCATGACACTGGGGATGGAGGAAGGAGGATTTGTGCTGAAACCCTCCGAAATGAAAAATTAACTTCTTTTTTTTTAATATTTGTTCATTTGAGTGATCTAAGCTAAATACTTGAACAATTATTATTACAATGGTACAAGGTTCCTGCAAGAACCCGAGCCTCCTCTACAACAGCCAATCAATCTCCACGGTCTTGTGCAACTTCCCTCCATCTTCGAATGCCCAGCCATCTCAGATCGTGCTCCACATCCTCCAGCCATCTGATCCGAAGGTGTCCTCTACTTCTTTTGCCTTCCGTCTTCTTATACAACATCCTGTTTGGCAATCTATGGTTGGTAAGTCTCTTTGTAGTGAGAAATAGCATCTATTTCCTGCTGTTATCCTGGCCTTTATTTCACTCTCTATTTACTTGAACAATTACAATATATTATTTTCTAAAATTATAATGTATACATAATAGCTACTAAATGTTGGCGCAGATCAAGAAAAATATGTTTTTTTTCTGCAAGGACCACATAAACATTATTTTGTATAGTTTCTTTTTTTATATATATGTGTAGAAAAGTTTAGTAGTTATCGTTATAACAAATAAATAAATAAAAAAAATAATAATAAAAAACCTCCACAGTTAAATCCTGGATCCGCTACTGTCTTGGATTAGGACAAGTACAAATATTTGCTGTAGAATTTTTTTATCAAAAGTTAAAACAAATTTAAACTGTTATGTTTTCAATCTGTCCTTAGAATTAATTAATATTTAATTATTTAGGTTACAAAAATTTTGAAAATTAATAGAATTAAATTTAATGTATGTATATGGGAGTGTGTATTTATTGATAAGTAAAAATAGCAACAATAAAGTATAACAAATTGTTGTGGCTTCGATTAGCACTGCCTAACTGCGGCCTCGAATTATAAAGAGGTTCCCCACCTATGGTATAGATAAAACTACGACTCAACTTCATTTATTTTTTCTGGATATAGCGCTTTTAGTATGCAACTGTACTAAAACATTTCAGACATTATAATCTTTTTTAGCAATGATCTTTAAATATTATGATTTTTTCAAAAATCAATTTAAATCCCAAATAACTCAGAAACTATACACTTTAAAAATCGAAAGCTATTAAAAAACCTTGTCATATTATATTGCGATTAGAGGTTGAAACTTCATCATTGAGACTTTTTAGTTAGAAATGTTTAAATATCACTAATTTTTTTCTAAAATAAGATTTATTAAATGTGATATAACTCAGGTCAGATTAGACATAATTAAAATCCAAAATTTCAGAAAAAATTCTTTAGTTTCTGGTTTTTATTTTGAAATGTTTAAATGTAGTTTAAATTTGAAGAAGCCTTATTAAATACATATATATTTTATTGCTAATAGTAAATATCTAAAAATAGAAGGATGTTGAATTTTTAAAACTAAAAAATTATTAAAAATTAATAATGGTAAGATAATATGCACCTACTTATAAATTTTTATTATTAGCAATATTTATTGAACATAAATTAAATCAACTTCTCCCAATTACTAAGTAATTTAAAAAAGTATTTAGTTGCTTAGTTATAGATTTAAAAAAAAGTAATAATAATAATTGAATAGTAAATACAAACTTGCTATCATTCTCCCATCATCCCAAGGTGCCATGGTGTTGACAACGACATTTTTCTTTCCCTTTATCAAAGTACTGGTACATTTTGCCTGAAGGATGTCTTCATCGGAGTGAAAAAAATAGCCGCCATTAATATTATAAATTTTATATGACATTTTTATTCCTGTAAAAGAACAGCAATAAATTTTTCCATCCATTATTTATTGCATACTATCATCTGTTTATAGCGAAAGACATTAAAAGACATCAAGCCGTTAACATTTAAAAACGTTTGGGCATGGTGATTATAAGCAATCTTAATAGACAGGAATGGATATGTAAATAAAATTACAAAAAATCAAATTAATTTGTTAAACTTTATTTGTTCTTTCAAGAGACTTTTCAACATTTCTGATTTAGTAAAAATTAATCATATCTAATTCAGATCAACGAAGAAACTATCTAGGGAAACGAGAGTTTTGTGATAATTATTGCTATAAATCCTACTAAAACAACAGATATATTGGTAACTCAAAAGTTTATTTTCAAAAAATACCAACATAAGCGTTATAGAATTTCGAATTAGAGATCTTTCCCACACAAAATCTGACCTTGATATTTAATGAAAACAAGCAAACCATGGAAAGAAGATATTAATTAAATTTAAACAAATATTTTACCGACGGGGCCTTAACTAAAAACTTCTCTAGATTAAATATTTCATAATTCACGTATTATGAAATTATTTTTTTACAAACCTCAGCGAACTAAATTGTATTATTCCTTTATGATCGGTTTCGATTTACTGAAGTAAATAAGTATTCAATGAACTGGACTTTGACTATTTAATCACGGTCAATAATAGCGGATTTAAGATTGAATTTGCGTTTTATTTTAATTTTTAATAACGGTAATTAAAGGAACAATAATGGTTTTAGAAATACAATTTTTATAATTTTCCTAAAAACGTGTTTATATTTATTAACTAAATTATATACGTTTTAATTTAAAAAGAGAATATATTAATACTAGTGTATTTGAGCTAGAAAACTTCTCTTTCTATTAAGTTAGAAATATAAACGATATTAGGAAAACATTTGTATTAATAATTACTATTGTCACGAAATTTGATTAAACCCACATAATTATTGGAACTCCATACTTCATTATGACCATGTTAACTTAACGGTATAAAAGCCGGACTTTTATAGGATCATCGCTGTGGCGATCCACAAATCGTGTTTATTTTAGTTAAAAATATCAAAATGTTTCTTTCTGTATTATCCGAGGTGCCTTTAAGATCTCACACCTATTTTCCTTCGTTGAGCTTATCCATAGAATTTCAGTTCGTCGTAGAATATAATAAATAATAGAATTTTAATTTTTAAAACCTAACCGACATGTGATAAACATCCTATGGCAACTTTGACACATTCGAGGATTTTGACAAAAATTATGTTAAGTTAATATCGAAACTGCATATTTTAGGGCTTTAAAACTGAAGAACCGATACCTTCTGATGAAAGCGTTTTCGTATGCGCTTTTCCTCTTTTCCTCCTTCTCCTAAAAAATTCCAACTTAATATCTAAACATGCGTTGAGATATACTCTGGAGAGTGTATCTTTGTCCTCTTCCTCGCCTTTTAGGCTATACGGGGTTTTCCCGTGCCAGGGATGAGGGCGGGGGATTAATGGCTAAGTTACACCTCCCCCGAAACCGGAACGCGTACTCGTAATTACTTTATTATCTATAAATTCGGTTATAAGGTTGTCGGGCAACGCGGTGTTGTGCACACGCGTTCGCTCGCTCAGCCACCCCGCCTCTATCTCAAGAGTAAACAACTCTCGTAAATCCGCCTAACTGTTGAGTACAAAACCTCTTACCATTTTTCGAGCCTCGCCTTCTCCCCCTCAAGCATACTTAATAGAGCACAATTATTCAGAAAAATCGTTTTTAAAAGTATACATTTTTAAATTGTATCTCGATCATTTGTTTCAAAGAGATTTTACATAATATTTTTATACACAATTAAAAAATATAACGAGAATCACATTTGTTATATTTACTTTACGTTCTTACATGAATGGGATTATGATGCTTAAAATACAATATTTTATATGTGACTAGAATTTTATAGAGTATTACAAAACATATTGCTAATTTGCCTTAATATTCATGCTTGAAACATGACATACCTTTACATGAACACAGTGCAGGCCTTAGACATTCGGCGCCCTTGGGCAATGACGTCACCTCCCTCCCTAAAAAAATTCAATATTTCTCTAACAAAGTTGCTGTATTTATAAGCTAAAATTAATCGTTTTAAGGAGATTTTTTTTTAAATTTATAACAAATGGCGAGCGCCCTAAGGATGTCCTGTATGAACATAATATCCATCAAGGGCATCTAATTTATAGCTTTCGTTTCGTCGATCATATCCACTTAACATTTTGAGATTAATAGCTTATAGTAGGTTTAGCTGAGTTAATTTGTTATGATAATTAATAATAATAATAATATATTATAATTATTTAAATAGTTCTTGTAAAATTAAAGAATGTACAAATTGGTTTGGACATGGTGAACGTCTTTATCAGAGTTGGCTCAAATAAATATATAATTATTAAAATCTTTGTTGTTTTATTCATTTTTTTGAAAAGTTGGAGCAGTACATACAGTCTACTCAATGCACCCCAATCGTTGCAGCGATTTTCCAGAGAACTATAAAAATGTGTAAAATCTATTATATACATTGCAACTTCCGCCGAGTCTATTTTGGTAAAAAAGTTGCAGTAACATCCTAGACATATTTTTTTCTTTCTGTTGACTCTACAGATCTTGTAGATCTTCGGCCGCCTGAACCAGACTTCTCCGACTTCTCCACCTCTGCCTTTTTTTTTTTTTTTTTTTTTTCTCCTGTTCTTCCCTACCTCGCCTTTTAGGCTATACGGGATTTTCCCGGACCAGAGGGTGAGGGCGGGGAATTTAAAATCCCCTCTGGGGACCGGGACGCGAACTCGTGACTATTTTCCTATCATAGAATCATATATCCGGTTGCCGGGCAACGGCGGTGCTGTGCACACGCGTTAGCCCATTCGGCCACCCCGCCCAAAACTACAATCTTTTCAATCTAAAATTTTAAAACTAATAATTTTTTTTTTCTGTTCTTCCCTACCTCGCCTTTTAGTCTATACGGGATTTTCCGGACCAGAGAGTGAGGGCGGGGAATTTAAAATCCCCTCTGGGACCGGGACGCGAACTCGTGACTATTTTCCTATCATAGAATCATATATCCGGTTGCCGGGCAACGGCGGTGCAGTGCACACGCGTTAGCCCATTCGGCCACCCCGCCCCCTATTCTCCACCTCTGCCTATCTTGGGCTACTGCTTTCCAGTTTGCGGCATGAAGCTCTGCTGTATCTTTGTTTATCCTATCTACCCATCTGGTTTTTGTCCTCCCATGTGTTCTCTTGCCTACTACTATGGCATTCATTGTTGTGTAAAGGCGTATTGATGAATTGTTTCGAGCTACATGCCCCACCCATCTTAATCTCCTTGCCTTCATATCATGAGATATTGATTGACCAGTTTCTTTTAGCACTTCTTTATTGTTCCTCCTCCATGTGTTAAAGTTCTAATTCCATATAATTCCTGTTACCGTACGGAGGACTTTTCTTTCGAATTTCTCAATTCTGCCTTCCAGGGTGCCGGTTATAACCCAGATTTCACAGCAGTACAGCAGAACTGGCCTTATCATGGCGTACACCCTTAGTTTTGAGATTTTTGGAGCTTTTTCTGAATTTCAGTACCCTTGAAAGAGAGAAGGAAACTCTGTTCCCACTTGTTATACACTGATCTATCTCCGTTAATTGATCATTTATTGAGGTTATTGTAGAGCAGAGGTATTTGAATCTATCTACTTTCGGGAATGACTTAGAGATCACACAGATCATGCTATCAGGGTGAATATTTTGGCTAACTATCATATATTTTATTTTTTCTTCATTGACCTGTAGCCCAATTTGCTCTGCTTCTCTTAACAGAGTCCGAGCGCGTCTCTCAATATCCTCTTGATTGCTTCCAAAGACAGCTATATCATCCGCATATATTAGGATCATAGGCATACATCTACCTTAAATAGTAATTACAATTTTGTAAGAATTTTCGTTTTTCAGCTAGACTCATGCAGACCATTTTGAGAGACTCAGCTATTTAGGCTCAGGGTAATTTAAATACATAAAACTTGGATTAGAATTTTTTTATGATTTGCATACTTTTATTTATAATACATTTCAGAAATATGTAAGTGAATGGACTTCAGAAAACAAAATTAATATGATCAAATAAAAAAATTAAGTTCACAAAAAAAATTATAAATAAAGGTAAAAAAAAATAACAGAGAGTATCACATAATATTACAGAATTATTTCTGAACAAAACATTTATTTTTTATTTCTTCTGTAACTTTGAACATTTCCCCATGGCCTGGAACGATATAGTCAGCCAATTGTAGTATCATTCTTCTGTTATATTTTTGAAGAACAGGACATTCACTTCCAGCACTCAGCCATATGAATTCATTTTCCAAATCTTCTTTCTTTTCAAATAAATCGCCTACAAATCAAATAACACAAGACAATTCATTGTTGTGTTTTTTTTTAGAAATAAATATGATGATATTCTGGTATATACAATATGAATAGGATGATATTGTAGTATATACAAAACCAACTTATTGAAAATATAATGAGGTAATAATAAAATTAATTTCATACTAATTTAAGTTAAATTATTTTGTTGATAATTATGTTCAGAGTAGTCATGAAATTGATCAAACGATATAGATCTTCTTTTTTAAATAATTATTTACTCATTGGCAGATCAAGACAAGTTGAGGCCCTAAGAGGCAAAAATATGTGGCCACCTCTAAAAAAAAAGTCAAAATGCAGATAACTGGAAAGAAATAACCCAAGATAGATAGGGATGGAGGAGATTAGTTAAGGTGGTAAAAATCGACAAGGTCTATAAAGCCGAAAGAAAACAAATAAATTGAATGACAAGATGAGAAATATAACCATGGAAGGCAAAATAAGAAATGATGTTGGATGTCACCGAAACCCATCAATTTTAGGTGCTTACTCTATCTATCAAGTAGGATTGATAGAAGGCCGTGGATTGCCTGATGGAGAGTTCACTGGGTAAATGAGGACATAAGTCTTATGCACATATCTGCGAAATTACTAGATGTTTTTTGAGGCTCTAGTTTTCTGAATGAGTAAACTAAATAAAAATTGTCTAGATCTTCTGCAAACCAAAAGTATTAAATGCTAAAGAAGGCCTTACCCGCAACTGCAACTATTCCATCAGCTGTCTTCACCATAACTGTAACATCAGTTTGAGTATGACCAGGGGTAGCAATTATCTTGAGATCATCCCCATCTATGTAGTAAGGGTTACCTAAAATAAAGTTATCACATTTTTCTTTACTTTTTTCAGTACTACATAAAATGATTGCTTCATGTGCCGGTTATATTATATTACCTTCACTGAATGGGTCATCAAAATAAAGATTCTTCTTTGAAATGGAATGCCCAACAATATGAGTGCTGTTTAAAAATAGATTATTGTTTCCAATGTGATCAGAGTGTCCATGTGTGCTGACAATGAAGTGTATATCGTTCGGTTGCACTCCATACTTCTCTAAACCTGTTAATTAATGGTAATAGTTAACATTTACCTTAAAGCTGTAAAACGAATTTCTATTCAAATTAAGAAAACATTAAACATAGCTAGATTGTTTAGTAAAAAAAATAAATAGATATGAGGATCCAGATTCCTGAAACAGTTAAGCTGCGGTGGTCTACTACGGCAGATAATTATTTATTCTGTTATATCAGCAATGAATCGACTCTGTGGTCAGAAGGCCCTTCTGAAGCATATACAGCCTCTATAAATTAGGTACCCAAAATTAATTAATTACAACGATGAAAGAAAAAACCAGATGGGTTGATTGATTCAACAAATATGCAATATCTGCAAGCAGATAACTGGAAATCAATAGCCTTAGATTAGCATATTTGGAGAGAGCTAATTAAGAAGACAAAAGATCTACAAGGTCTGTATATTTTTTTTTTCTGTTGGCATTATGCACTATGTAGATCTCTTGTAGCCTTAACAAGCCTGCTCCATCTCTGCCAGTCTTGGGCTATTTCTTTCCAAAGATCTGTAATACCAGATTAAGGGGAAAACTTGGCAGTTGAGTGTGATATTCGAATCACTTCCTTACACAACCATCTAGAAACCAGTATTCCTTTACCAACCATCGATTCTCAAGACCCATGATGAGTTGTTGTGGTACAGGTGTTTTTGGAAATAAGACACCTCTATTAGTGCTTGCCATACAAGGTCCTTTATGGGATGTTATATACCTGATCTTTTTGCTTTATAAAAGTCATTCATAATATTTCAATTCTATAGAACTAAATCAACAATAATGAATAAGAATATGAAAACATAATGCTCTCAGGTATGTCAACATTCACCACTCTGACACTTACCTGCAGCAATTTTATTTTCATTTTCTAACACACAAATTCATATTTGAACCAACAATTTGATGTCGTTCACCAATTTGAGGACTAAGGGCACTATCCTGAACGAGATTCACTGGCAAGGCTAATGTTGTACACCCTATTATTTTTTTTTAAGTCAAACTTACTCAACCTAAATTAAAAACCAAGTCTTTCCTTCAACTTCATTTGGTTTTGTTTTCAAAATATTTTTTTTAGTTTAAAGGGTACTAATAAATGGATTATGTACATATTCTGGTATTGTTGTTTATTTTAACAAAACCATGGGATTATCTCCATAATTAACATTGGAAATTAATTGACAAAAAAAAGTTATTGTATTTGGAATCAGTAGATAATTTAAAATGTCAAAATGTATTCTGAGGAGCAAGAATAGTGCCCATTTTTCACAATACTTTAGGAATAAAAATGAATCCAGATATAAACCTTAAATTTATAGACATAGTTATTGAGATGAATAATGAGATATCTAACTAATAGCTTTAAGATTATGGATTATTCAAATGTAATAATATAAAAAATATCTCGTAGGAATATATTCAAAACTTTTTTTAGTTCAATGTCATAGTAAATATTGCAATGATTTGTCATATTTTTCATGAATGCAAGAATGTAAAATACCTAAATTTAATAAAATTTATATTTTCCAAAAATGATAAAAATTAAGCTTATTTTTATAATATAACTGAAAAATTACCTCTACAGGTCGTCGTTAAATATTATAAAGATATAACTTATTGATAGTGGAAACCAAAACAAACTCTGAAGGTTTGCTGTTTTATTACAATTTTTTTTCAGCAAACTTTTTTGACAATAATACAGAATAACAAATAAATAATAATTACAAACCTTTTAAAATCAGTTCACTATCCCAAGGCGTCATTGTGTCAACAATAACATTATACTTTCCCTTTATCAGGGTACAAGTACAGTTCGCCTCCATTCCACCCTCAACAACTTTAGAATACCCATTATGAATTATTAAAACTTCATACGCCATTTTTTTCCTGAAAGAGGATAGTAATAAACATTATTGTTTACTATTTACTGTGTGCAATAATCTAGTCATGTAAACTAGGTTTGAATAATATCAATTATTGATTAATTCATAATAATATTAACATTGTGTAGCTGTAAACCTATTTAGTATATCAGGTATCTTACTAACTCCAAATTTTAAAATTTAGCAAACAAAAGTTTTGATAAAATTTAAAAAAAAATGTTAAAACTTTGATGTTACTATAATAAATTTATGGCACATCGGTTTGCTTTCTTTTTATTTCAGTGTTTTAGGACAAATTTTCAAATTGACATGGTAAAAAATGTAAATATAGTTATATATATATTTATTAATAGTTATTTCATAATTCATAGTATTCATCCAATCTATAATCTTCTCGACAAATTTTATCATTTGTTTCAGTTAATTTAAAAAATATTTTTTTATGTTAATCCATAAAATAGAATAAAAAGTTTCAGGTTTTATGGTAAAATATATTATTCCTGCCACCTCTAGAGCTTTAATCAAATAGGAATACGTTTTGTTTTGTCTCTATTTTGTTAAAAAGTCACTCTTCTCTTTTATAGATTTATATGAGTTTATGCTTCGTTCTCAATAGCTTTTGTCTTGTTCTTCTCTAGTAAAATTGTTAATTTATCAAACTAAATTATTGGATTGTAACAAATGAGATGTCAGCTTGCATATTTTCATGAATCATAAATTAATCTTTAGGCATTTCTCTTTTATTTTCAAGACGTTTATATATCTTTTACTTTGTAGTAAAATATTCAAGTTTTAATGAAATGTGAGGATTTTTGTGTTATGTTTTATGAATTTAATCCAGAGATAATATTTCTGAAGTATTTTGAAACATCAGTATGGTTTTTTTCTCGATAGATTCAATTTATTGGTTTCTTCACCCATTATTGACCATGGGCAACTTAAATTTTATAGCATTTAAAAACTTCAATTCATTCATTACCAATAAAGCGCATTGACCATCCATACATAGATTCCTTGGGTATAGAAAGAATCTGTTATGTAAGGAAAGAAAGTTATTTTAATATTAAATTTTTTTTTAATTTTTATTATTGAAATTTACAACTGTATTAAATGATGAATACAAGTAAATATGAAACAAGTAACATGACATATACAACATGAAGAGAAACTACCCATTGGTAGCACTCCAATTATATTTTGATATTAGAAGATCCCGAGGCCATCTTCTTTTCAAACACCTCGGAAGGTTATCAGGAATAGAAGAGGAAGCAAGGTAGGAAACAAGAGGGTTTGGATGGTTCAGAAGTTTATTATGGAAGGATAGGTATCTGGATTGAGTTAAATCGGTATATGGTAAATTAAGGTCATTATGGATGATTTTATTTGAGACAAAGTAGGAGGCATTGAGGATTTTGGATTGTAGGGATTGGATACGAGAGGAATTTGATGGTTTAATAGAGCCCCAAAGCTTGATTCTGTAAATCCAAATAGGCCTTATTATAGTAATATATATGAGTCTTTTGTAAATATTTGGAAGTTTAGAGCATTTGTCTAGTAAGTGCTGCAGTAGTCGAAAATGTCGGGCAGTTTCTAGTCATTTCAGTCTGGTATGGGGGTTCCAAATGAGTCGTTTGTCCTGGTGGAGTCCTAGGTATCGAATTTGTTCAACAGGGATAAGTGGGCTATTGTTGAAGGATACTGTAGGACAGGATTATAGGTTTACGACGAAGAGTAAAGGTAATTTGATGGGATTTATTGCAATTTATTTTAATAATCCAGTTTTGACACCATTTTTCAAGACTTGAGATGTGTGATTGAAGAGTTTGGGATGCAATAAATGGATTGTTATTAACTGATAGGATACACATTTGGTATATTAAAAATTTAAAAAATAAAAATAAAAAGGAAAAAGTTCTTAAAACTGAGTTAAGAGAACTACAATGCAATTAATTAATTAGAAAAATAGTAAATTTCTAAAATGTAATATTTTTTTTAAGATGGGTTAGAAATACTTATACTCTATTTTTTCTACTTGGAAACTTTCAGCTTATAATTAATATTATTTATTTATTTTTTAATTATTAGTTTCCATCAGAATAAACCTAGTAAGAGCTCATACATTGACCATTTTAATTATTTTAAAAAAAAAATCATAAGTCACTGTAAGCAACAATTATTCAGGCTATCTAATAATTCTGATTAAGTCAGTAGATCAGATTCAAGGGAAAGGAACAATGACAAAAAAAAAAAAAATAAAATGTTCAAAAGATATATTTAGGCAAACAATTTCACAATTTGTTTTATTATAATAAATTACAAATAACAATTATAAATATAATCAAATATTTTTTGGTTCTTTATTTGGTATGCAATTTATTATATACATAATCAATAAATAACTTTAAAATATTATTTTAAATAAAATCTACGACTAAGTAAAAACTATATTAAATAAACTTCACATAAAACATATAAATAAATAATTAATAAAAAAAACAATTTTGTTTATTTATTTGGTTTAATATGCTTATGCAATCCAGCTATGGCAGGAAGTAATATTTCATAATCATTTCAAAAAAAACATTTGTTTAAATTTCAAAAAGTAAAGCAATGTATTAAATTAGGGACCCCCAAACTTGTAGGCCCATATTAAAACCTCTATTAAGGGAGGAGGGGGGGAGGAAGAGCTTCACCAAGTCTCGCAGATCATCATGCCTTATGATGAAAAAACAAGCTTGGTCTATAAATGACACTTCAGTTGTAAAATGAGGTCTCTAAGAGAAACATTCATGGAATAAATGTTGTAGTTACCTCGAATGCGAGTAATTTACTAAAGTTTATATTTTAAAAATAGTTTTTAAAATTTTATCATGTAATCAAAGAAACTTTTGTGGGCCATAGTTTGGAGGAGACTCCTGTATTAGATTATCAAAACTCACCCATACATGAACATAATTGTTCAACCAATTGCATTTCAGAATGTCACATTGCTGATATAAAAAAAAAAATAGTTTATAATCTTTTTTATAATGAAATTCTTAGTTAGGTTCCATCATTTCTAATCCATATTTGACAAATAAAGGGAAATTAAATAAAAATTATTCTACAGTTTTAAATAGCATAACAATCAGTAGTATTTTCATTGATACATTGAACATATCAAGTTTGCTAAATTGAGAAATTAAGTAGTTTAAAATAAATATAAGTTCCCAAAACTTTCAAATTAATACATGTTATACAGGAATAATTTATATACATGCATTTTCTGAACAAGCTTTTTATACTACAGTATTCCCTGTATGACTTGAAACCTCGACAATAGTCTAATGATTAAAGATATAGCACAAATGTGGTAAAATATAAAAATAACATTAAAAAACAAAAAAAAAGTTTCATTTCGAATTTAATGTTAAACATTTACAGTTTAATATATTGAATTGATTTCAATACTTCTTTCTTATTTTTTTTTTATTTCATTTTATCCGGGCTGTAATTTGTCTGAATCAAAGTTTAAATAAAGGTAGTTTTTTAAGTGCACTTTAATTATGACATAAATTATCGATGCAAACTATAGAATAATCGACTGTTCCCACAAAATGGCACTCTATCGATCTGATATAGCCCAAATTAATGATCGCTTAGTGCACACCATTGATTATTATTAAAATAGAGGGTAAATCTTAAAAATTAAATTTCTGGGCTAAATTATAATTCATTCCAAAAACCCTAAATCTGAAAATTATCATTATTATATTAAAATACAGTAATTACATTAAAAGCATGAAAACTTATTTTATAAATTTTTTTTTTTGCTTATATGTTTTTTTATATCGTGGTTTTTGGAATAAATGGGAGTATTATAGACATTTAAAATTACTGAGCATTTTACTAATGAAATATATTTCATGATGTATCATCATTGTGACTATATCATGTTTGGTACATCATTCAAAGTTTATGTAACAATCTTAATGTTTCAAATGTAAATAGAACAATTAAAAAATTTCAATAATTCAAATAATTTTGGAAGCAATAATTTTTTGGTACAGTGTAATTTATGTGTTAGTTTTCTGTTAAAAAAAGGGCGAATCTCATAATTCACTGTTTTTCAGGAGTGTATTGTACACGACACTTTATAAAGTGAAGTTTATATTTGCCCCAGCTAGAGTGGAGTTTTAAAAAGGGAATATACAAATATAAAAGTTTAATATTTGCTATTTTTACACATCAGTAGTTAGGTATTGATTTATAGGTATCTAAAAAGGCAAATAACTAAACTTTCCCAGTTTATTGAATTCGCCATATTTTTTACAGAAAAATGACAAAATACCTTATCAATCTTTATTGTATAATAAAAAAATGTTTGTAGATTAAAATAAATTAATACAATAAAATCAAATACAGAAAGAAATATTGGTTGGGTTTGGACTGATTTTTTTTTTTAATCTTAATATCACAGCTTCATCGATATTTTGAAAGCAAAACACTTTTTTCTATAGTAAGTTCCAACTGAAATTTGCTATAAATCAACGTAATGTGTACAATTAATTAACATTACACAAAAAAATATAATAAAGCAGATTTTAGAAACCATTTCTTTATAATTAATTACATCAAACAACAACAAAATTTAAGTCAATACCCTGAGAAATTAAAAAACAATCTCTCATAGTATAATCAACAAGTAGCAATTGCTTACATCAGACTTTCAATAGTCAACGGAATGACCTTCTAAATACATCAAGTCATGAAAAACAAATTGTTGCTTAAACTGTGTTTCATAAGTGCTTAATATTAATAATATAATACAGAATAACTTAAGTTCACCAAAATTGCAGTCATGGTGATTCAGTCGAACGTTGATATGCACAAAATATTTTCTGAATCAAGTCCGAGCTTTGCTAATTAATGCTCAGGATCATGAAATCACTAAATACATAATTGAAGGAACATTTTTAATATTCCTTAACTTGTTACAAACTTATGTTACCAATTATCTAAAAAGTCAAAACCAGTTTTAGGGATATCATCTCCCTGTTGACCATCTTCTAATAGACCTTTCTGTTCTACAACTGATAGCTTTGCTGGAGGTGGAGGAGGTGGTGTTTTTGGTTTAGCCAAACCTTTTGAGCATATCTTTTCAGGTTTGTCATCTCTCGAACCCTTATTTTTTACATGCTTACTTGTATTTTCTGATGGTTTAGGGGCTATATTTTTTGTTTTCCTTAAAGGGCTTAAAACATCAGCTTTCTTCATAGGAGTTTTGTTTTTATCTGGTTTGACATTGATATGGGTAAAAAGGTTCAACTGGCTGCGAGTAAACCATGAGAAGTTCGAAATGGGTCCATAATCTTCAAAATCCTAAAGAAAATAAGTAGAGAATAAAGCAATCCGAAAACCCAATCTAATTATAAAATGATTTTGAAAATTACTTTGATGTTAATTGAAATTAGTAATAAAGGAAACTTACTTCTTCAAAATTGCCTTCATACTTTTCAACCAAGCTTTTCTCAATAAGAGCATTATCAATAATTGTTTCCTTAGCTTTATTATCTAAAGTATTCCACTGAGTTTTGTTTTTATTTTTAATATTATCAATATCTTCAGCGATTTTTTGAGCAATCGGATTAACCGATCGCAAATATTCAAAACATTTATCTTGAATTTCCATAGTCCAGTAAAAGAACTAAATACCTAAGGAACACATTACAATTCTGTTTACTAGTATCATCAACTGAATTTAACAAATAATAACTTCAGTATAATATTGTTTAGGTATATAAAATATTAATATTATTACTTAATATCAAATTAAGGCAATTTTAACATGCAAATATTTTACTTAATTGATTCAGTAAAAAAATAAATGACTAGTTAACAGTTTATAAAAACTTTTATTTTAAATACAGAAAATTGTTTTTAAATGATCGATCATCTACTTACAATTATATCAATAAATATAAACATATTTACCTTATCTGCCAAAAATTCTCAATAAAGATAAACGTCAACTTAAAACAAAATGTAACAATATATCAGATTCGTAAGGAATATTAAATTAAATATGTTATTATAAAAATCGTAAAGAATATCAAATCAATTATTTTAGCGAGGCTGCTTCAATTTATATTTTTATCTGATAAATAATCTTAACTCAAAAATAATGGGGTGTACACTGAGAGGTAAACATGGCAGCGTGCTACCTCAGAAGGCAGCCAGGAACTAACAATTGATCTGGTGGGTCTTTGTTACATCGTTACGTTCTTTGGGATTCGTCCACACTTTACATAATATACTTTCTATTTAACATCTACTTGTCATGCAACAGTTTCATCCAGAACAAGACATAACATATAGTACACCGTTACTTAAGTGGAACAATACATTGAAATCTATTTCTCATTCAATTTTCAACCATCCTAAAAATCTTCATTATGGAAAACACATTACAATTAAAAGGCTCTGGGATTCGAAATTTGATAAGAAAATATAGAAAGGAGTAGATCTGGGCAAAATCACGCTTGAATATCAGATTTTCCAACCCAACCTATTGAAGGATCAGGTATTCACTTTATAAAAATTAAATTGTCAAATGACGATCCGAAAGCACTTTTAACGTTGATTAAGGTAAAACAATGCTACCCAATCTTCTCATTCTTATGATGTGTATAGTTAATATATAAGACTGAAAAATACTGTCTCTATATTTAATGTGTACAATTAATTTGTATTTACTTGTAGACTTAACTGTTTGTCCAATTATCTCCACATCTTCGCCTCACGTGATTGTACCATCAGCATAGGTACGAAAGCACGGAATTTTTCCAGATAGAGTTCATTTTTTATCCATATATGTTGCTTTTAAACCTAAACTGCCTTCAAAGGTTTTTGTATAAAAACTATTGAAACGGGTTTAACTAAATTTTTAGGAGAAGTATATCCTCATTGCATTGCTAAAAAATAAATGGTATTTCTTTTTGTTTCTTATTTTATCCGTTTTAATTAAAATACTCTATTTTATTTTGTTTGTTGAGGGTTCTCTTATTTGTTGCTAAAGATAAAAAGGAAAGAACAAGTATTATTTATTTTTAATAATATTATTAACTATAATTAAATGTATTAACAAAAGGATAGCCAACATGTAGAATACTCATTGTGTGAGCTAACTATTGTTTTCGACTTTTATCTCATTTTGATTTAGTAATATTCTGTTTAACAATGAAAAAACATCATATTGAACCAAAAGTTTGCAATATTATCGTGAGAACGAGAGTCAAGGGTCTCCCAGGTTGTTGTGTCCCAGGCTTTAGCCAGAGACATAGGAGCCGGAAATGCAAATAGGAGATCTAGTGAATCTCAGCTCATTGATGCACTAAGGAATGATAAAAATTTTATTATTACTGCAAGAAGCAAACCTTTTCATAGTGCCCGACAGAGCCTAAATAAAGTATTTAATGCTCTACCAAGGCCCATATTTACACAAACCAATTGCAACCGTTTGTGGGAAGTTTGTATAACATCTTATTCCTCTTTAAGATGATCTGCAGCAACATTGCGTCACCGACAACTCTCCAGATTACGGTGCAGCGAGCACTTTGGCGAGGATGCGAATTTAGCTGTTATTCGTGTTTCTGTATTTCTAGTGATCGGAGGCACCGAAGAATTTTCCGAGAGCATAGAATGGGTGCATTGCCACAGTTTGTGCTTCCTTTAATGCAGTCTAGAGGTGTGAGCGAGAAAATATCAACTCAGGAGGACGAACTCTACGTGGAAAGTAATCTCATTACAGTTCTTTATGTTCCAGAAATTATAAAGGAGTACATTCCTTAAGCCAAGATTACAGTTGACCCAGATTTCCATATTCTCGACAATACGCGACCTCATAAGGAAAAAGTTGTTCATCAATGTCTTGAAAATCTGGAGAGTTCATATCTGTCCCTTCTCACATTGTTCCCAGATCTCAATCCCAGCAAGCAATGCACTGCAGAGAAGGCTTTTTGACCGTCTTCCGCAGTTTCTTAATCTTCTGTAACTGAGAGCAGTATTACTATATTTATGGTATGAAATTAACGATATCATTATAAACACTGTGCCAAATAAACAGGTGGAGAGAGTTAGTGCGTAACAGGGAATATTATAGAAATGATTACATTTTTCAATTCGGAATCATAAAAACAAGATCACAAAAACCTTTAATTTTACTATTGTATTTTTTTAAAATGCCTTTTATAAAATTTCCTAAGGTCATATACTATCTTATTTGTATTAATTTTCAATGCATTTTATAATAAAAACAAAATTAAAATTCTAGGGGAAATCATACATATCTAACAATATCTCCGTTCATTTTTCAGCAGTTCACATTAACAAAGCAATGTCGGTTGAATTTAGATTAGATAATTGCCTGTTTCATTTACATGATGAGTACGTGACCAAGTTTCTCTGATTGGCTGAATAACATAAACCAATAATGATTGATGGCTTTACACTTACAAAGTTTCTTTTTACGAATCCAATAAAAAACATTCACTACTTTAGGTACGAGCATTTTTCGAATATGATTCGTATTCATATTGCGTATACGATATTTTTAATTCTTTCTCTCTGTGGTATGAGTTTACAGATAGAAAAAAAATTTATTAAATGCTAATTTTTTTCGATAATCAAAATTAATTTATAGCTGAAAATGATTTTTGAGTAATCTGATTAATATCATGATACATTAAGTACTATAACAAATTCAGCAATTTCACGTGGATAGGTAATGATTTCAAAATGGATAATACAGGAATGAAAGGGTTAGCAATGATAAATCGGCAAGAAGATATCCTTGGACGTTGACCGAAACTTTGTTTTCAGTAGTGGACGTTATATTGGCAAAGATTATAAATGATATAGGTATCAAATCTTTGGTTTCAATATTTCATCATTATGTCACCAGTAGTTTATTTTTCCGATGTCTGTTTGTAATTTACTCTTACAATGTAAGATCCAAACATTAGTACAAAAGTAGATAGATATCTACTTTTCTTGGGCAAGCATATGTCCAAAGAAATTATCTATCTTAGGGTAGCCACAATCCCAGATCTTGGGGCCTTTGAGTCATGTTTACAGGCTCATGTGCAGAACGCGATATGCTCCAACTATCTGAGATCTTTTTGTGTGAAAGATAGTGCTCTGTGCGACTGTGCAATATAAAGTAACACAACTATATTGTTGATTACAGCGGAAAGCGATATAAACGCTCAGCTAACACAAAATTCAGTCAATGACTCAACAGACTGACATTCTTGACCTGAATATAATGTTAGAGCTGCCATCTGTCGAAACGGAATTGATTTATTTAATTAATTTGAAATCAAAAATGGTATAGTGATGGAAATAATAGATGTATGTACCTAACTAGCAAATTGAAGTCATTAATTAAATTTAAAATTTTATTTTTAGCTATTCCGTGTTTTTAGTTTACTAACAACATATTTGGACAGCTTCTTTTTCCTACTTTTTTCTTAAAAACCTCGATCTTGACTGAGGCTTTCTTGATCGGTCCATAATAACAAATAGCAAGTTGCGGTTTTCTATAAATTATGATTAGTATCTTATGGTGGAGTCATATGAGGTTTTAGAGGAGTAAAATAAATATAATTTTCTTCCAGGATATTCATTTATCATTATAATTAGTCATTATACCTAAACCACTAAAATGAGACTTGTAAGTGTGATTGGTATTAATTGAAATATGGTACTGTGCAATTATGTCAATAATGGTTTATGTTTCTAGTACTGCTTAAGTAGCCATCCAAACAAACCATGTTATGTATTGCGGTTCAAAGAAATTGTTATGATGCTGGATTGTGGTTTGTCTGCGCAAACTGCTTTGAATTTCTTGCCTCTTCCCTTGGTACCTAGCTCTCGCCTTGCTAACTTACCTGCTTGGATGCCGCAAGATACTGTTGATATACAGCTAGAAGGGGTAAATCAAGACCTATGACTTATAAACCTTAGTTAATTGTGTAAAGCTATACTGTTTTTGTTTTATAGAATTCATATTTCAGGAGTTAAAAGAGTGCATGGGAAGAGTCTTTGTCGATTCTGCACCAGAATTTTGCCCTCCACTGACGAACATGATTGATTTTTCTGAAATAGATGTTATTCTGATTTCTAATTATTCGTCGATGTTAGCACTCCCTTTTATAACTGAAAATACTGGTTTTAGAGGTGTTGTTTATGCTACAGAACCAACCCTTCAGATTGGCAGGTTCTCATTATTTTTTTTAACTAATTGAAATCGTTATATGTTTGTAATATAATTTTCTCTTCACATTGTTAGAATTTCTTAAACCAAATTTTATAAATAGGTTATTCCTGGAAGAACTAGTTGAATATATAGAACAGACTCCTAAAAGGAATCAAGCAAAATTTTGGAAAGATATCCTTCATTTACTTCCAAGTCCTCTCTGTGATAGTTTTAAGCCTAAAACATGGAGGCTTTTGTATAAGTTAAGTGAAGTTCAGTCTAGTTTGTCAAGAATAAAAGTTGTGGGGTATGATGAAAAATTGGTAAGTTCCTGCAATAGATGTTCATCTTATGAATGGTTTATTTTATTTTAAGTAATTGATCAATTTTTAGGATGTTTATGGAGCTCTTAAAGTTACCGCTGTTAGTTCAGGATACTGTCTTGGCAGCAGTAACTGGGTTATAAGTTCCGATTATGAAAAAGTAGCTTATGTTAGTGGTTCATCAACATTAACAACACATCCTAGGTAAATATAATAAATATTGGTAGTACAGAGATTTTTTTTTAATTATTATTTAAACTACTTTTTGGTCAAAAGTTCCCAACACTCTTATCTTTTTACATCCTTTATTTATCACTGACATTTCAGCTTAAAAAGTCTTTTTCAAGTACACACGTTCATACCTCTTCACTAAATTTGTCTCATTTTTAAGCAAAATTTGTCCTTGTAACGTATACTCATTATTCTTTTTTAGGTAAATTTCATTGATTTTATCAGTTTGTTGAGTCCTCACTTCTGATTTACTTGGCTCTTTATCAGTGGCTCAGGTAAATCAAAAACGAGGGCTACAAATCCGTAATAGTAACATAATTTGCTTGAAAAATAATATTGACCATGTGTTATTATGACAAATTTTTTTTAAAAATGAGATAAATGTATTTCTGATGCATGGCAGATTACTCATAAAAATGGCTGTTGAATCTGAAATATCAGTAATAAATAAAGAATGTTAAAGGAAAAAAATGTTTGTGACCTTTGTCCTAAAATCATTAAAATAATAACTGGTAACATGGCACCCCAAACATAAATAATATGACTAGAAAAGAAGGGAATATTTATTCAGAACGCTAAGTAAATATTTTAATTGTACTTACATTGTTCATTAACGTCACAATATTTAAAAAAATTCCAATACATTTACATTCTCATAATGAGTATTTGAATTTAAATTCAGTTTTAAATCATTCAAGGAAAAGATGGTGATTATGGCAGTCACGATTGATAAAAAAAATGTCATAACTACCTTACTATTTTTACTGTGAATATTTACTAGTGATTAAGTAAAATGACTTCATTCACAAAGTTCAAATTCATGATACAATTTAAAAGAACAAGTTGTTTTTAAAAGTTAATTTTTTAATTCTAGTGTTAATTTAAAAAAAAAAATAATTTATTCTTGTTACAACCTAAGTTTGATGGCTGGTTTTTGCATCTCATTTTATCCTTTACTCTATCAATAATTTTGGATTTGTAAATATTTACAGACCGATGGACCAGACTGTACTTAGAAACTCCAATGTCTTAATATTGACTGGGCTTACACAGACACCGACAGCAAACCCAGACACAATGTTGGGAGAACTGTGTATGGCTGTTGGTAAGATTTTCTTACTACCTACTTTATTGTAGTTTGTATATCATTGGTGCTCAAAACATCTTCTATCTGCTAATTTATCACACTTTCATTAGGAATCCATTTGTATTTGTTTTTGCTTGACTTTTAATTAATTAAGAATAGTGGCAGAGACCTTAATAAAGCTGTTTATGATCTGGTTCTCACTATCTGACTGGAGGAGAGGATGCCATGGCAATGGAATAGTACAAACAATACTATAATTTGTACCGTATATAAACAAAGGAAACAGTTAAAGTGTACAAATTATCATATTACATTCATGCACTTATAAAATACACTCCAATAGCCTCTTTAGCAAAATTTTATTTTTCACTGAGTATGAGTAGTAGTAGAGATTTCAAGGCAAATTTACCATAGATCAGATTTTCAAACTCCGCATTATCCTCAAAAACGAGCTTGAACATAAATTACTCATCCTTCACCTCTTCGATTTTAAGTGTGTATGTGCTGGCATCAGTTGACTCAAACTTTTTGAAGTAATGGAGTTCAGGGTGCCATTTTAGCTAATTAAAATGACCGTGCAAGTTTGTGTTTTGTCGGATTGTTGATCAAAATACCCATCTTACAAGGAATTAAGGTAAGGGTTTGTGTCAGCATACTTACTTTTCAACTTGGCGTTGGAGAAAGGTGTCTGAGATTCTGAAATCCAATTAACAAGCACAGTAATCTTTAGATAAGTCAAATTGCTTGGTTATGCAGATGATTTGGACATTGTAGCAGGTTCCTTCACAGTACCTGAATGAGCCTTTTTTTGATCTATAGTGTTGTACTGTCAATGGATCTCGTAATGGATAGGAAACATGGCTAGTATGGAAGAATTAAAAATTTTCAAAAAACTCCTTAATAAATAAGCACTTAAATAAAGTGCTGCTTTGCACTAGAAGAGTTGGATGGATGAATTGGGTACCAGCTGATGAATTGAGGATCTCAAAGTAATTAGGCAGATGAGGACCCACCACGAATTGTAGCTTTTTGGCAGTATGTAATTAATTATAATTCAGAATTTTAATTAAATAATATTTAAAAAAATTATATGGAATTTATTGACTTATAATTTAAAAATAAAATAAAATGAAATGTTATGTACATTTTTTACAATTTTATGACCTATAAAATATGGGAACTTCAGATCAGAAGGTGTTGTCAGAGTACCAATAATATGGATATTTCAGTTTTTTTATAATTATTAATCTTATGATGTTTCAGCTATGACTCTTCGTGCAAATGGTAACGTATTAATTCCATGTTACCCATCGGGTGTGGTATATGATTTATTTGAGTGTCTGTCGTCGCATCTTGACAACTCTAGCCTGTCAACGATACCCATGTTCTTTATTTCGCCTGTAGCTGATATGTCACTTGGTTACTCAAATATTCTTGCAGAATGGTTAGTATATCTTTGGGAAAATAAATTGGTATTGGATTTCGTTGTTATTCAGTTGTGATTTATTCCAGTATTCTGCAGTATTATTATGTTCTTTATCATTGAATACATAGCTGGCGAGTTCAATTTGAAGATAGCAATTATAAAATTGAGATTTTTTAAAAAAATATTATAGTAAAATTATTTTATTTAGAGTAACCTTTTAAAATGTATTTAATTTATGAGAATAGTTTATATTTAATTTCCTAAATTTATGGATTTCTTTAGGACCAAGATATGGAACTCTCATGTATAGTGAATTATTGTGTCTACTATCTTTTTGTTTTTTTATTATGAAAATCTTTTACAGCAATAAATTTTATTTTTAAGGTTGTCAAATACGAAACAAAATAAGGTATATTTACCAGAAGAACCATTTCCACATGGCTACCTAGTTAAAACTGGGAGGCTGAAGCATTATAAAAGAATCTATTCAGATGGTTTTAGCACTGATTTTCGACAGGTAAAACAACATATTTTTCATGATCACAAATTCAAAAATTACATATAGAGTCGCATTTGTCATTTTTGTTCTGAGATAAGTTCAGTTTAAATAAGATAAAACAATTATTTTTAATATATGACTTTTTTTTACCCTTAATGATAGAAGAATATAACACTAGTGCTTTAATGTTGATAGATAAATATTATAATTTACAAACAAAAAATGCTATCATTTGAGCGAAGGTGTGAATCACTCTATAGGGTGATTCATTTCCTGCAGATGATAAGAACTGATTCTGCTCATGCTTTCTATTTTTACCCAAATGATATTGTAATTTATTTTTAGAAGTAAGGGATATCGATTTATTGAGGTAAATTCAAAGGGTTAATAACATAATATTTAGCAGAAGAGAACCAATCTACAATACAAAACATGATAAAATGTGCTAGAGGTGGTTTTGAATTTGGTTAGTTAATGCAATTTTGATCAGAAAAGAAGAACCACCTCTTGATTCATTGGAAAATTGAATGCAACATCTTTAATCGAAATTGATATGATGATTTTGGATTGTATAAAATGTTGAATAAAATTAGGTTTGTGACAAAAACAAATTATCTAGTACATCAACAAATTAAAGCATCTCCTTAAAAATTTATAAAATTTGAAAAAATCTTTCAAATTTTCAGTGACATATCGCCACTGTTACTGGAAAAGGTCTTATGCATAGATTTTTTATTTGTTTTTTACAGAAGACCATAAAAACTGATTATTTCGTTATGGTTTATTTTCAATAGTATCTGACTATTTATTGCAGTTATAGACCACAAAATGGCACTTTTTATCACAAATAGAATTAACATGTTAAATTGTCACATACAACTTCTTCAAATATTTGTATACTTTTTTAGAATCATTCTTTTTTATTATAATCCAAATATTTCTGTGGTACAGACTTTTTTTATCAAATAATTAACACTTATCTAAAACTTCATGAACAGCTTCATTTTATCCTAACCTACAACTTTTTTATTAACAAAAATTTTCAGAAACTGGGTATTTTCAATCTGGAGATGATCATCCATTTGAATTTTATGTGAATTTGATCACAAAATCGGGAAAAAGAGTGGCCAACAAAAATATTGGCAAATGGATATTCTTGAGATTTAAATAATTAATTTGATCAGAAACGCTCCTTTTCTGAGAATTTTCATAGGTAAAAAAGTTGTAGGGTACCATAAAATGAATTCGTTCATGAAGTTTTAGATGTGTGTTAATAATTTGATATAAAGGAGTCTGTACCATGGACTAAAAGCTTATCTTTATGAAAAATGTTATTTTTTTAAAAATTTGATTTATTGAAAATTAGGCCTCTATTAATATTAAACTTGGTAATTAAGATTATAATATTACTTATCAGAGCCTTTTATATGTTAATTATTTGTATTGTATATGTTTATTTTTAATTTTAGCCTTGTGTTGTGTTTTGTGGACATCCTAGTCTTCGATTTGGTGATGCTGTACATTTCATTGAACAGTGGGGTAACAATCCTCTTCATACAGTTATTTTTACAGGTAATTGGAATGAGGTAGAATTATTTGAAATTACCTTTTTTCTGTTTAAAAATATAATTTGAAACAGTTATTATTTTGTTATAAAGTAATTCTTGTTTGTACTCTTGCTTTTTTTTTTTTTCTTAAAAAAATTGTGATATTGGTGAGCTCAATGATGAATTATTGAGATCATACTGCGTTAATTTTTTTATAAAATCGGAAAAACTATGTTACTATTTGTTTTAGCATTATTTATATTTATTACTCCCTTTATGATTTTAGAACCAGACTTTCCTTATCTCGAAGCTCTGGCACCTTACCAGCCTTTGACTATGAAATCAGTCCATTGTCCTATCGACACCAGCTTGAACTTCACTCAGGCCAATAAGTTAATTAGGGAGCTAAAACCTAGTACTCTGGTAGTACCACAGTCTTATACTATTCCACCTCCAAATCATGCTCACAGAAGTGAACTTGTCATAGATCAGGTATATTTTATTATTATAATAATACAATGTATGACTGTTTTCGATCTGTTGGATAGTTCTTATATTTAATGATTATTTTGTTTTTATATGACTTAACATTATGTATTTCAGGAGAGTCGCTACGTCATTTCAATTCAGCGAGGTGAAGTCGTTTCACTGGCAGTCAAAAGGCAGATGGCGAAAGTTAGTCTTTGTCCGACTCTCGCCGACAGGATTAACTGTTCTGAAGTTCGCTCAGGGATATGTTTGGCTACGATAACCGCAGGTCTATATGTTAAGGATAACCAACATAAGATCTTGGTACTTTAATGAATAATACAGAAATATGATTGAAATTCAATAATAAAGCGATCATTTTATATTAATTGTTTCTTTTAGGAACTGCCTGATGAAACGCCAGTTGTTCCTAAAAAAAGAAGGCTTTCTAAATCTGAAGGGGAATCCTCCAGTAATTCTATGAGATATGAGTGGGGAATTTTAGATATGGATTTATTTATTAGGAAACTAAAACAGGAGGGGATATCAGATGCTAAAGTCGAACAAAACAACAGTGGTTATATAATACATCTGGTAAGAATTCATTCATACTTATTTGTCATTTCTAAACCTGCATTTCTTTATCTGTTTTTCTCATACTATATACACAATAAGCTTCAAAATTATACAATGGAAGTTTAAAATTAACCTTCTCATAGGCGATCCTCTATGATTGACAATGGTGATTACATGCATTTAAAAGATACTTGTCATAGGTAACTAATATTTCTTTGTAAGACGTTGTATTTAAAAAAGTGATATTTGAATTTATAAAAGAGTTATTAGAACAGTATCCGTCTTAGCGATTATTAAACAGGTATCTAAGCAATCCAGGCTTTTCCGCTACTATGATAGCTACTAAATGACCTCCTTGACAATATCATCAGTGAATTGCAAAAAGTGACATTTCATAACATGATATCACTAAGAACTTTGATCAATTAAATGTTTTATCAAAAACTAAGGTCAAAATTCACAAAAATATTCTTATGAGTTCAGCACCATAAAAAATGTAAATAGTGACTTTTTGCAATAAACCGATGATATATACAAAAAAAGAATAAATATTTAAAACTAAGCATTTAATATTTTATACACAGAACAATGTTAAATAATTGAAATAAATCATAAAAAAATTAACTTAGACGAATGGTCATTTGCATTCCTATGATGTGGAAAAGGTTACAGGCTGAAAAGTGATTAATTACTTAAGGGTTAAGCCATTTGCCTATACTGAGTTTAATTAACTGTTCTATAAAGAGGATAGTTATGCTCCTTTAAAATTATTGCTACAAAATCAATTGTATTTCCTGGAGATTGTTTGCAGTTTAAGTATACTTCATAATTAATATCAAAACATTACAAGCCGAAGTTAAACATAAAAATTGAACTAAAAAAAATCATATTTAGGCCTAACCTGACCTTAGGTCTTCTAAACAATGATTGAATGCTTCTGAATCATAAAGAAAACAATAAACACAAAAGAGATTTAATAATAGAGAATTATTTTATTAATTAAGGGGAAGCACTAATTTTTGTTTGGAATAATTTCGTTGTTTTTAAACTTATGTTTGTTTCTTCTGTATCTGCTCTCAGTACAGACATGATTATGACAACTGATTTATTGAAAAAGAAATTTGGATGTTTCAAGCTTCAGCCAATTTCTCTTTTTTAATATTGTTTTTATGGATCTTGATATGTTGTACAATGTAATCTTTGGAGGTTAGACAATTAAGTTCAATACTTACTTCTTAAGGATCAGACTATCTTACTCCATTACATGTAGTCATAGATATAACCATCTCTTCAATTGGGAAGAATCCATTATAACATTATTCTATTTTTATCCTTCAATTTTTCTTAAACAGTTATTTTCATACCTTTTCATGAGGATTCCATGAGGGAACATAACGTTTATTTGTTTAAACGATTTATAATTTATTTTTAGCAAGAAGAGGATACTCTGATTCAAGTAGAAGAGAAATCAACTCACATTTATTGTGAAGCAGCAGATACCCAATTGAGACTCAAACTAAGAAACATATTGATGCAATGTCTCAGTTCTTTTTAATTTTTAAACTGCATTGTTAATATGTTGTATTTAAGTGTACATAATGTAAATCTTAATTATTCATTGAAAAATGTGAATTTGTTATTTTTTAATTTTATAGATACTTATAATTAAATTTATTAACTTACAAAAATAAAATAAAAATCAATTTTGATGTAAATAATTGTAAATCTTATTTATTTATTATAACTTTTATTGAGAAATATTTATTTGTTTTAACAACTGCATTATTTTTCACTTGAGTTGTTTATTTATGTCGCATCTATTTCCACGATGACATCAGTTTGGACTGGGCATCCCATAAGCATGATTAGCAATCCTTATAAAACACTTATTAAAGGCAGTGTGAAAGTTCTCAAAACAGAATGCGGCCAATCTTTCTATGAGGATTAGTTAAAAAGTTTGGAAAATTGTTGTATTTCTTTTTTAAACCATTCTGTTTAGATCCCTATGATATATTACAATGAAATAATAACTATAAAAAAAATAAGAAGACAAATCTGGTATATTTAAGAAATATATATTATTAATCTAATAAATTAAGTTCTAATGTACAGGAAAGGAACCATTGAATCATTCTTATATTTTATAAGAGTGATTCAACAGACTATTTTAGGTGAATTCTGACCTATGTTCTCAAGTGGAAGAATGAAAAAAATCATTTTAAAGAAAACAATCAAATATTTGATTGTTTTGAAGAATTGAAAATTATGAAATGAACATTTCAATTTTCAATTACTGCATCTGGAGATCATATAGCAGATGTTCGACAATCTTTCAGCATTTTTTTAGTTTTTCTGCGACAATGTCACACTCTCATCTTTATTCTGCATTGAGGGTGAAAGCTAGACAATTTTTAAGAATACAGTTTGTCTGTTACAAGGAGGTTAATTCAAAATTATTAAGCTATCTATGTATCTTCTCCATCAAAACATAATTTTTTACTTACTTATATAAATATTATCTGGTTCATAGCAATCTATAAAAATAAAATGCATTTATCTTAAAACATAGGGCATTAAAAAAATATATTGAGATAAATTAAGTTTTTATTTCTAGAACTATGTTAACAGAAAATTACTATTTTAGTAATAATCTCAATTATTAAATTTAAGAAGTAATAACATACTGAATAATTCAGAAGACAATTCCTTATACAATTTAAGAATAAATAAAAAAACAAAATTTCTTATGAAATCAATACTTTTTTTTTTAAAAAAAGAATTCAGCGGGTTAAAGACTAGCATTTTAAAGGAATTAAAATTTTCAAATTAGACTCAATCTTTCAGATAGGTTAAAGGATTTTATAATCCATTAAAGCTCTTAAAATACTAGAAATATTATATAAAACTGTAAAACTTGAAATTAAAGAAGGCGCCCGAACACCATTCCGCTCGCCATACCAAGAATGAATGATGCCATAAAAATATGTATTTCTTCAAATACAAAGTAATTAGGATCATTAAGAACTCTTGTATGATACCATTTTTTGGCTTTGATTTCCTTCTTCTTGATGATCTTCTCCACTTTGTCTAATTTTCTATCAACGAACCGTTCCACCTAAATAATAATAAACTTTGATGACCTCTATTACTTCTCTATACTATCATTAATTATTACCCAAGAACTCACTTATATAGCCTTGGAATATAAGTTTTCAGACATATTTTATTTTATTTATTTATTTGTATGAATTAACATAAATAATGTGAAAGTAAAAAAAAAATACACCACTACTATTAAACAAAGTACAATTATCTCATATTAACATCAACTATTGTAAAAACATCTTAAGATGATGCCATTCCAATAAGAAAACCACCAGCGTAACCAGCGGCCATGTAAGTGTTTTCTTGTGCGAATCGTTTCACCTGAAAGTAAACGATTGATTTTTGAACTATCTATTTCTAAAATGTTTTATGTTAAGAAGGATTGTTAAAATGTATGTAAACAATTAAAACTGTTACATGAAATAGTTCTTAAAGCTGTTACATGAAATAATAATGAAATAGTTATTAGCACACCACTGTAAAAAAAATCAAAGAATTATAAACCACAAAAGAAAATCAATGCATCTATTTATTTAACCAATAATTACTTTACATCAATATTTAAAATTGTATTCAAAGATTATAACAAAAAGATCACTGAAAATCTAAGTACTACAAATTGTTCAAAAAAACAAATTTGAAGATATGCATAAATTTTGTCCAGTAGTTTTTATAATCACGTTTACAAGCTTTTTAAGAGCTATCAAATATTTGATTCATGGGTTAAATGTCACTAATGCAACATATATTTAATGTAGGGATTTTGAAAATAGAAAGAAATTACAAAGATTTCATGACTAAATGCAAAAGATTCATTAAATATTTCTTCTTTACGTGCATAATAAAGATAATGTATACATGGTAACTGCAATATGATTTAGTGTTAATGGAGGTGCTCTAAATGTTAAAATGAAAGCAACACAAAAACAATTATAATTTAAAGTTAGTGAGCCAATATTACCATTGTAAGCTAAATTTTTTACTTGTATGAAAAACATAAAGAAGCTTCTGTATTTAGATTTAACAATTGAAATATTAAAAATAAAATTTAGGCACCATATGTTGAAATAAAAAAGGAGAGAATAGAGTCTGAACTTGATAGGGAACAATAATGTTCATTTAACTGTTTACTGTGGTTAATACTAATGAATAAATTAAGCTTAAACAAATAACAATGAGGTGATAAAGAGTTCTAAGAAATAATTGAGAATCCTAGTTTTCGACAGAAAGACACACTTTTAAGATCTCTGCCTGTGTGTGTATGTGAACAGTCTAACTCAAACTGAAATTGCTAGAGGATAAATATATATTGTCTGGGGTGTTACAGTAAATTTTTCAATAAAATTGACTATTGAAATGCCATTTTATATTGTTGGTTTAACACATTTTTCTCTAAAAAAGCTCTAACAATTTTGGTTAATTATTTATTTTTATAAATGTAAAAGTAAGCAATATTTAATGTCAGGTAGCAGTAGCGGATCCAGGACTTAATTTTGGGAGGCTTCAGCCGGAAAACTTTTTTGTTCATATATATAATGATAGTTACTTTGGAAGAAAAAGAAACTAACTAAACATATGAAATGGTTGTTTAAGTGATTCTTGAAGTATTAAAATGTAATAACACAAACAATAATATTTGGACCAAACAATAATGTTTGGACATATTTTTTTCATAAGACATGCTTATATTTTTTTCATTTTTGGCGGGACTTCAGCCCGCAAGCCCTCCTACCTCTCCCATAGATCCATCCATGCCAGGTAGGATTAACCTCATTCAAATTGTTTGAGGGATAATTTTCAAAATGTTTTCCTCTAAAATAGCTTCAGTTTTGTTCATTGGAAATGATCGACCATTCCTAATTGTTAGTAGGAATAAAAACATGGAGAAATATTTTCTGAGGATGAAACAAATTCCTAGAAATAAGTGAATTAATGTGTATGTGTATGATCAGGCTTGACAAAAGAGAGGAGGCAGAATTGTCCTACAAGGTTTTATTTTTTAATTTCTAAATTTACATTAAAATGTAGTATAAATAACATCACATACATTATAAAATAATCACTTAATTTTTGTTTCATACTTTATAAAAGGCAAGGGTTTGGTTTTAGTGGTAAATTTATTATTTGAAAGGGGCTATTGGTTTCACTTCATGGCTCTCTGTATAATACACCATTGGGAAGCTAAATATTTTAGAAAAATAATTTGAGATGTAAAGGCGTAGAAGAAAAATCAATGATTTATAATTGACTAATGATATATCATATTATTTATTGGAACTAAATTTTTCATGAAAAATATAATTTAATTTAGGGGAAGCAAATAAAAGCTGACTGATGCGCAACACTAAGCCATATATATATAGGCAGATTAGAATTGATAAAAAATTAAAAATAATTTTTTATCATCCTTCAAGCACTTTTTTGATAGTAAATAAAGTAATTTGGTTCAGGAAAAAAAAAAATATGAAAAAAACGGGAGACTTTTAAGTTGAGAGTTTGAACTCCAACATTCCTTAGCAAATTATCATTCTGCCTCCTCCCTGTATCATGTTAGACCACATTAGCATGCTACTGTACGGGTCAGGGACTGGACAACTTAACTACCGCAGATGAATAACAACTACTGTCAAGCCAGTTTAACAAGGCGCCAATAGACTTCCCGACGACGCCCACGGACTTCATGATAAGCCTTATCGACTTCCCGAAGAAGAGTTCTAGACCAGAAAACGGAGAATGAAGTTATCAAGTTTACAATCTATGATCCTGCTTTTGGAGAAGGGGTGGTTTCAAACATTTTTAGGAGATTATTATTTTTTTTCTTTCTGGTCGATTACAACAATAAACATGCATAATGTCAAATATAACAATTTTACATGTTTATTCTCTTTGCGCTAAAGGTGATATTTCGTAGCCAGCAAATGCTATAAGTAGTCTGCTAAATAGGAAAATAGCAGAGGGAAATAAAATATGAAATTATACAAATAAATCATTAAGAAATAATCGGGTTTTATGCTCTTCTGTTAAATAACTCAAATTTTACATACGACCTTTTGCACTAACAGTAGCGAAATACTGTTTGCATTATCCAGAAAAACCCAGGCAATATTAATCAATAGCAACAAACGCAGTAAACGCGCACCAGTTGCAGCAAACGCCGAGAGGAAGTTGTCCTAACGGGACTAAGAATAGGGTCATACCAAGATTACGCACCTTCAATTAATTACGAAAGAAACTCTCCTCCCCTCCCCCATTTGTCAGAATTATGGAGAATCGAGAGTTGTGCCTTTTATATCAGAGATTTAAATATAAGAGAAATACCAGCAAATACATCGGCTGTTTTGAAAAATGATGAAAAAATCTTAGGCAAAATCATATGTTTTCTCTCTGAAGAAGGAATCTTAAAAAATATATGAATCTCTCACGCAGCATTCCCCAACTTTTTTTTCCCTTTTATTTATTTTTTTCTGTTTTAAATAACTGTAAACAATTTTAACCTTAACGTGCATTTTACATCTTTTTTAATTTTATCCAATTCCTAATATTCACATCCAGAAGATATAATAATATATAATTTTAATTAAAGGCGTTGACGAACAACACGTTTTATGCCTTTACCATACAATAACCAACCAATAACAATAAAACTCATTAATCA